GACTTGTTTTCAGCTGAAATTTTGTCCATTTCAGTCATCCGATGGGTCATTTCGGTTGACCGAAATAGCTAGATCCCGAGAGTTGCTTCAGTTCAGTTTCAGCACTATTCTTCCGACTTCAAATGACCATAAATCCTTTGTTTTAAATCCAAATGGGGTGATTCTTAAGCCTAAATTCATGGATTTGGAGTCAGCTTTCCAATGGTACCAATTCCATTCTTAAATTCCAATCACAGTGGGAGTTATTCAAGTTTTAGTGAGAGGGTGTCGGTTTTTGCTTAAACCGAGAAAGGGCGTTTTGTGAGATTCTTGTCCAATGTTCTTAGAACCTTTTGGAAAGTCTTGAAATGATTAGATTAGGTTATTTCCACCTTATTTGACTTATTTAAAGTTAAGTTCCTCCTTTTAATGGTGAGTTGACCATTTTGCCCTTTGGTTATGGTTTTTGTCCGTTTTGACCCTTTGTTTCCGCATTCGTTCTCATTGAGCTTCGTGACTTCATGGAAGGTCACATTGCTATCTTAGAGATGCTTTATATCTCTAAAAACTTTGAGTTATCTTTTGCTTTTGCATTTCTGACTCGTTACCGGGTCAATTTTCGGTTCATCACTAACGAACTAGGTTGAAAAACTCGGGTCACTACACACTTTCTCTCTCCCCATAATCTCTCTCTTCCTCTCACTTTTCTTCTCCTTTTATCTTTCTTTTGATTTTGAACTTCAAAGTTTGATTACTTCCTTAATTCTTGAAAATTTTGGGTGCCGTTTACGGCAAATCAAAGAGCTCGGCGAGATCTTCAAGTTGATGTAAGCAATTGCAACTTTGGTGCATCCTAGGAATTTCAAAAAATAGGGCTTTGATTTGGAGTTTTGGGGGTTTTCATCTCCATTAAGGTAGGGGTGCTCTAATGCATGATTTCTTATACTTTTGTGAGTTTTATAACTTGAATTGATGTCTAGCATGTTCAATTAGTATAAATTCTTGTAAAATTTGCTTAAATGATAGGTATGGACTATATGTGACTAATTGTTAGTTGTTTTATAGTATTTAAACATGCTTACATGAAGTTGAATCCATGTCTTATATGCTTGTTATGCAAAGTTGATGTTAAATGAGAACTTTAATTATGTAGATTAGAAAATTGCTTTATATAGCATGTGTGAGAGTTTTATGGTGGAATTGATGAATTGAAGTATCAAACATTCCATGCATTCATTGGGATATAAAAAGGGGAAAAATGTCGTTAAAACAAGTGAAATTGCTTTGGGAAAAGTTTTCTAAAAGTGTTTGCGAAAACCCGGACGCCTAGGAGGTGCTTAGTGGTCCGTGGTGTTAGTGTAGTCTAGAGGGGAGTATGGTTGAGCTAACCAGGCCGGATTCGACACCTTGGAGGTGCCTTGTGGTCGTGGATGGTTAGCCAATCCTCCTTTTGTGACGCCTTGGAGGTGCCTTGGGTCGGAGTACACTAACGGTTTGGAAGTTGAAAAGGAAATGTTTCGGATATGGGGAGCGACATTTGCATGACATTGCACTTCATTAGAATATATGGTGTGTATGTGTTTGAGTGACCATTGTTATATACTTGTCACTGTAGTTGTTGTCATGTACCCCTATGCTATGATCCCGTTTTCTTTTCCTATTCCTTACGTGGATTCACGGGGTCATAAGAAGTTTGTATTAGACACTTCTTACTGAGCGTTTAGCTCACCCTTTTATTTTAATATTTTCAGGTTCGGGAAAAAAAGTGGCGGACGACCATCCACCTCAGCTTTAGCTTGGATTAGGAGAATGTATATTTTGCTACCTTTTGTATTAAACTCATTTTGTAAGGTGTTGACCCAAATGTACCATTTTGCAGCATGTGAAATATTCAGGTTCATTTTGTATATGTCCATTGGGGAATTGTAATTATGCTTATTTACATTAAATCATTTAGTGTATTTCATGTAACGTGTTGTAAATTATGTTAATATTGTTGTTGTTGTTAATGTATTAGATGTTAAAATGTATTCAAATATGTACGTGGGTATGATGTGTAGGGTGATTGGTTATCAATGTTGGTGTGTCTCGGACAGTGAAAAATTTCGAGTTTGGATAACCCAGAACCGGTCGATGTAAAATTCCCACACGTCGACCGGATGACCTGAACCAGTCAACGTGTAGCCTCCCACATGTCAACCGGTATCTTGACAGTAGCTATTTCACTGTGCATGACCTGAACCAGTTGACGTGTAGCCTCCCACACGTCGACCAGTATCTTGGCAGTGGGCAATGTCACTGTACGTGACCCAAACCAGTTGACGTGTAATACGTACACGTTGACCGATTCCTGTTCCATACATTTTTTGTTTAGTTTCCCTAATTATCCTTTTATTCAAAGTTACGAGTATTTATTTTAGGACCCAATAAAATTCAATAATTATTATTATTTTTATCACAGAAAAGACTATATTGCCCCGAACTTTATCTTATTTATTAAGCGACATAAGTAAATGACCATTATGCCCTTTGAATCTCATACCATTAGACTTGTGGCAAATGACCATTTTGTCCTTATTGGGTTTTAATATACAAATTTAACGTAAAAGGACCATATTACCCTTGGATGATTTTGGGTCGGATAAAGATCCGTTTAACTATCCAGACCCAGTGGATTTGGGTCATTACAACAGAGTACACCATTGGATAGACAACGAAAAATTAACAAAGATAGACTCAAAAATCACATGATTCAGAGTCCGGACGGGGGAGAAAGGACAAAAACAAAATCAGGCATCGTCGAGGCTGAGGGGAGGCACTAGGGCCAAGCCCCATGCACGCGCACCTGCCCATGCACGCGCGTGTCCATGCACGCGCTATTGTGCTCGCGGGCACTGCTGTGCTGACACCTGGGCACATCCTAAAAAATGCTGAGAATAGTGTGTGTTTTGGACCCGAAATGACCTTTTTTGGAAAAACACGAAGAGGAAATCCCCTTTTAAATATTTTTTTCAAGTTGACCATGTCGAAAGAAAAATTTATTTTTGACGTAAAATTCCCAAAATACCCCTGAGAATAGTTTTGACCAAAAATGCAAAATTGCAAGTTTACTTGAAGTATTCAAGTGACCAAATATGAAGTTGTGTGCTAAAACGATTATGTACGCAAATGTAATAAGTGTTTTAAAATGTGCGGGAATGGTTCGTGACCCCCAATTATGTCTGATACAAAATTCGACCTATTAAACCTCAATGGTGCCTTAAAATGGAAAATTTGAAGCTTACCATCAACCATATCATGCAACCATTATATTTTGTGTAAAGTGAGCATTCTCGCAAACGTAATATATATAATACAATGCGTTCCAATGGTCCATAATCTCAAAATACTCCCAATGCAAAATATGACATGTCCAAACCCCTAAAGTATGAAAAATGGTCCTTTTAAGTAAATTTTTAAGTTAATCACCATAGATGCATTCAAATGACTGTTTGGCCCTTGGCCACACATCACATATAATAAAAGAGCATTAGAGGAATGTGTTAAAACACACTTCCCACCATCCAAGCTAAAAATGACATGCTAAAGCTTCGCATTTTTCTATTTTTCACATATTTAAGCATATAATCAAGTAGCATAAAAGTAAAGTACAAGGTCATTGGCCCTTCGCCTCATCACATATATGTCAAATAGGTCTCAAAGGATGTATTTAAACACTTATTACATATTCCAAATAGAAGGTATAAGTTTTGATATAATTAACCAAAATAAAGTAAAATCATGCTAGCAAGTGCATTTAAAGGAATACGCCAAATTCATTAAGCCACAAAGCAAGTTCAAGGATGTTGTGCCTAAAACATGGGTTTTTACCTGAAAAATGTCCCAAACAACAAGAGTGAGTAAATAAGTTACTCGTAGGAAATGAACAGGCGTATAACCTAAAGTTTTGTAAGTCTTTATAAGTTGATATAAATTAATCCATGTGGTTCATGCCACCTAACGTCTATGTCCAAGGTGAGACTAAGGGATCATTCTAAACTACATTATAACATTCTCATCATAAACCATAATAAATAAGCAATTAAATAACATTGAAATATCAAATACCAAATAACAAAATTTAAATTCATAAAGTAAACAACTTTATTTAAATTCATAAAGTAACATTCTCATCAGATCACCAATATTTGCCTTAATGGTGACAATTATTTACGGTAGTCCCAGTCTGACTTGACGGGCATCAGAGGACCCAACGTACATGACCTGGGATGCAGAGGACCCAACGTACGTGACCTGGGATGCAGAAAATTCAATGGTGATGACTTGGCTCGCGAACTCCATGGACAAGGATATTAGCTCCAACTATATGTGCTACTCCACGACTAAGGAGCTCTGGGGCAACGTGAATCAGATGTACTCTGATTTGGAAAATCGGTCTTAAGTCTATGAATTGACTCTAAAATTTGGTTAACTTTGGTAGGGAGAAGACTCGGTCACCAAGTATTTCAATTCATTGAAGCGCCTTTGGTAGGACATAGATCTGTTCAATGATTATGAATGGAAAATCCACTGAAGATGCCAATCACTACAAACGGACTGTGGAGGCTCATCGTATTTACAAATTCCTTGCTGGGCTCAATGTGGAATTTGATGAAGTACGGGGACGGATTATTGATAGGACTCCACTTCCTCCAATTGGTGAGGTATTTGCTGAGGTTCAAAAAGAAGAGAGCAGCAGACATGTAATGTTAGGGAAGAAGACTACCAGCGGGCCTGTTTAGAGTTCTGCCCTTGTTGTTGCTGAGACTGCTGCTAATAAAATAGTCAATTTTCAGCAAAAACCTGAAGAGAAGCCATGGATTTGGTGCAACTTTTGTAACAAACTGCGCTATACTCAGGAGAATTGTTCGAAAATCCACGAAAAACCAGAGAATTGGAAGAGTAGCAAGCCTGGTGACAGAAATAGGCGTGTGGTTCTTACTATTAATGAAGTTGAGACAAGTCCCTTAAGCAAGGAGTAGATGAATTACCTTCTGAAGCTGCTGAAATTTAATTCCTCATCTGGTATTCCTAGTGTTTCTCTTGCACAAATAGGTAGTGCACTTAATGCCTTTTCTTGTTGTTTAAATTCTACTCCATGGATCATCGATTCTAGAGCCTCTGATCATATGACCAGCCTTTCTAATCTTTTTAGCACTTACTCACCATGTTCTAGAGTTGAAAAAATTCGAATTGCAGATGGAGTTTCTCACCTATTGCAGGAAAAGGTTTGATAAAATTATCCGAGATTATAGATCTTAAATATATTCTCTATTTCCCTAAACTAGCCTATAACCTTTTGTCTATGAGTAAACTAACCAAAGAATCTAATTGTCATGTAATTTTTTGTGATTCTTACTGTGAATTTTAGGACTGGAGCTCAGGGAAGAAGATTGGCAGTGCTAAGATAATAGATGAACTTTACTACTTTGATGGTGACTTCTCCAGTAATAAAAAGTATTAGTGTTAGTTCTAACTCTGTTTATGAACAAATAATGTTTTGGGATTTAAGACTAGGACATCCTAGCTTTTCATATCTTAAACATTTGTCTCTTACTTTATTTAAAGGTTTGGATTGTTCATCATTCTATTGTAAAAGTTGTTGCTTATCTAAGGGTCATCGTACTACTTATTTTCAAAAACCTTATACTTCTTCAAAACCATTTTATTTAATACATAGTGATGTTTAGGAACTTTCAAGAGTCACTGTTATCTCTAGGAAAAAATGGTTTGTTACTTTTATAGATGATCATACTCGTTTATGTTGGGTTTATTTGATGAATGAAAAGTCTGAGGTTGAAATTTTTTTAAAGAATTTTTACACAATGGTTGAAACTCAGTTTTAAGCAAAAATTAACATTTTTCACACCAGTAATGGAACGAAGTATTTTAATAAAATTTTGGGGAGTATTTTGAAAGAATAGGGTATCCATCATCAGTCTACTTGTGTGAATACCCCTCAACAAAACAGAATTGCTGAAAGAAAAAATAAACATTTACTTGAAGTGGCTCGTGTTATAATGTTTTCAATGAATGTTCCAAAATATCTTTGGGGGACAAGCTGTTTTAACAGCTTCGTATTTGATTAACAGAATCCCTACACGTGTTTTAAAATATAGCATGCCATTAGAATGTTTCAAAAGAAATTTTCCCTTATCAAGGATATACTCGGATTTACCTCTAAAGGTTTTTGGTTGAATAGCTTTTGTTCATATACCCAATAATACTCGGTCCAAACTTAATCTTTGAACTGAAAAATGTGTTTTCATAGGATCTGCTTCTAATCAAAAGGGATATAAGTGTTTTAATCCCCAAACAAAAAAAATTTATATGAGTATGGATGTCTTTTTCTTTGAAAATAAATCCTACTTTCACAAAAATTCTTTTCAGGGGGAGAATAGGTTATGTAAGAAAAGTTTTGGGATTTATCTCCTACTCCTTTACCAAATGTGATTTTGACTACTTCACCTTATCCTACTGTTATTCTCGAAATTCAAAGTCAGGAACAATGTGATAAAACCAATGAAAATAATGAAGGGAATCCTAGTCATATAGTGCCAAACATTATTGTATCTGAAACAGGGGAAGAATCACTACAACCGGGTACAAAAGTTCCCCTCTATCTTATACTCTGAGAAGACCTCATCAAAAGAGTCAAAGTCAACATATTCTTCTTGGAAATGATCAATCTCGACCTCCGGGAATTGGACCTGCAGATATCATTAGTAGTTTTGTTCCTAACTCATTTACAGTTCCCGTTGTTTCTCCTAACCAAGAACCATCAAACCTTGATATTCTTGTAGCTGTTAGGAAAGGTATTCGAATCAAATATCCAAATCCAAAATATTTCATTGCCAAATACCTTTCTTAAGAAAAACTCTCTTATACTTATAGGGCTTTTATATAAAAAATCTCACAGTTGTTTATCCCGAGAAACATTCAGGAAACTCTTGATGATCTGAATTGGAAGTTAGCAGTGATGGAAGAGATGAATGCTCTTAGAAGAAGTGGTACATGAGAGTTGATTTACCTAAAGAGAAAAGTAGTAGGCTGCAAGTGGGTCTATACTTTGAAATGTAAAGCTAACTGTAGCATAGAAAGGTTCAAGGCAAGACTAGTAGCAAAAGGGTTCACCTAGACCTATGAAATTGATTATCAGGAAACTTTTGCTTCTGTAGCCAAGATAAACTCAATCAGAATCTTGTTATTTTTGGCTGTGAATTTTAGCTGGCCATTACACCAGTTGATGTAAAAAATACCTTTTTAAATGGAGATCTTGAGGAGGAGGTCTTTATGAATCTACCACCTTTGAGGGAAAATTGGGACTTAATAAAGTCTATAGACTAAAAAAATCTTTATATGGTCTCAAACAGTTCCTTAGAGCTTTATTTGAGAGATTCTTTGAGATCAAGGAATTGGGTGCATTAAAATACTTTCTTAGAATGGAGTTTGCTAGATCCAAATAAGGTATATTTGTGAATTAATGTAAATATGTTCTTGATTTACTTAGTGAGACAGGTCTGCAAGGTTGTAAACCAGCCGAGACACCCATTGAGCCCAACCTTAAGCTGCAGTCTTCTAAAGATAATAAGTTTTGAATAGAGAGCAGTATCAAAGACTTGTTAGAAGACTGCTCTACTTGTCACATACACGTCTAGATATAGCTTTTGCAGTCAACATGGTTAGCTAGTTTATACATTCACCTGGACGAGAACACTTTGATGTAGTTTATAGAATTCTCAAATACCTAAAAGGGACCCCTAGAAGAGGTCTACTGTTAAAAAACCGCAGGCATTTACAAGTTGAAGCCTATACTGATGCGGGTTGGGCTGGGTATGCTATTGATAGACGGTCAACTTCTGGTTACTGCACCTTTGTTGGAGGTAACCTTGTCACCTGGCGAAGTAAGAAACAAAATGTGGTAGCAAGAAGCAGCGCAGAGGCCGAGTTTAGATCTTCTGCTCATGGAATTTGTGAGGTGTTATGGATTAAGAAACCATTGGAAGAAATAACGGTCTGTAGTCCGTTGCCTATGAAATTGTATTGTAACGACCCAAAAAGATACCAAAATAATAATAATAAAATATAAAAAAATTTCGGCATGACCTCCACAAAAAAAGTCCCTCTATAACCTATTAAAATACATAAAAAATGCAATGGCCTCACTAGGCCTTAAAACTAATCTATCATGTCCCAACGCACAATACAAATATTATATCACATTCCCAAAATGATTACATACATATAAAAAGTCCCGTTCCTCCATCTCATCCAAACAAGGAACAGATTTTAGTTACATCAACTTACAGTCCATAAAATATAGCTAAAATTTTAAAGTCCATAACTTACAACATTATACCAATTAAATTAAAGTTCCACAAAATAGTTAAGATTACATTTACAAAATATTAGAGTTCTAATACAAAAGATAACAAAATAAAATAGGTCTCCAATCTCGTTTAAACTTGTGGTGGATCGTCGTCCGTCACTGTAATGACCCGGTCATTTTTCTTCCTTTCCTTTTTCTCAGATTTTTATGGATAAATTTTTTCTGTTGTCTTTTCTTTTCTGTGTTTGGTTTTTGTCACTTGGTCTCTTTTTGAGTTCTCGGAAATGGTTTCTGAGACTATTTTCTTTGAATTGACAACTTCCTTTAAGGACCGAGTCATTTTCACATTTTTCGTTTTTCGTCACTATTCACTTTTGTCTTTTCCCGGTTTCCTTTTTCGTTGCATAACCTCACTTTTTGCCATTGGATTCAACTCTGGCTTTGCATGCATTCATGATATTTAATTTCCATGATATCTACATTTCCACTTTTGTAGAAAAGCATGTTAAATGTTTATTTTTCTTGTAAAGGGCATGGTTGCATAACTTTTTGGTAATTTTCTTAACTTTTAGGGTTTTAGTGTAATTATGTAAAGTAATTATTTTTTGTCTTAGGGACCATTTTGTAATTTAATTTAGAAGATATTTTCAAAAAGGACCTTTTTGTAATTTTTGAAAAGTATGACAAGTGTCACACTCTAATTGGTCCACTTGTTGACATTTGTGTGGAGACACTTTGATGCCTTGGATGATGACATGTGGAGGGTGGAGATTCACCCATTTGTTGGCCTAGGATTGGACCACTTGTTGGCTTGGATGAGTGACAAGTGTATGCTCCAAGTCTTGCAATTATTTTTGGGCTACTTTGGGATTATGTTGTTAAAGAAGGGTTTTTGTGCAATTGACCATAGATATGTGTATTGACCATGATGTAAGAGCACATAGTGAGTGAAGGATTTCTATTTCCTCCACTCACACTTAATCTTTTTGTTTCATTCTCTTGCTCACCACAAACCCTAGCTACCATTAGAAAAGCTTGATGCTTAGGCCTTGACCTTGATTTTTGAGGCCCTTCCACTCACCTTTGACCATGAAGCTTTGAATACGTTTTGTTCCCCTCATCCTCCTCTACATAACCCTTAAAGGGTTTGCCATTTTGTGTTGATTTTCCTTGGATTCAAGAGGAACAATCCTCTTGTGAGGTAAGGGGTGTTATAGTTTATTTTTCATATGGTCTTACTTGCTTTTGTAATGAGTTATAAGTTGTATGCATGTCTTATGTTGATTTGAAAAATAAATGATTAAATGGTAACTTGCATGTAACTTACTTTAGACTTGATATATGGCATGGCCATGACTTGATCCTTATTATATATTAAATTGGGATAATTTAAATGAGTTTTCAAATCTAGAGATTTAATGAATTTAATTTGATTTAAATTCTAGTTAATGGTGTTTTGCTTGTATTCCATCTTAGACTTGATATATGATATGACCATGACTTAGTCCTTGTTATATATTAATTTGGGATCATTTGAACAACTTTTGAAAATTAGAGATTTAATTAATTTAGATTAATTAAATTCTACATGATGAAGCCTTGCTTATTTTGCTCATTTGATTTGATATATGTAATATAATAATTTGAGATTATTTGAAATTGTATTGAAATCTAGAAAATTTAATTATTTTTGTTTTATTAAATTCTATCTAATGTCTCCATGGATCTAATTGTGTTTTAGAAGTTGTTTCTATATTCAAATCATGGATTTAGACATGTTGTATATTCACTTGGTTATGTTTTGAGTATAGGATAACATTGTTGTTATATTTATATTCATGAGAGCCTGTTTTCCTTATGGATTATATTGTTGCCTTGTGTAATGAGTTACACACTTCGTTCTTGACATCTTTCATGGCATAGTAGTTGTGGACTTAGAGCATGTATTGTATGTGTTTCCAAATTTGGTTGTGCGTGGTAGATAGTTAATTATCTTGTATATACATGTTGATATATACGTTGTTGCACAACTTGTTGATTTTGGAAACTTGGGGACGTCGTTGTTTGGCTACGGCTAGGACATGGTTCTAGTACGGGGGAATGTCCTCCCACAGTCTAGTACGCACATAGGGCGGTTACCCGTGGGCTAGTAACCCTAAAGTAACCACGTTGTCAGTCTGATCTGGTGTAATGTCTGAGTATCCACCTTATTTGATTTCGCATTTCAATTCCAAGTTGATAACTAGATGATGTTGTAATTTGTTGTTCCTTATTTAATTTCCCATTTTAAGTTTTAAGATGTTAACTTTGAGAATTTGTGCTTTATGTGTTGTATTAGAAGTTCCAATGTTGGTTAAATTGCATCGATATGGTGAATTGTGTTTTAAATGTTCAAATGTAGCTTAGGAATGATCATATAGATTCATTTAGAATATAGACGTTAGGTGGCATGATCCACTTTAGTTGTTTTAGTATTTTAGATTTTAAGTTGATGACTTTGAGAATCTATATCTTGTTGCCTTGTTTCACATGCTTCTATGTTGTTCAAATTGCATTAATGATGTGATTTATGCTAGAAATGTTCTAAGGTAGCTTAGGATGCTCCTTGAGTCTAACCTTGACATAGACGTTAGGTGTCATGATCCTTTTGAATTATTTCATGTTAATGTAAAAATTTGTAAGAAATCGTGTCGATGCATGCTCATTCCCTATGAGTAAACTTATTTACTCACCTCGAATTTACTTAGGGTTTTGTTTAGGTACGAAGACTTGGTTGATGATGTTAATCATTGCTTGGATGATTGTAGACTTTAAGGTTTTAATTCTTGTAAAAGTTGGCTTAAAATGCCACTTGTAGCCTTATTTGTCAAGATGTGTATATTTGATTCCATTTATGTAATGTGTACATGAGTACACTCTTTACAATGTATTTGACATGTATGAGATGAGGTCGGAGGCCAATAATCATTATTTTGTATCCTATGTGACTTCATGAAATATTATGAAAATGTTAAAAATGTCAAGTTATTGCGTCACTGTGTTTGCATCGGGTATGTGAATTCCATTTTGATTCTTTCATAGGGTCTCATTAATCATGTTTAAAGTGTGGCCAAGGGCCAAATGGTAATTTGAAATCATTTGTCAATATTGGTTTTCAAATTTACCATTTCATGTGTATTTTTGCCTTTTTGGCCGTTGGGAGGTCGGATTTTGCATCGGTGGTATTTTTAAGCCATGGACCATAGTAGCACATCCTAATAGGTAAGTTACGTTCGCGTGCATGATCGTTTTTAAGAAAAACCTCATCCTTGGTGATTTGAGCTTATTGCATAATCCGGTTTAAGGGTATTTTGGGTATTTCACTTGAAAAGTAAAAACTTCTCTTGACATGGTCATGTAGAAAACATGATTTTAGGGGGAGGGGGGTTCTTCTTTGTGTTTTTCCAAGAAATGTCGTCTCGAATACGAAAACCCCATTTCAAATTCAGTTTTCTGGTAGAAAAAAAAAATTTACTTGCTGTCAGCCTCATCTAATCGATTAGATGATCCATCGAATCGATTAGATGGTCTTTCGTGAGATTTCCAACATTCTGTTTGGCATCTAATCGATTATTAGATGGTCCTGAGTTACATCTTTTGACTCTTTTCTTCATTTGATCATAACTTTGTCATCCAGACTCCAAATTGAGTGAACTTTTTTTGAACTTGACTAATTTTCTATTGTCTTTCCAATGGTGTGCTCGGTATTACCCACTTTTGTGTTAAAAATGATAATTTTGCCCCTAGGTTCATCTTGTCCATTTTTAAAATGTCGCTTCCGCATTTATTTTCTTTGGGTTCCGTGACCTTATTGAGTGTCATATTGGTATCTTAGAGATGCGTTGTATCTCTAGAGACCGTTGTTTCATTTTTTTACTTTCGCATTTGGATTCGTTATCGGATCTACGTTCTGCTCATCATAGGATGCACTGGCCTAAAAACCAGGGCTGTCACAGCTACCTTTTTTTCGTGTCCTGAAAAATGTTAAAAATATAATAGGGTGAGCATAAGCTCAATAGGAAGCGTCTAAGATACACTTCTTGTATCCCCGTGAATTCTACATAAAGAATAGGTAAAAAGGAACGGGGTCATACCATGGGGAATACATATTTTCAACCACAACAACAAGTATGTAGCAAATGTCAACCAATCACAAATATCTCACAATGCCATGAAGTGCCATGTTATGCAAATGTCGCTCCCCATATCCGAAACATTTCCCTTTCAGCTTCCAAACTGTCAGTGTAATCCGACCCAAGGCACCTCCAAAGCGTCACGAATGAAGGGTTAACTAACTATCCACGACCACAAGGCACCTCCAAGGCATCACATCTGGCTTAGTTAGCTCAACCATACTCCCTTCTAGACTACACTAACAACACGAACCACTAGGCGCCTCCTAGTCGTCCAGTTTTCATAAACACTTTTGAAAATATTTTCCCAAAATCAGTTTCCTTTGTTTTAAAATATTTTCCCTTTTTCCTTCCCGATAGATACAAGAATGCTCCATGTTTCAAATCATCAATTCAACAATAAAATTTTCACACACACTATCCAACAAGAATTTCTAAAACACATAACTCATGCCTTCAATCAACCTCAATTTAACATGGTAAGTATATAAGTCATGAATTTAACTTCACATAGGTATGTTTAATCACTGCACAACAATCAACAAGTAGTCATGTATTCCATATTTAACATTTAAACAATTTTTGTAAGAGATTATACAAATTGAGCATGCTTGACATCAATTTAAGTAAGAAAACTCACAAAGGTATGAGAATTTATGCATTAGAGCACCCCTACCTGAAAAGGAATTTTTTTTCACGAGATCATCAAAGTCTCAAGCTCCCGGCCTCTGCAAACTCTCTCTCGGTTCACTTTCTATCTTCTCTCGGCTCACTCACTCTTTCTTTTATTTATTTATTTATTTATTTTATCTCTTTTCATTATATCCTTATCAAGCTACAAACCAGATATATAAGGGAAAAATGCACCGACACAATAAAAAGATCAACCAACAAAACCCATGTGCATGCACAATTAATTTTTGCCCAAAAAGTCACCATGTGGGACCCACCCACCATCTTAGTGGGACCCAAAGCCTAAGGAAATTTTGGCCAAACAAACCACTAACACATCAAAATCACATTTTCATTTCTCTTTCTCATTTTCGGCTAAACCTGCTACCTTCCTTCAGACAGTGTAAATATATATATATATATATATAACAAAATCAACCAAACCCATGACTCCATCTCCTAGTCGGCCCGCAAAAGCCATCATCACCATTGTTAATTTTCCTTTCTCTCTAATCCCACGGCTAGTGCATCACCTTTTCATTTATCCATCAGATTGTTATATATATATATATATATATATACAATTGCAAACCAAATCCACATTTCTTACTCTCTTTGTCAGCAACCTAAGGCCCACCACACAGAACAATTACACATTGTAATAAAATAATTCAACCCATTTCTCTCTTTCTCATCACCATATAATATATATATATGTATATATCATAAACATTACATGTACTGTGACAATAAAGCCGCTATTTCGATCGCTCACAATCCAGTGCTTCATAACAGAACAAAGCACGTGATGGTAGATAAACACTTCATCAAGGAAAAGCTTGAAAACGGATTGATCTATATGCCATACATTCTTACTACCGAGCAAGTTGTAGATGTGTTTACAAAGGGACTTCCTACAAGATAGTTCGACAGACTAATTGACAAGCTAGCTATGGAAGATGTCTTCAAACCAGCTTGAGGGGGAGTGTTGAAAGAGAAAGATTCAGTAGTAATACTACCAAATATTATTAGCTGTAAATATAATATTTGGAGGATATTTGTTATAAATAAAATATTGGTCAATGCTGTAAATTAGGATATTATTAATTAGCCTAGCTAGCTATTGTAATAAGTTTTCTGATTTTGTGCTTGTATTCTCTCCTATAAAGAGAACCCATGTAAACTTGTGAATATTGCGAGCTAGTACAGAAAAAAGTTTATTCTATATTTCTTTCCCTTTCAAGTTTATACCCCCAAATTGCGGCAATCATTTCCTAATAAACTTCACAATTTTGACTTTCACTAAACTCACAACTCTCACTTTATATATATATTTTGGGTAAATTATATTTACCTTCCTTGAGGTTTGGGAAAATCTCACATGGGTGAAGCATTTGAGGTTAATTACTTTGGCCTCCCTTAAGACTATAAAAAGTCAATTGTACCCTTATATATAATACATTTTTATAATACAAAATATATTATAAAATCTAAAAAAAATTAATTATTCTATCTCATCTCTTTTATTACTTTATCTCTCCTCTCCACCACGGTTACCCTCTCTTAATTAAAAAAAAAATCTTGTAAAAAAAAAAAAAATTGAGTATATCGGCAACTTGGTCATTTTATGAATTATTTTTACAAGTTTTGATGGAGAGGGGAGATTGTTGAGCATACACCCAAATCTCAAGGAAGGTCAAAACAATAAATCTTAAATGCTCCACTTGTGTAAGATTTGCCCAAACATCAATGGAGGTCAGTGTAATTTACTCTATATCCTTCTACCATTTTTTTTCTGTAATTTTTTATTTTATTGCTGTTCAAGCGGCCCCTCTTTTTTTCTGACTTCCATGCATCAACAAGGGTTAAATTAGTGTTATGCATGGAAGTCCTTTGGGAACGGGTCAGAAGACATCACACCTTCCATCTTCATCAACAAGAAGCACTCAACAGAGTTACTAGACTGGCCATGGTACGTACAAGATTAATGACTCTTCTTCCCATCCATGTTCTCATATTTTACTGTTCTTGTACTATAGAATTTTGCACTGCCATAGACATAATTACATCAACTCAACCCTGAAACTATAATCTCCAATGGTTACACCTTCAAACCCCACAAACCAACTGATAGCACTCAAGAAATTAAACAAGAATCACACTACTTACAAAAATTTAAGTGTCTATGTCCACGGTCAAGATCGGTAAACATTTCATTATGCCACAAATATGAGATTACAAGTTTTAGCTCCCAAACCTCCCTTCTCTCGTATCACACTACAAACCCTAATTTTTAGTATTCTCTCGTATCACACTACAAACCCTAAATGCCTTTATATAGTGGGTACAAGAGAATCTACAACCTTGGTTCACGACTTGCAAGAGAAAATAGGTCAATTTTTTCCCTTCAAATTTCCGAATCATAACCGAATAGCAAAGCGATCCAAGCCGAAACAAAATTAAGACCACAATAGAGATAAACCCCTTAACGATTCTTCTGTGACTCCGACCAACCTTGTAGTACATGTCATGGATGGACGCACACAGATTGTTTGGTCGTCAAATGTTTCAAAAATATGTGTTTAAAACTTTAAATTACCAAAAGGTTTTTCTCGACAAAATGAAAAATCAAACTACCAATTAGTATTAATTCAGATGGTATAGTCTCTCCACTACAAATGGGAGGTTGGGGCAATATCATCAGCGCTTGCGATTGCTTGAACTTCGAAGAATAAAAAAATTTCAAACCAAAGGCCACCAAGGGCTTCAAGAAATTTATTTGACTATGACTTAGTCCAATCTCAAGAAACCATGTATATGAGAAAAAAAAATACATAGGGGAGGTTGGGGCAATATCATCAGTTTGCACTTGCGTTTGCTTGAACTTTGAAGAAGAAAAAAAAAATTCAAACCAAGGGCTTCAAGAAATAGATTTGACTATGACTTAGTCCAATCTCAAGATACTATGTGTATGGGAAAAAATCTGGATCGTATACAAAGTAAAAATATTTGAAAGGAACAAGATGAATTTATAAAACATTTAAGGGGGCACTTCCCCCTTAAGCTCCACTTAGTTCCATCGTTATTTATTTAACAATATGTATCAATGTATCATATACTAAGGTCAATATATAGAGCGCTGAAAGGGAGAGCAAGTAAAAGTTTTTATATTTGTTCAGACAATGTATGGTCAAATAGAGACGATTGACATGTACTATGCAACATGGGAGCAAAGATTTTAAAACCTTTAATCTTTCATTTTATTTTCTTAAAAAAATAATCAGGTTGTGAAGACTGTTTCAACCGTCCAACCAATCCATTTCATTTTTTGAACCATTTCTAGATGAAGTATAGTTTAGTTGACATATAACAGAGTAAGATCTAGAAACCATTGCAAATGGAGAGTTGAATTACTGTTGATGACTGGTCGTAGATTTGAATCCGACTTGATTTGGAAATGGAGCGTTGAATTACTGTTGATTCATGGAAGTCCTTCGGTGACAGGTCAGAAGATATCACACCTTCCATATTCACCAACAAGAGCCACTCAACAGAGTTATTGGACTTAATTGCCATGGTACAAGCCACTTTTTTTCTAATCCTTGCCCTCATATTTTACTGTTCTTGTTGTACTAATGAATTTTGCACTGCCATAGACACAATTACATCTACTCAACCCATCAGTGACACTGAAACTATAATCTCCGATGGTGACACCTTCAAATTGGGATTTTTTAGCCCTGTTAATTCTAGTAAAAGGTACGTTGGTATCTGGTACAATGAGATCTCTGTGACGGCTGTGGTATGGGTAGCGAATTGGGATAAACCTCTTAATGATTCTTCTGGGACTGTGACAATATCCAAGGATGGCAATCTTGTGGTCTTGGATGGACAGAAACAGATTGTTTGGTCATCAGGTGTTGCACATTCTTCTGTGAGTTCAAGTGCCCAGCTTTCTGATTCCGGGAACCTTGTATTGCGAGATGACTCTAATGGAAACATAATGTGGGAGAGTTTTGAACACCCTTCTGATTCTTTCTTGCAGGGGATGAAACTTAGTACCAACAGGTTTACAGATAAGAAGACTCAGCTGACCTCATGGAAAAGTCCTTCAGATCCATCCAATGGAAGGTTCACCTTGGGCATCAATCCTCAGAATATTCCGGAAATATATATGTGGAACGGCAGTCGTCCATACTGGCGGAGCGGTCCATGGGATGGGCAGATTTTTATCGGCATACCTGAAATGAATTCGGTGTACCATTTTAACACATATGATGTTGCAGAGGATAAAGAAGGGAACGTGTACATAAGTTATACCTATTTAAAAGTGTCTCCTTTGTTATTTATTACCTTAAGTTCAGATGGAAATCTAATGAAGAAGAACAAGAGTTGGGAAAATGTGTGGTCGGCTCCAGATATTGAATGTGAAGTTTATGGCAAGTGTGGTCCATTTGGGAGCTGCAATGAGCACGGTTTACCAATTTGCACCTGTTTACAAGGGTTTGTTCCAAAGCATATCGAGGAATGGAGTAGAGGAAATTGGACCAGTGGATGTGTAAGGAGGATACAGAGACAATTGCAGTGTGAGAGAAACAACAGTGGTGGTGAAAAGGGCAAAGAAGATGGGTTTATAAAGCTAATGATGGTGAAAGTGCCGGCCTTCGCTGAGTTGCTGCTATTTGCTCCTGAAGACAAGTGCAGAAGTCAGTGCTTGAATAATTGTTCTTGTATAGCTTATTCATATAAAATTGGCATTGGTTGTATGCAGTGGAGTGGAGACTTAATTGACATACAGGAATTCTCCGACGGTGGAGCAGATCTTTACATCCGTGTTGCATATTCAGAACTTGGTAAGTGTTTTTCATCATCCTTCAAAATATAAGCAAATAACAATAATATGTGCTTCAAATCCTCTTTTTTTCTTCAAAGTATAAGCAAATATCACTTGAATTTGAACCATTGCATATTCTAAACATGTTAGCCACCCGACATTTGTACTTTAGTTCAGAAATGCGTTTGTTGTCTATTTTAATAGCTTAAGTATGAAACCTTTTCCCGTTTGCCCACAGAAAAAGAAAGCCACGGAGAGTGTCTAAACTCCCAATTCTTTAATCTATATTAACACGAGTACTCTCTCAAAGTTTGTTGTGTTTTACAGAAAAAAAGAGAATAACAAAACTAGATATCACAATTGCAGTGCTCATAGGCTCATTGACCATTGCAATCTGTATCTTTCTTTCCTGGATGTGGATGGCTAGACCACGAGGTATATGCCCATTAAAATTAGCTCAAGAGATTTGCACATATTGCTGTTATTATATAGATTACCTATTACTAAATTTTGAATCAGGAAGGAAGAAAAAGAGGGCGAAGTTATTATTTAAAAGAGGGGTAGTGAATCCAGATTGTTCAAATGAAAGAATGCTTGGAGATAATCTCGACCAAATTAAACTCGAAGAGCTACCTCTTTTCAGTTTTGAGAAACTAGCAATTGCAACAGACAATTTTGATGTGGCCAATAAGCTTGGGCAGGGTGGTTTTGGTCCTGTGTACAAGGTAATGTCTGTTCATCGAAGCTCTACGCTGTTTAAAAAAAAAAAAAAAAATCACTTTCATCTTTAATTTCAGGGAAAACTGTCTAGCGGACAAGATATAGCTGTCAAACGGCTTTCGAGATCCTCTAGACAAGGGCTGGAGGAGTTTATGAATGAGGTTGTGGTAATTTCCCAACTCCAACATCGCAATCTTGTTAGACTTCTTGGCTGCTGTGTGGAAGGAGAAGAAAAAATGTTGATCTATGAATACATGCCAAATAAAAGCTTGGATGCATTTCTCTTTGGTTAGTTCATGATAAAGCTTTTTTTTGTTATTTCAATTAGCAAGAACTTCATTGTTTTGAGAAGACAGAAAGCCTTTTCTTTTGTAGTGTTTGTGAACATACTGATCTACTATAAGTCTAAAACTATAAATCCTATCTCAACATCAATTTTAATTTTCCAAAAAACTTTCACATACTTGTTTCTTTTTTTCTTCAATATTGTTTTAGATCCAATCAAGCAAAGACTCCTAGATTGGAGAAGATGTGCTATCATTATTGAAGGGATTAGCCGAGGCCTTCTTTACCTTCATAGGGATTCTAGATTAAGGATTATACATAGAGATCTGAAGACAAGTAATGTTCTATTGGATGAAAATTTAAATCCAAAAATATCAGATTTCGGCTTGGCAAAGATTTTTGGAGGCAACCAAGAACAAGCCAACACTAGAAGGGTTGTTGGAACCTAGTAAGTAGCTTTTGCTTTATTTTGTCCAAAATGATTAATTATTCATGTGATAATTTGTCTTTCTCATGGCAAACTTCAACTCAAATAATTTTACTATTCGGGCTGTCATGATGCAATGTAGTGGCTATATGGCCCCCGAATATGCAATGCATGGAAGATTCTCAGAAAAATCTGATGTCTTTAGCTTTGGAGTATTGTTGTTAGAGATAGTAAGCGGGCGAAAGAACACTAGCTTTTACCACGATGAGCACTCTTTAACCCTTCTAGGATTTGTAAGTTCACGCGAACTATTGCCTCAGTTACTCCGTATAGTTCATTTTAATCTTTTTAATTTCAACTTTTGGTGGTTGTGTCATTGTGTCCAGGCCTGGAAGTTGTGGAATGAAGATAGGATCGTAATGCTAATAGATCCAACAATTTCCGATCCATGCTTCCAAGTTGAGATCTTGAGATACATACATATAGGATTGTTGTGTGTGCAAGATTCTGCCACTGATAGGCCAACTATGTCGACCGTTCTTTTGATGCTTAGTAGTGAAATTGCAAATCTTCCAACTCCAAAGCAACCTGCATTTACTGAAATATGCAGTCTCTCAAATATACGGTCTTCTCAACAGAGCCAAAGGGGATGTTCTGCAAACAATGTAACTATTACAACCATGTATGGCCGTTAGCATGCAACTTCTTCTACTATTCCTCTTACTATCATCCATTAAGTACACTTTAATTGGTTATGCAAAATGTTGTTTTGTTTTACATAATGTGTTCATCAACTGTATGAATTGGTGGGGGTATTTATACTATTGAAATGTAGTCTCCTTCTTGAGATGTGCCTAGGTTGTCTTTGAAGAAATGCTAACATTCAATGATTGGTGGGTTGATTGTGCCGAAATCGATTTGGTCTACGGAGCTATGCAAGAAAAGTAAGCAAGGGTTTGGAACCTATGGGAGCCCCAAACTTGAGTGGTTATGTCATGTGGCTTGTGAAGCTAACGAAATTTAATTACTTAATTTATCATTGTTAATTACAAATTTTATTGAGACATGTAAAAGCAGGAGATTTTAACTACTTTATTTATTTAAATTTATTTTATTTTGGATAGTTGAATGCTCAATTTTAAATATTTTGATGTGTCTGGGGTTAGATTGGAGTTATATAAATAAATTGGGCATTGGAATGTCAGTATAAATTGCACTTGTGAAATGACTATTACAGGAGATGAGTAAATTCTTGGATTTATAGAGGTAATGGGATTATGTGACCTAAGAAATCTGTACCATCACACATATGAATAATAATAATATACATGGTCACTTGTATATTTATATCTATGTGTGAAGCTTGCAATCAGGTATCATATACAAGGTACAGAAGTTAAATTCAAATATAGAATAATGGAAATATAAATATCATAGAATTATTAAAATTATCTACTAATCCCCTCAAGTACATAAACTATTATATTACCCAATCATGTTTTTAAAAATATATCATATCAACCCCTCCCTGTTAGTTGACCATCTAAAATTAATGAGATCTTATCACGCGACCATCACGTGCACCATATATTGCATTATAATGACCAAAATACCCTTGTTCTCTTGCAATGACCAAATTGCCCTCTTCTACAGTCTTCTTTCTTTCTTTCTATCTATCTTTCTCTCTCTCACACACACACACCCAAACACAAAGATACGACTTATAGAAAGCTCTTTTCTGTTAAGATCATCTTATCATTATCATATATATCGCTTCATTTTGATCTTCTCTCTCTACTTTAACCCCCAAAACATATCCAAAACCCTAAAAATTGAATCTTATTTTTATTCTCCTTTCCCAACTTTCTACTTTGGCTGTATATTGGATTTTCCTATTTACCACCATCGTCCACTCGACATCACCCCTCTTCGCACCGGTCGCCGGCCGAGATGAATGTTGGCAGCGATAAAGTCAGTAAAGTTGACGACTTCACCCCACCATCATCAACATGACGACGATAACTATATCAGCTGATTGCGAAGCCGCCGGTGGAGGCAGAGCCGTACTGGCACCGCTGTCGTGGTAGTGGCAGCATTGCTTATTGCCACTGTCGCATGGCTGTTGTTTGTCTTCTCCTAGACCACCACACCTCGCTGGCACCACTTCTTGTGCTAGGAAGGAAGCCCTAATGGAGTGGAAGGATTGGGGAGAGCGAGGGATGAAGATGGGTAGCAAGAAGGCCCAATTGCCTACATGCGGGTTTTGAATATGGAATAATGGGTTGGGGTTTAAAAAGGGGAGTGAATAATTAGAGATCGCTTTCGAAGTGAAAGGAATTAGGTTGTCGCCATATACAAGAATTATTATATGTAAAATTTAGAGAGAGAAAGGGACATACAATTTCCATACAGACCAGAGAGAGAGGGAGGGAGAGTCAAGTAGACCACGTGGAAGACCTCCAAAGATGATAAAGAAGGCTGCCCAATACTACATCGTTTCATATGGGGGCATAATTGTCATTTAAAATTCACAATTTCATTTTAATATAATATCAAGGGCATTCTTGTCATTTCGCAGTCACTTAACGGCTCTGTGATGGAAAGGGGGGTAATGTGATAGTTTATGTTAGTTTAGAGAGTTTTTTTTTAATAATTGAGGGTGTTATATGTAGTTGTTGTAAACAATAGGGTTTTTTTATTTATTTTATTTATTTATTTTTTAATGTTTTTAGCCCTTATTAAAAAGAAAGAAACAATAAGAGTGACAAAAATTTGTATGAGCCTCCCCATTCCCGTGCATGAAAAACCCATACAGTTTCAAGATACAACCCAACTTATTGGTTGTTTTCTTGAAAAGCGTTTGAAGAAGACAATTGGGTTAGTCAAAATTCCCCTCAAAATATGTAAACTACATAAGATTGCTAGATAACATCAAAAGAGAAAGCAGTGTGTTCATTTGATTTGTGAATCTGATCCATGTTGTTCATACTATATCGGTCCGGTCGCGGTTTCATAAATAAGTGATGCATAGGAATCGGTTTGATTCATGATTTGTGGTATAAAAAAACTTATTTCATCTATGAATCTGATCTTATTTGTTACTCATATAATATATATGAATATATATAATACTAGTTAACCCGAAACATAATAGGCTAACCCCCATCCCCTTATAATATATATTTCTATAATATACATAAATTATATTACTATATATTTATGTAATTCATGAATCAAAGTTCAGTATTGTTTTTGAGCTTATTTTCTGTTTCTCCAATTATGGGAGGCCACTGAAATAATTTTGTGAGTATAAACCACATGATCTATAATTCTTCATCATGTAGTTACAACTTGCAGTCACTATATTGTCTCGATTATTTCATTTCAATCTTATATCTTGGGCTAAATTGCGTTGTTTATAAAAGTCTAATTCGTAAAATCAATCCAATGTTTCACATATTGGGCTGGCGTTATTTACAAAACACAATTAAAAAATCAATGTGATGGTTTACTAATTGTGTTGATTCAAATTTAGACTCTCATCGGTGCAGTTAAAATTAGTTTTGGATTTTATGATAGCGTTGGAGATGATTAGTTTTGATTTTAGGTCTAAATGGAACCAATCCAATCCGTCTACACCACTAATAAATAGGGATATTGTGAATTTGCGAGAGAGAATATACATATACATATATGTGTGTGTGTGTGTGTGTAAAGCCTATTTGATAGCCCACCTTATATGTTACATTTGATTTTTTCAGCATGAATCTACCTTATGATTCATGTGAAGTAAAAAGAAGCGTTTTCTGGCCTGGATATGCAAATTTGGGCTTCAGGCATGACCCCTTGGCCCGCTGAAAAGTCAAAACCTAATAGGCTTGGGCCTAAGTTCCCTAAACTACAGGCCTTGGATGGACCTAATGTATTATATTTTGCTTACATAACAATATATATATATATTTCATATCATAAGAGACAAGTATAAATAAAATACTATGTTGTATGCTAGCAAGCACAAATAATTCTACGAATGAGCCATACCCATGCCGGACATAAACACTCTGTGTCCGACATTTCATATACGTGTCTATAAATAAAAATTATGTTTTCTTTTTCTTAATTGGTACTCACACGCACATACCTCTATCGAGACTCGAACCTCTGACCTCCCTTTGGGAAGTAGGAGCCTGGTACTACTAGGCAATTGGCATATTGGTCAACATAATTATGTTTTCATCAACCAAACTTCCATGACACATATAAAAGATATACACGCTAATTTGTGTCTGATAACTAGAACATGGACAGAAGTCCATCTTGAATTGTGGTCAGAAGTTACGATCTTGAATTATGGTCACGACCGTCGGCAAAAGGAGTTGTTGGTACCATCACCATGATTGTTCCTTGCCATATATCAACCTGTCATGTTAAAATTTGAATTTTGATACTCTCAACTGTAACTTTAAGTTCTAGTCTAACCAAAATCATGAATGTAACTTTAAGTTCTAGTCTAACCAAAATCATGAATGTCCCAAGACAGAGAAGGTTTTTTTTTTTTTTTTTTTTTTTTTTTTGTTAGGACTTAAATTCAAGGAATTTTAAATTTGTATGCTCAATCTTCATTTAAACCTTTCTAGAAATATTGCAGAACAGACTCCTAAAAGGTTGATCCTTGTAATTAAGATGCATTGCAGCATTTATGTTTTGCTAGTTTTTGCCTGTTGGTAAGAAAATGAATGATACTTCGGGAACAAATAAATAAAAAAGAATGAAGTCTATGAACATCTCCAAGAATAAATCAACAATGATCAAATTTTAACTACAATTAAAACAACCCTAAAATGCTACCAGTCATAAAAAAAATATATATATATTCGGCATGACCTCTGCTAAAAAGGGTCCTACCACAACTTATTGAAATGCATAAAAAAAATGTAATCGCCTCACTTGGCCATAAACTAATCTATCATGTCCTAACGTAGAACGCAAATAATATAAAACATTCCCAAAACATCAATATACATATAAAAAGAGTCCAGTTCCACCAATTCCTTTAAAAAAAAAAAATAGAAGCGCCAGTCTACTACCTAGTCCCATACTCCTTTACAAGGGACATACTCTAATTACATCAATTTACAATCCATGAAATATAACTGAAATCAAAAGTCCATAATTTACAACATTATACAAATTATACTAAAATTTTACAGAATAGTCAAGATTTACATTTACAAAATATTAAAATTCTAAACAAAAATAGTAAAAATATAAATCTCCAATCCCGTCTAATCTTGTTGTGGATGGTCGTCTGCCACCTCCTTCCCGTGTCCTGAAAAATATTAATAATAAAGGGGTGAGTACAATGGCTCAGTAGGACGTGCCTAAGACATACCTCTTGTGAGTCCGTGAATCTAAACAAGGAATAAGAAAAAGAACCAAGATCATGCCATTTCTAGAAAAAAAAAATATAACCACAACATCAACGACGTAATCCAAGTCATTAACGAACCATGCCATGCTATGGAATGAAATGTTGCTCCCTATTTCCAAAACCTTTTTCCGTCATCATTTTCAAACTGTTAGTATAACCCATCCCATGGCAACTCCATGGCGTCATTTAGGCCCAGGTAACTCAACCACACTAGGAAAATCACCCTAGTTCTCTGTAGGCCATACTAACGCCGCAATCCCTAGGCAACTCCTAGGTGGTCGGGTTTTCGCAAATCCTTTCAAAACTTTTTCCCCAAAACCTTTTTCATTCCATTTCAAAATAACTTTTCCATTTTCCTTACCCAATGCCTATGCATGAAACACATCATGCCTTTTCATACCATACCAATACTCATTTTCATATAATTAATTCAACTTAAAGCACATAGCATGCTTTACAAGTAAATAAATATAATAATAAAAAAAAAATGAATACTTCCATTCAACAATAATCTAGCATGGTAAGCTTATAAAACATGAATTTTAGTCCACACAAGCATGCTCGATCACAACACATCATTCAACACCTAATTAAACATTCCATATATAACATTAAACCAATTTTTGCAAGAATTGATACAAATTGAACATGCTATGTAACAATTTATACAAGATAATTCACAAAAGTACAAGAAGATTATGGATTAGGGATCCCTACCTCACTTTGATGCAAAAACTCCCAATTTGCCCAAATCCAAGCCCTAGAATTCGAAACACCAAAATTACCTTTGCTCCGATCAAATCGAAGATCTCGGCAAATTCTCCGTTTTGCTGCAAACAGCACCCAAAAATTCCAATTGGTGAGGGAGAAATCAAGGATTGAATTTTTGCTTGAAAAGAAATAGAAAATGAACAAGAAAGGAAAGAGAGAGAGAGGTATAAGTGGTGGATCCCACCACTTTTTTTTTTTTTTAAAAACAAAAATTTTCTTTTTAACTTTATTTTTACACCACAATTATATATATATATATACCTACACATAATAATTCTCAACCATATATAACACATTAAATAAAATAAATATGATGCAAATGGACCCAAACAACACCCTGTACGCGACAAATCCGGTAGTGGATCCCATACGGGACCGTCCAGCTTAAAAACAAAAAAAATGCCAAAATGGTCACCCTTACATTTTAAAGAGTCCTAAACTCAAAGAAATGCTCCAACCAACTCTTTGACACACCTGACACATCTCACGGTGCCAGGCACTCAAAACGTGAAAAGACAAAAATGCCCCTGTAAAATTCAAAAAATTCTGGAAAATGGAAAATGGTAAAAAAAAAAAAATAGAAACATTCATGCCGCATAGTTTTATTCTCAGAAACTTTTGTGCCAAAGTTTTTCAATGGTTTAAGGGTCTGAATTTAAAAGTCTGCAAAAGTTGTAAGAATTCAATGTTGAATTATTATTTTATTTTTCCTTTTTGATTGGTAATTCAGTGATGATTTTCGTATAAAATAAAATGCTGATGAGTTGGAGAAATAAATTCTTGGTGTATATAAATATGAGTGAATGCATTAGAGTTATCCTACTTACTATAGTACAAGCTTAATGACTCTTCTACAAAACCTTGTTTTTACTTTTTCCAACTAGAGTTTAGCATTGCCAAAGACACAATTACACCAATTCAACGAATCAACGACCCTGAAAGTATAGTCTCCAATGGTGCAAATTTCAAACTGGGATTTTTTAGCCCCTTCAATTCTACAAAGCGTTATGTTGCTATCTGGTATAACAATGTCCCTGTTACAGCTGTGGTCTAGGTAGCAAATAGAGATAAACCCCTTAATGATTCTTCCAGGACTCTGAATATATCTGAAGATGGCAACCTTGTGGTCATAGATGGACAAAAACAGATTGTGTGGTCATCAAATGTTCCAAATTCTTCGGCGCATTCAAGTGCCTAGCTTTTAGATTCTGGGAAACTTGTGTTGCGAGATAACTTTGGCGGAAGCATAACGTGGGAGAGTTTTGAACACCCTTCTGATTCAATGTTATAGAAGATGAAAATTAGTACCAACAAATATACAGGTGAGAGGACTGTGCTCACCTCTTGGAAAAGCTCTTCGGATCCATATACTGGAAGCTTCATTTATGGTTTGAATCCCTTGAATATTCCAGAACTGTATGTATGGAGTGGTAGTCATCCTTTCTGGCGGAGTGGTCCATGGAATGGACAGAGCATTATTGGAGTACCCAACATGGTTGTGAACTATAACACTCTTGAGGTCGTCGATGATAAAGAAGGAACACTTTATACAACTTATACTTCTAGAGATGAATCCATGTGTTACTTTTTCTTGAATTTTGATGGAATTGTAGTGCAGAGATACAGAGATGTTGGAAAGGAGAATTGGGAAGATACGGTTCTGGCTCCACGAAATGAATGCGACGCATATGGCAAGTGCGGTCCATTTGGAAGCTGCAATGTGCAAGATTTACCAATTTGCATATGTTTACAGGGGTTTGAATCAAAGGATATAGAGGAATGGAATAGAGGAAATTGGACCAGTGGATGTGTGAGGAGGAGACAGTTGCAGTGTGTAGGTGTCCAAAATATGTTAGCCCACATGGCCCACATAACTTGGTCAAATAGTTAAAGAATTATGCCACATCATCAACAATGACCACATAGCTTGGTCAAATAGTCAACAGACTACGCCACATCAGCAACGATGGCCCACAAATCAAATGGTCAACAGTCAAAGATACGTGCCATTTACCACGTTATCAGTATACCTCGAACAGAAAATCGAAGACTAGAAGACCTGAGTTGGGAGTAGGACTCAGGATTACTTGGGATCCGAGGAGGTTCTTGGTTTAGTGGATGAAGTTCAGGGATCGTTGAAGTAACACTCGATATGACTCGCAGAAAGAGATACCATTTTGACTCCCATACATTCTGGACCCATCTTAATTAACATTATTTTTTAATGTTAATGGGCCCCACATATGATGTCATATGACTTCACCCAACCTCTTTCTTGGCCTATAAAAGGATGTGTTCCAAGACCAAGTAAAGGTAGAGCAATAAGAGAGGAGAAAATAACCTTTATGCTTTCTCCATACACCTTCATCAAGGGAGTCAATGGTCTACCATGACACTGCCATCTTCACCCTCTCTCTCTTAAGTTTGCCTGTGCTTCCACCTCTCTCAGTCCACCTCGGATCATATTATGTTGTCTGAATCACTTAGATTTGTGTATGATATCACCATTTATATGTATTTTATTGTGTTACGAAAATGAACCCCCATAATTTGGTGACTCCGCTGGGGATATCAGCACAAAGTCGATGGACTCAGGCAACCATCCTTCTACAATATACCTCTGAAGCTTGAGGTTTACTATCTCATTTCTGTGTCCATTGCTATCCACTTGGCTGGCATACTTTTACGCACTCTAACTGGCGCACTCACATTCCCCAAAACCCTGGCATCGCGCCCAGGTACCCAAAACCCTGGCATCGCGCCCAGGTACCAAAACCCTGGCATCGCGCCCAGGTACTCAAAACCCTAGTATCGCGCCTAGGTACTTAAACCTTGGCATCGCGCCCAGGTACCCAAAACCCTGGCATTATGCCCAGGTACCCAAACCCTGGCATCGCACCCAGGTACTCAAAACCTTGGCATCGCGCCCAGGTACTTAAACCCTGGAATCGTGCCCAGGTACTCAAAACCCTAGCATCGCGCCCAGGAACCCAAACCCTGGCATCATGCCCAGGTACCCAAACCCTGGCATCGCACCCAGGTACCCAAAACCCTGGCATCGCGCCCAGGTACCCAAAACCCTGGCATCGCGCCCAAGTACTCAAAACCTGGCATAGCGTCCAGGTACTTAAAACCCTGGCATCATGCCCAGGTACCCAAACCCTAGCATCATGCCCAGGTACCCAAACCCTGGCATCGCGCCTAGGTACTTAAAATCCTGGCATCACGCCCAGGTACTCAAAACCCTGGCATCATGCCCAGGTACCCAAACCCTGGCATCGCGCCCAGATACTCAAAACCCTGGCATCACGCCCAAGTACTTAAACCCTGGCATTGCGCCCAGGTACTCTGAACCCTGGCATCACGCCTAGGTACTCAAAACCCTGGCATCACGCCCAGGTACCCAAACCCTGGCATCCCCCTCAGGTACCCAAACCCTGGCACAGTGCCCAGGTACCCAAATCCTGGCATCCCGCCCAGGTCATCAAACCCGAAGGCCTCACCCTTAGGTTAGCAAGCCCTAGTATTTCACTAGGTCGTCAAACCTCGCATATAACACCACTCTCGAGTCATTTATGCACGGCTACTCTTTTATGAATTCTGCAAAGAGCATCCGCGCAGGGGGACAAAATGTAGGTGTCCAAAATATGTTAGCCCACATAGCCCACATAACTTGGTCAAATAGTCAAAGAATTATGCCACATCATCAACAATGACCACATAGCTTGGTCAAATAGTCAACAGACTACGCCACATCAGCAACGATGGCCCACAAATCAAACGGTCAACGGTCAAAGATACGTGCCATTTACCACGTTATCAGTATACCTCGAACAGAAGATTGAAGACTAGAAGACCTGAGTTGGGAGTAGGACTCAGGATTACTTGGGATCCGAGGAGGTTCTTGGTTTGGTGGATGAAGTTCACGGATCGTTGAATTAACACTCGACCTGACTCGCAGAGAGAGATACCATTTTGACTCCCATATATTCTGGACCCATCTTAATTAACATTATTTTTTAATGTTAATGGGCCCTACATATGATGTCATATGACTTCACCCAACCTCTTACTTAGCCTGTATAAGGATGTGTTCCAAGACCAAGTAAAGGTAGAGCAACAATGGAGGAGAAAATAACCTTTATGCTTTCTCCATACACCTTTATCAAGGGAGTCAATGGTCTACCATGACACTGCCATCTTCACCCTCTCTTTCTTGAGTTTGCCTGTGCTTCTACCTCTCTCAGTCCACCTCGGATCCTATTATGTTGTCTGAATCACTCAGATTTGTGTATGATATCACCATTTATATGTATTTTATTGTGTTACGAAAATGAACCCCTACACAGTGCAAGGGAAACAACATTAATGGCGGGAAGGGAAAAGAAGACGAGTTCTTAAAGAAAAAGACAGTTAAAGTACCGGCCTTTGCAAAGTTATCACCTGCAATATTATAGAATAACTGTAAAAGCGAGTGCTTGAATAATTGTTCATGCTTAGCCAATGGATATTATAGTGGTATTGGTTGTTTGCAACGGAGCGAAAACTTAATTGACATACAGAAATTCACCTATGGTGGGGTGGATCTTTACATCCGTCTAGGATATTCAGATCTTGGTAAGGTGTCGCATCTCCTTTTTTGATATTGTAATTTAAATAATCCTCTTATGCTTCTATTGTTTGTTTACTGGTTTATTTTAGTTTTTTTCTTAGATGTGACCTATCAAAACAGTAACCATTGTACTATCTGAAATTCATGATCAATTTTTGAAGTCGATAATCCATTAATCCATTTTGACAGCATTAGTATAAATCTTTTTCTAATTTACCAAAGAAAAGAGCGGCATCTATAATAAATTCTCAATTCTTTCTTTCATTTCAACTCTACTCCTTCAAATTTTGTTGTGTCTTACAGATATAAAGAGAAACACTCAAATAGTTATCACAATTGCAGTGATCATAGGGTCAGTAGCAACTGCTATCTGCATTTATCTTTCTTGGAGGTGGATGTCTAAGCCAAGAGGTATATTCCCATTACAATTAACTCTAGATAAATAAAATATTTTCTCTTAATAAATGATTGCATAACTAAATTTTGATTCAGGAAGGAAGAAAATTAAAGCCAGTCCAGAGCGTTCAAATGAAAGTGTGCTTGGAGATAAACTGAAACAAGCTAAATTTGAAGAATTAACTCTATTTAGTTTTGAGGCATTGGCGATTGCAACAGACGAATTTCTTGTGGCCAATAAGCTTGGGCAGGGTGGGTTTTGTCCAGTGTACAAGATAATATTTGTTCTTTTGAAGTTGAAGCTTTACTAACAATAAGAAAATAAAAGTAATAATAATAATTTCACTTTTACCTTATTTTATGGGGAAAATGCCAAGTGGAGAAGGAATAGCTGTTAAACGGCTTTCAAGATCGTCTAGACAAGGGCTGGAGGAGTTTATGAATGAGGTTTTGGTGATTTGTTGATTCCAGCACAGTAATCTTGTTAGACTTATTGGATGTTGTGTGGAAGCAGAAGAAAAGATGTTGATCTATGAATATATGCCAAATAAAAGCTTGGATGCATTTCTCTTTGGTCAGTTCATCCAAATTGTGATCTTTTTGTCATTTATAGTTGTTTTCTATTCATTGCTTCAGCATGGCTACTACATAAAATAATATTTTGAAGAATAAATAGATTTTCTCATTTAGTTTTTGGTTTTAGATCCATGCAAAAAAAAACTCTTGGATTGGAGAAAACGTGCCAGCATTATTGAAGGGATTGGTCGAGGTCTACTTTACCTTTATAGGGATTCCAGATTAAAGATTATTCATAGAGATTTAAAGAGAAGTAACATTTTGTTGGATGAAGAGCTTAACCCAAAAATTTCAGATTTCGGCATGGCAAAGATTTGTGGAGGCAATGAAAACCAAGCCAACACTGCTAGGATTGTGGGAACATAGTAAGCATCTATTGCTTTCCCCAAATGCTTGATCATTTCTATTTTATAACTTTTTTTCTCACGGGATAGTTCAACTCAAATAATTTTTCTATATGGGCTGAAATGATTCAATGCAGTGGCTACATGGCCCCTGAATATGCAATGGAATGGAGATTCTCGGAAAAATCTGATGTCTTTAGCTTCGAGTGCTTTTATTAGAGATTGCAAGTGCGCGGAAAAGCACTAGTTTTTATCAGAATGAGCACTCTTTGAGCTTTCTTGGATCTGTAAGTTCATTTGGAACATTGGCCTTTGTTATTCATAGCTCCATCTAAACTTTCCAATGTTAGCATTTCACGGTTGTTTATTGTCTTCAGGCATGGAAACTATGGAATGAAAATAGGATTGTAATGCTAATAGATCCGACAATATCTGATCCGTGCTTCCAAGTGGAGATCTTGAGATACATACACGTAGGGCTGCTATGTGTCCAAGAATTCGCGAGAGATACGCCTACTATTTCCACCATTCTATCAATGCTTAGTAGTGATTTTGCAAATCTTCTAACTCCAAAGCAACCTGCATTTACTGAAAAACAGTTTCTCTTGAATATCAGGTCTTCTTAACATAGCCATAAGAGATATTCTGCAAATAATGTCACTGTTACAATCATTGAAGGCCGTTAGTATTTATACTTTTAAGCTTATACTATTGTTTCATTCCTAAAGTACATTGCAGTTGTATATTCTAAGTTTGTTTTGTTTTGTTTTGACGTTGTTGGAATCAATATTTTTTGAAAGCCAGTGTTTGCCTTGATCCACTCACATTGATGTAATTTGGGAGAAAATCTGTTTCAAATAAAGAAGCAGCTAGCAAATTTTCAGTAACAAAGTGACAACGTTTTGTTTTGTTTTTTTTTGTTTTGTTTCGTTTTTTTTTTTTTTTTTTTTTTGGTCTAAAACATTATTAATCAATCCAGAATCTCATACTTTGTTTTATTTTGTTTCAAGAAATTTTGATGTGGTAGAGCACCTCTTTTTCAAATTACTTTAGTCTTGCCAAGACTTGTCTTACAAAAAATTTCTTAGTCACCAAAACTTCTCTTATAACAAACTGCAATATAAAATAAATCATAAATAGAAATAAAATTTTAACAACAAATCCTAACAATCTCTCCATTACAAAGGGTAGTTAGTGTATGTTGTGCTTAACTTTCAACCAAAAAAAAGAAGAAAAAAAATTCAAATCTAAGGCTTCAACTACTTCAACAAATAGATTTGACTATGATTTCGTCCAACCTACCCCTACCCAAAAAATAATAATAATAAATAAATAAATGGTGGGTACTGTACCGTGTAACCAAATTTGTGTGCAAATTAGTGTAGCCAAGTTTTACATTTATAGATGCCACTACTACCGCTAACTAAAAATATAACAAGGGTGAGTAGGGATCGTCCCAAGGGATTGGTGGGTCATATTAGGTTATGGAATCGAGATTAGGGATAGTAGGTCGAGTGATCAAAAGATTGGTTGGTGGTTGAATTACACTAAGATGCAATTTAGACTAAAGTAAACAATTAAATGCAATAGAGGTAAAATAAGAGAGAGAGAGATATTGGGGTTTAGAGATCACCACTAAGCATAACTTTTCTACATCCTTAATAAATGATTAATGAGGGGAAAAGCATGTATTGTAACAAAGGTGTGTGTGTGGTTGTTTCAACAAGTATGGATGACCAATTAAGCATATATTGTCTATACAACACAATGAATAGTACAATATATCAAACTAAGTCATTAATTCCTCTTTAAGCTCACAATCCAAACACATCACAAAATTAAAGAAATATGCCATTTGCATTCATAAGTATGGAACATCAAACAACAAGCATGGATTGTCCTCCCATTTAACATCTAAACTACCACTACACTACAATTAAGCTAAAGACATGAGTTTAAACTAATTAAAACAAGGGAGAGGCACAATCCATCAAGAAATGAGTATGATCCATCAAATAAACCACAAGAGCATTCTATTAAGCACTATGTCTTGACAATCTCTAGATCTATAGTGTAACGACCCGATCATTTGCCTTCCTTTCCTTTTTCCTGAAATTTTACGAACGAATTTTTTTCGTTTAATTTTCTTTTCTGAGCTCTATTTCATGCCGCTTAGTGCCATCTCGAGTGCTCAGAGTTGGTTTCTGAGACTCTTTCATGTGGATTGACAACTTCCTTTGAGGATCGAGTCATTTTCGCATTTTTCGTTTTTCAGACACTATGCGCTATTTCGTCTTTTCCCTATTCTGTCATTTTCCCTATTTCGTCTTATCTCCGTTTGTTAGTTTTTGGCACAACCTCACTTTTCAAGCTCGGAGTTGGTTTTTAACTTCACGTATCCTTATCGTGAGTGGTTTCCACGAAATACGTATCTTTACTTTTGCAAGAAGGTACTCTAGTTGCTCCCGGTGCCCATAGGGGCATGGATGTATAAATCTTTGGAATTAATTTCATTTCTTGGGGTGTTTTTCATAAATATATTTTGAAGATATTTTATTTCAGGGGCATCTAAGAAAATATCTTTTGGAAGATTTTTTCATTCTGGGGCAGTTTCGCAATTAACCCTTTTTGTAGGGGTCATTGTGCAATTAACGAAAGTTATTGCAAAATGTCTCGTCTGGAGCCTGGATTCTCGTACGGGATTCATTTTTCTTTAACGATATGGAAAGAAAATGTAAGTTTCTTAAAATGAAGAAAATAAAAGTCAATTAACTAATTGTTGTAGGATTAGATCCTAAGGCTACAATTAAAAGTGAGTATATAATTTCTTATTCCCCAGAGTAATTAAACACTAGTGTGTATGTATAATTGTGTGTATAAATAGAGACTCAATCAAATAGGTTACATATAATTATTGACGACTTTTAATGTTGTCAATTTAATTATTGAGGCCTTTCTCTATATCCAATCTCTTTCAACCACACTATGTCTCAAGGAAATGGGTTGAGGTCTTGGTCTAGTAAAATAAAATAATAAAAACTATCTATAGAGCCTTGTTCTCGATCTTCTATGGAGCTCAAGTCGCAATGTGATATGTCAAATTGCAGCAATTGGGTTTGGTGTACATGTCATATTCCAACAATTGCGTTTTTGTTATTCACCATTCGTCAACAAAGTGTGGCGGGTGAAAGGGGCTCGTCAACCATAGGGAAGACTAGATCAAGATCTTTATCGATGGCTATATCCATTGATACCAATACAAAATAATCCTTAAATTCATTAATACACCATCACCTAATTTATAATGTCATAACTATCCTATATACAATTTTTAAGAAAATAATTTATTAAATAATAATAACATTCCACAAAAGATAATTTATTCCATACTTTTTTTTTTTTGGATACAATTGAAAGGAATATTTATTCAATGAAATTAACTTTTTTTTTTCAGTCATACCAATAATCTTTTTTTTGGTAATTTTTTATTCATTCATTCAAAAATAATAATTTATTCAATTAAAATAACTTTTTTTTTTATATTTTCTTTAATAGATATAATTTTTTAATAATTGTACTCTGTTTTTTTTTTTTTTTAAATCTTGACAAAAGAGATAATTCTTCAATAAATATATATTTTTATGACAGTTATTTTTTTAAATAATTTTTAATGATTATTTTTTTTTTTTTTTTTTGTCTGATCTAAGAAAACAATTTATTATCATAATATATTAAATATTAGGAATTATAGTTAAGGTGAGGTATAATTACTTGTAAAGTTAATATTAAAGTTAATATTAAAATTATCAATTGTAGTGCAAACCTTAATAAGTGAAGATAAGGAGCTGCGCAGCACCTACAAAATGGGAATTAGATAGAATATAAAATAGGGAGATACAAACAAGAACCAATCCCAATGAACAGGTGCAAATTCCGCAATTGTGGCTTCTTTAAGCTCCTTTATTATAATTTAGATATGCTATTTTGAAGTCAATCTAATTTTTATAGCATCTTTTTTACATAAACCGGTTTATTCATCTTTGCAAGGAAGCACACCAATCCATCCCGAACTTGGTGGTTAAACTCTACTGCAGTAACCATACCGTAAGGGAGGCCCTGCAGAAAAATATCACATTTACTTGACCTTAATTTTTGTCGGTCTGTCCTTCATTCAAATTTTCGTGCTTTTACACCAATTCCGCATTAATACAAGTGAGCACAACCTTAGTCAAATGGCTGTGTTTCAAACCTAATTTAAATAGCATAAGAACAAAAGAAAGAGAAAAAGGAAAAAAAATCATACGTAGGAACAATATAAAAGCTGTTTGCACGAATCAAAGTAGATATGAAAGGGGTTTGAATTCTCTCCAATGTTTTTTGCTAGATTCATAGATGCTAGGAATAGGAAATCTAGGTGTCTACATTTTTGGGTTCGTTTTCAACACAAACTTCACAGTTAAACATCTTGTAAAATGCTGCAGCACTCCTAGAATTCAGAACATTCTAATCAAATCAAATTTGTAAACAAACAACAGAACACAAAATCTCGCAAAATCTCGCAGCTGATTGATTTTGAAGTTTTCAATGTGACAAATCTTCAAATCTAAAAAATTTAAATTAAATTAAGATAATGAATGAATCATTCTGCTCAGAAGAGGCATTAATCACAGACAATAGTCATATGTCCAGACATAATTTAGCAACTTCATCATCATTGCAGATGGATATCAAAGAAAGAAGCAATCCAATAGTTCAAAGATTATTAGTACCACATTATAATGTAAAAACAGTAATGGCTTCCATGGCAGGTTCAGTTTCTAACAAAAATATATTATAATCATCACAGACTCTCAGAGACATTCCACGAGTGGAAAATGTGCAGACAATCAACACGGCATCAGATTCAGACCGCCCGTCTGCTTTTTCTCATCATTGAGGTTCAAGCTATGAAAATACAGAACTAACTAAACACAACTCAGACTGTCTTGGTCATTACAAGCTAATTACTTACTCTAAAATTATATCTATCAAAACGATTCTGGAATTAAGTAGTAATAATCATGACTGAATTAAGAAATATAAACAACAATCTAGCCAAAAAAAAAATATTATATAGAAAATTAAGGGAAGGCATCAGATAATAAGCGGAGTTTCAATCTACATCAAAATTCAGTGTGTACGATAAGATTATTTACATCATTGCCTTCATTCACAACATAAAACATAATAAAAGAATAAAACAAGAAGACAATCAAAAGGAGTTACAATAGCAGCCCATATATCACATTTTTTCTTTTTGGTAAAGAATATACTATCATACTTTTCAATAGAAAAAACATTTACATGGATCAACTTCATCTTTCAAAAAAATGACCCCAACCCTTCATTTTTGTTTGCAAATTACATTATACTAGCCATAATTGAAAGGCGATCAAATATAAGATAAAACAAGACATCAAATTTGAAGCAAAATAAGAAAACCAAATACAAATCTATAAAAAAAAAAAAAAAAAAAAAAAAAAAAAAAAAAAAAAAAAAAAAAAGACTAAATTCAAAACAAAAAACATTAAAAATACATAATCATAGCAACAATTGTTACTAATATTGTAATGGCATCAGACAATAAGCGGAGTTGTAATCAACACGGTTAATCAGTGTGTAGGATAAGATATATTCATCATTTGCCATATAATTCCTAAAAATCAAAACCCTATTTTGGGATGCAAAAATATAAAACAATGAACAGATAAACACCAAAAAGAAATAAATATAGGTAGGTCCATTTGACTCCAAGGCAAAAACAAATATGCAATGGGCTGGTAAGCCAACCTTTCACTTTCTGCATCAGTTATATCTCCTCACACATTCAAGTTTTGATGCAAGGAGAGGGTAAAACAAATGCAAATTATATGTAATATCAATAGACTATATATACATATATATATATGCACACACAAACTATACATATTACGATGAAATCAAATAAATCTACGAGCCTACGAGTCTGAGAATAGTATATCATGTCAATTGATTGAAACATATACACGATGATGAAATCAAATAAATATACGAGTCTCAATCGATTGAAACACATACATATATGATATATGACGATGAAATCAAATCAATCTACGAGACTAAATATAGTATATCATGTCAATCGATTGAAGCATATACATAAACTGTATATTACGATGAAATCAAGGAAATCTATGACCGTGAAAATCGACTCGGAGAGACACATCTTACGTCCCAGAGGCGGCAAGATGCGAAGAAGCTGCATAGTTGTGGCTCTCTCTCTAGTAAAGCTTAAATAGAGCTTTGCTCGATTAGGGTTTAGGGTTTCAGATCCCATTAGTGCGTGCGCGTGTGGCTGTGAACACGTTGTGACTTGTGGGACTGTCCATTGTCGTCCGTCTGATAATAAGACTCCGAAAACTTCATCATCCAACGGGTGTGGATGAACAGTTACGTTAGTCACGAAATTTCGAGTTATTTAGCTGAAAATAACAAAAAGGCAAATTGCAGCGACACCGTTTGGTTTAAAGACACCCGATGACTTTTTGGACCATGACTATTCCTAAGTTTACAAACTTGAACAATGATACCCTAAATATGATGAAAATACGTATTTACCCTTTAATCACGTAAAATAACCAAAACAGCCTCAGCTAATATACGCATCCACTACTGAGTTCAGTCCACATTCTAGAGCCGAACTCATCACAGAAATCCACAACGCCGACCTTCCCTTTTGCTACGGGATCGGCTGGACAGACCGGCAGAATCAACCAGCGAGGGATAGCGGCTTGTGCACGTCGGCGATTGACAGAACAGCAGGCAAGATGGGCTGTGGATGAAGGTTGGCAGTGCTCAGATGTGGTTGAATCGCAGTGGGCTTGCGGTGTTGCACCCAGGGGCGGCTCGATCCTTAAGCGAGTTAGACGGCCGCCTAAAACCCCAACCAATAAAAAGGCCCCATATGATATATTATAATTGTTTCCTTATTGAACGCTAATTTTAAAAAATTTATTTCCTAAAATAACTTCTTCTTTTTTTCTCTCTCCTTATCATCATTCACGCCTTTTATTAAACTTTAACCAAGAGAGAAATTATTTATCTCCTAAAATATCTCATTTTTTTATTATTTATCCCATAAAATATCTCATTAATATTTTATTTCTTTGTCTCCTAAAATATCTCACTAATATTTTATTTATTTGTCTCCTAAACTATCTCATTAATATTTTATTTCTCTTTGTCTATCTTATACACGTTTTTTTTTTCAGCACTATATATATTTAATATTTTTTCGGTAAGTTGTAGTACAATAAATATTTAGCTGTTGTATGGAAAAGTAAAGAAACTTTTCATATTCTCTTTTTCTAGATTTTTATTTTTTATTTATTTATTTTTTCTTATTCCTAATCCTCACGTTCATTCTGAATTCTAATTTCTCCTTTCTCAGCAAACTTAACAAGTTACAAGTCATCTCCCTTCTCAATCTTCTCTCATTACAACTTTATAATTTTTTTCTCGACTCAATATTCATTAGTCTCAGATCTCAATTTGAATGCACTTTTCTTATTGAAGAATTTGCAGCAGCATTGAATTGAGGACTTTTGAAATCAGGTTATATTGCATCTCAAAAAGCAAGAAGGGTAATTTTTAATTAATTATTATATAATAATTAATATATTGCATATTATGGTATGAAAAGGTTATTTTTTTATTTTTAGCCTTAGGCCCTGATTTACATCGAGCCGCCCCTGGTTGCACCGATAGGCGGTGGTGACAACGGTTCGCGGCAAAGACAAGGTGGATGGTGGGTTTGCAAGGCGACTCAGCGGGATCTCGCGACGAGCAAGGAGAAGCTCGGTGGTGAGAGGAACAGCCAGCAAACTTGGATGAAGCTAGCTTGAATAGTGCGACAATGGCTTGCTGTTGATTTATATATATTTATACCTTATAAAAGTATATTTTATTTATATTTTTTATATACACTTTTTGGTAATAATAATATATACATGATTATTTTATAAACGTAGTCTCAGTTTTAAGTTATTGTTTCAAACTTTAGTAGAACTATGCTGGTTGCAACTTATATAATATCAATTTTACATTAAGATTTTTTTTATATTCGTATCTCTTTCTTTATATATATCTCATATAAATGATGTCCGAGTTGAAATATGCATGTTACAAATTATATCTCTCTTTCAACATCTCTATGTATAAAGTCCTTCTCAGAGGTTTTTTATCTAATGTTCCAACGACAACTTTGAGACACGAGAGTGGTAATTTGGTTCATATGCATCAATTGCAAGTTACACCTCACAGCCTTATTTTTTGGAAGGAATGTTTCTTGTTAATATATATGTATAATATTTATTTATATTCATTATTTCATTTCTCGTGATGAAATCTGTTTCTCATATGTTATTAGAATTTTAAGTTGTGAGTTTTAAATGATTTTTTATAATACACAATATATATTAACATTATCCATCTTAAGAAAATAAACAGCTATTGAGTCACATATGAAGATAAGTTTCACATGACATGAGATCTTGGATTTTTTATTATTTCGTACTTTTATTGCACATAAATGTATATCTTATATTCATAATGCAGTTTTTTATTTCTTTTTAAAATTTTAAAGTGCTCACATTACAGGAGATGCAATATCAGAGCACTGCACCTGATGAGAGATGAGATCTTTAAAGTATTAGAACAAAGTAATGGATGTGTAATGTTTATTGTTCTATTTATTTTTATAGTTTTTTAGTTATTTATGTTGTAAATCCTGTGAGAAGAAATTATATAAATATTATATAAATTATTAAGTTTATATTTTTATTTGCATTTTAAAATTCGTTCTTTTCTGTTTCGAAAGTGAATGGTGAATCCTTTCCCTCTCTTTGCCAATCTCAATGATCGGTAGCAATGTTACATAAATTTTTAATATTTATACACATTTAAACAATTATTATGACTTTATAAATCTATATCGTTATTGGATTTATAAAATTTATATACATTTTAAAGTAGATCTTTTAATTTAAAATTTATTTATTTGAATTTTTATGTTGTAATAGTTACCTTTTTAAAATTTGGTTATTAGTTGTTTATTACAATTGTTATTTTATAATAATTGGCTGCTAACTAAACTAACTAACTGCTATTTAAGAGTTGCATATTTTTAGATTTCATTCTAATGGTTATCAATCAATCATTATTTCTGAATTAATATGATTATTTACAATTTAAAGCAGTTGTTTTAATAAATATTTGTTTTTGTGACTTTTCACGTTTTAAGAGTCACAAATAATTTGGATATTAACTACTACTTAAGAGTCGTGTGTTTTCAAATATCTTAATATTGAAGAGTGGTTTAAGTACAATTGTTATTGTTATTTCTTAATAGTTTGATACTAACTCTATTTAAGAGTTGTGCCTTCGTAACACCACGTTTGTTACTATTGAGGAGTTGTGCCTTTTATAAATCTCTTTTTAATTAGTATTTAAACAAATAATCTGTTATCACATCTCTTAATACAATCTTTGTTACGGCAATCAAATTACTTGAAACCTAGGCATTTAGGTGCAAAACTAATCAACCTCTCTCTCAAGTTTGGTTTTTTTTTCTTATTAATTTTATTTCCTTTTCTAAAGATAATATTTTTAGATATATATATATATATATTTTTTCTCATAGGCACTGTATGAATCATTATCCATGAACTTCTTTATTTCTTCAGTCTTAAAAGGATTTTATAATTTTATAAATTTGACCCACTTATAAATTATATATTTTTAAGAATGGCTTATTATTAAGATATGTTATTTGATCAATTTTTTAAAAATTATATTTAGATGATCATCAAACCTTATGTTTTTATTAGTCCACTAGACCTCGACTTGCAAATCCTCGTTGACTAGGAAAAGCATCTCCACTTTAATGCTCTCATTTGCTTGTTCTGTTGCAAATTAATAAATGAATTGTATTGTTTTAAATGTACATAGCATTTTTATCTCCTTCTCCAAAGCTTCATTCTTTTTTCATTTTAATTTCCTATCTACATTTTTTTTTTTCCTTGACACATATCAACCATAACTCTCTATCTCTTCAAAATTTTAATGTTTAATATTTTGTATATAATATTTAACAATCAAGCGGAGTAACATTGAGTTTGACTTTATAATCCAAATATTTGTCTTTTTACTATATTTTAATGCCTTTGTAATTTCATAAAGTTGATTCTAATATATATATTATATATATATATATATTTTTAAGGTAATTTTTTTACACTTTTCTTTGACATGTATAAGTGAACAAACACAAACTCGCTTTATCTCTTCAAAGTTATTATTTTTTAACTAAATTTTGAAGGTCGCTATGATTTCATAAATTTGTTAATAATGTGATATATATATATATATATATATATATATATCACATTATTAATAATTTAAAAATAAAATATTTTATAATGTTTATAAATTTTATTTACGTGCATTGCACGTGACTTTTTCTATTATATATAAGAGTAAATTGCAGTGACACCCTATCGAGTTTGGATTAAAGACAATATATACCTTGATCACTTTTTGGACAATGACACCCTTCAGGTTTGCAAACTTGAACAATGACTCCCCAAATATGATGAAAGTACATATTTACCCTCTCACAACCCTTTAACCGCTAAAATGACCAAAACAGCCTCAGCCAATATACATAATCACTACTTACCCGGCACCACCACCGCAACCTCCACAACCACCATCTTCTTCCTCGTTCCTCTACCATCACACAAACCCACACAAACCCAACACCTCAAAATTACACACATATCTCTGTATATACATATATACATACATACAACGCCTTGCCCACCGTCCGTACTCTTTGCAGCCAGCTGCCCATCTCATCCGAGCTTCCCCCTTGTTCGCCGGCAGCCGTTCTGAAGCTCTCTGCCCACCTCATCGCGGCTGAGTTCAATCCACATTCCATAGCTGAACTCATCACAGAAATCCACATTGCCGAGATCCCCCTTTGCTATGGGCTCGGCTGGACAGACCGACAGAATGAACCGGCAAGGAACGGTGGCTTGTGCACGCCGGTGATTGACAGAACTGGGTTTTCCTTGCTAGCCAGCGGCCGTTCCGAAGTTCACTACCCACCCCATCGCGACTAAGTTGCCATTTTCCCGTCACCAACAGCCTAGTCTATCTTCATCACGGCCGAGCCCTCACTGGTCAAGCCCTCACCAGCCGCCGCTAGTCCTCCACGGCCGAGTCATCCACAGTCAAGCTCTCCACCAAGCAGAGGCCGTTGAGGGAGAGCATGCCAAAGTTTTTGTTGGCTAGATGCTGTTGCTGGGCAAATCAGAATTCAAGCCTGCAATGAGGAATCGGTCGCGATTCCTGCAACGGCTCGATGGCATCCTCGTCAGTCCTCAACGCAGAGCTCAGAACTGTAGCGGCGGCAGCGCGACGAAGAGCTTGGAACTACAGCGGTGGCAGCGCGGCACCGGTCATCGAGTTTGATGAGGATATATATATTTTTTTCTTGTGGGTATATATGAATTGGTTAAAGGATGGCAAAATAAATATTGACCTTGATGGTGAGGATTAACAGGTTAGGTTTGAGAGAGTAAAGTTGTGTAGGAAGAATGAAAGAGAAAGATGAGATGAGAGGGTAGTTTGGTCATTTTAGGTGAGGATTAAAATATATTTTGGGGCATATTAGACATTTCATGTCACTTAAAGCTGTGTTTGGCTCCATTTTTTAAAAATGATGTGTCATTGTTTAAGTTTGCAAAACTAGGGATGTCATTGTCAAAAAAGTGGTCGAGTTGTATATGGGTGTCTTTAATCAAAACCTTGGGGGAGGGGGGGGGGGGGGGGGGGGGAGAAATGGGTTGCAGAAACTGGGCTTCCCTTTCTCATCGGCAGCCATATATTCCAAAGTTCACTGCCCACCCATCGCGGCTGAGTTGCTGTCTTCCCGTCGCCCACAGTTGAGGCTTTCTTCATTACGGCCGAGCCCTCGCCGGCTAAGCCTTCACCAGCCGCCGCGAATTTTCCACGGCCAAGCCATCCATAGACAAGCTCTTCACCGGGTAGAGGCCGTTGCCGGAGAGTGTGCGAGAGTTTTTGTTGGCCAGAGGCTGTTGCAGGGCAAATCAGAATTCAAGCTGGCAATGAGGAATCAGTCGCGATTCCGGTGACGATTTTCTGGTTCACGATTCGCGATTCTTACAACGGCTCGATGGCATCCTCGTGAGTCCTCAACACAGAGCTCGGAACTGCAGCGGTGGTGGCGCGGCACCAGTCATCGAGTTTGGTGAGGATATATATATTTCATTGTGTGTATATATGAATTGGTTAAAGGATGACAAAATAAGGACTGACCTTGATGGTGAGGATTGACAGGTTGGGTTGAAGAGAATAAAGTTGTGTACGAAGAATGAAAGAGAGAGATGAGATGAAAGGGTAGTTTGGTCATTTTAAGTGATGATTAAAATATATCTTAGAGCATATTAGACATTTCATGTCAATTAAGGCTGTGTTTGGCTCCGTTTTTATAAAATGGAGTGTCATTGTTCAAGTTTGCAAATTTGGGTGTGTAATTATCAAAAAAGTGGTCAAGTTGTATATGGGTGTCTTTAATCCAAAACCGCCCCCACCACGGCCGCCGGGGGGGGGGGGGGGGAGGGGGTGGGTGCAAATTACCCTAACTAAAAAGTAAAAACTATTTGTCACAATAAAAAAAATAAAAATTTGAGGTAATTTTTACTGTTTTTATTTTTATTTTATTTAAATTTAATAGTAATTTTTAAGAAAATATTGTAATTGTCAATATAAAAAATAAAAAATAATAAAATTAAAAAAATAGTTATCTAAAATATTCAACTTCTACTAAACAATTTTGAAAATTACAAATTATAATTTCATTCAAAAGGTCTATAACGCTAAAATTGATAACCATTAAAAATGTTTTTACACATCAGCATGCATCACATCGCAATATAGCATATTACGCCCCAAATACCTAAAAAAAATTTATAACTTATCCAATATATTTATATTGAAGATGTAACATATCATATCTTTCCAACATGTTAAATCAATAATTTAATATCTCTATGTAATTGTTGCATTGTTGATTTAAAATTTTTGTGTTGTCCATTTAAACTCATAATACTAATATATAAAATAAAATAAAAAAATAAATATGAGATGATATTCACTATTCACCCTTCCAATAGAATTGTACATATGCATGTTGAGAATATAACAAATGGTGGTAATAGGAGTGCAAAAAAAATGTTTAAACGGTTTTAGTTAGTAAATCTGCTAATGATAGGCTAATTTTACGTGCACGTACTATTTTTTAAAATAAATATTATTGTTTGCCATTTAAGTTTGAAAGATACGGTATCATCAACCCGTATTATACGATTTTATACGTTTTGCTGCATATAGTTCACCATTTAAATCATTTCTTTTATTTTATATTTGTTGGTAACCCAACCGTTTTTCTTTCTTTTTGCAATTCTAATTCTATATTTTTCTTAAACGCAAAAAACAATAATATTTTAATTTAAATACTTGATGTTAAACAAGATGCTTTCCTTTCGACGGTTTAAATCAATCCACCATGAAGATTATTGTTGTGTGTAATGTTTAAGATTGGCTTTTTAGGATGCCTTTCTTGCCGGTTTTAAAAGTAGATATTGTAATGTCGGTAGCCAAACAAAAAAATTAAATAAAAATAATAATACCCAAATTGGCAGTGACTGTTTAAAACTTTATAAATTGGAGTTGGCGTAATGCATACATATCAACAACACTTTCTCTTAGTTGAAGCAAGGAATATTTTGATGTTAATTTCCAATATGTAAAATGTGTAGGCCACATAAAACACTATATGAAAATTATGGTTATATCTCACTATCACAATGTAAGGAAAAAAAAAAAAAAAAAAAACAACATTAAATAAAAAAACTGATTCAATTTATTGGTGTGTATTGGGTTGGGATCATTGACAATTGGTTAGCCTACATTACTATTTTGACTATTCGGCCTAGAATTTATATATATCTGTACCTATTTATATTTGTATCGGAGAATTTTGACTATTTGGCTTAAGAAGCAGGAAGGGAAGGTTGGGAGTTCGTACCTCGGTGAAGGCAGTGTTGTGTTATTTATTAATTCATAAAAAAAAAAACAAAGAAAATACAAATTGGATTTTGAATTAGAATTTTTCAACATATATATATATATTAATTTTTTTTAGAGCATGTGTATGAATTTCATAACACATGCATAGTTAGAGTGTGGTTCAAAAATGAAATTTCAAAAATTTGTCTTTCGATCTATGTTAACACCAATGTATATACTTTGTTGGGAGGGTAACTAATTTTGAATTTATATTCAAAAGAAAAAAAAAAGTTAATTTTGAAATTGTATTAAAAAATAAAAAAGAAAAAAGAAAAAAGAAAAATCGTTGGTTAGGTGACTAATTTTGAATTTGTAATCATCTGTATTATAAGTTCCGGGAATTCATCACTTCATCCCATCCCGCTAATCACTAATTTCCGACAAAATGAAGTTGTCTTTGGAAGCTAAGTACGACGCCGACAAAAACGCCGCCGGGGCGACTTGCTCCTTCAACGCCGGCGATGTCAAGCTACGAGCTTCCATGACCGACGCTACCCTAGTCAAGGGTCCCAGCTTGAACGGCTTAGCTCTCGCCGTCGAGAAACCCGGTTTCTTCGTCATCGACTACAATGTCCCCAAAAAGGTTCCAAAATTAGGGCATATATAGATGTACAAGTCTGTGTATCTCTTCAGATTCGTCATTAATTTTATTTATCTTTCATTCTTTTGTCACAGGACTTTAGTTTTCTATTCATGAACGGAATTAGGGTTTTAGAGAAACCGTTGAACTTGACTTACCGTCACAGTAGAGGCGATAACCGGACCACGGTGGACGGGACTCTAGTGTTCGATTCGGCCAACAAGGTATCTGCTAATCACATGCTTGGCTCGCGCAATTGCAAGCTGAAATACACTTATGTGCACAGAGGGGCTACTACATTTGAGCAGAGCTACGATATTGTGAAGAATTCATGGGATTTCGCCGTGTCGCGGAAGGTTTACGGGGATGACATGTTTAGGGCTTCGTATCAGACCTCGAGCAAGGTGTTGGGACTCGATTGGTCGAGGAATTCGATGTTAAATGGATCTTTCAAGGTATACAATTACTGTTTATATGTTTATTGTTTGGTGGCCTTGGAAATGGAGTTTAAAGAATTACATAATTTACTATGCATCCTTAATTGTATTGCTAATAATTGTTTAGACAATGAACTTAATATATTACTTTAGATTTTATTCCGGTTGCCAACATGCCATTACTAGTCTTTTTACCTAGCTTTCTGATTTAAGTGAACATTAGAATCTTAAGCAATGGTGGCATCTTAAGTGGATTAAAGTATTAAGGATTACTTTTGCAAGTCACGTTGATTGTATATTTGTATGCATCTTAAATTAATTTCATGGCCATAACTTATTTGTTAATCTTTGTGAATGACAGTAGCTGATCTGATCGGATCGATACAAGTTGATGCTTGAGATAGCTTTGGTATTAGTAATACATTACACTGAATAGTACAATTTAACTATCCATGTAGTATGTACTTATATACTGGGAAAAAAGAAGAAGAAGAGAATTAATTAGAGGAAGAAGAAAAAACAAAGTGAGAAGAATAAGATGAAAAGATGAAAGAAAGAAGACAAACAATACGAGTAGATGGAGGTTTTTAGCTGAGTCGACTGGATTGATGAACGAGCCGACTCAGTTGACTCGTTCCTGCTATGAGTCGTCTTCTTCGTCTCCAGCCTCTGTTTTTCAGTCCAACCTCCATTGTTAAGGGTCCTAACCTTTGATTCTATGTTCCACAGTGTCCCAATAATTAGTTTAAAGTCTTTAAACATGTTTACATCAATTTATAACACAAATTGAGCATCAAATCCTTAAATCAAATAAGTTATATACAAACCCATAATCATACAATCATACACTAATCTAAACCGATTTTATCATTCAAAGTGGTTCATTAATGATGTTTAATCATCTTGGAATTAACCTAGGCATGTATAGAACACGCAAAAGTAGAAAGTACAACTTGTCATAAGTCTCTTCTTATTGATTGTAAGTATCCCAATATATATTTTTTTCTTATTATTATTTTTTTCAATTCCTTATTGGTTCTGATTATCTCTATACTATCTACCCATTGGTTGGCACTATCCCATTTTCTTTTCCTTCCAATTTTTCCGTGAGATAACCCATCTGTGGCCACCTTAATAGCCTTAAGGTATTGGCAGCAGGTGCCTGATGGTGCCCTTTTCCTGTCTAAGAATAATATTGTCAACTCCAATGGATACAACATAACCTTAGATGGAGACACATGTTGAAGCCTGCAAGTTGAAGTGATCATTGTGCTCATGATGTTTTAAAGAGAAAAGGTGATGGGTGAGATCTTGAAATTTGTAGGTCGGATTTAGATTATTTTGAAACTTCTTATGCGTTAGAGGAACTATTTTCAAAGTTTAATTTGTTAAATTTTGAGGCTGTCTGTCTTGTTAACACAAAATGCCTGCACGTTGAAGGGATTCCGTACCTCTATAAAGTTAAGGAAAGCTCTTTTTGTAAGACAAATAAGCAGATTGTTGAAATATTGTTATGTGGATGGCGGTCTAAATCTAACTGGACTTCTACTTTAGGGTTCTCTCGATGTGTGGCTATTAATATAACATGGGTATTTCTAAATATAAAAACCAAAAAAAAAGTAAAAATAAAAAGCTAATATTTAGCTATATCATAGGAAGCACGGACACACCAAAATGGGCGAAGAATCCGTGTCCGACACGGACACACGTCGGAAACGCCCCGACACGTGTCGGACACACCAAAAAACGTGTTTGGAATTTTTTTAATTTTCGGACACGGCACGGACACACGTGTCTGGAATTTTTATTTTTATTTTTTTATTTTTTATTTTTAATGCTGATATGTTATGTTTTTTGTTTTATACTACCCTTTTGGTATTGTAAATGGTAAAAATCCTAGGTCAAATGATGGATGGGAATAGATGATAGTACACTGACTTGTTTTTGTATCTTTTTTGGGAATTAGCCTTTAGGTTTTTGTAAATGTCAAGTGCTAACAGTAAAGTCCTGAATGTGAAACAGTTATGAATGTTAATAGTCCTTTCTGTCTATGCTTTTGTATTTGGAGTAAAGTTGCACTGATGATTAAATGATACTAGTTATTATTCTAATGTCTTGTTTTTTATTTGGTTTTATAACTATTCCACACTGTTCTTTTATAGTTTATTAGTTATGAGTTATGATTTGTGTTTTTTTTTTTCATTGTGAGGTTGATGAAAAATAGTAACACTCAGTAATTTTTAAAGTAATACATCACACACACATATATATACTATTCGCCGTGTCCCCGTTGTGTCCTAATTTTTTTGAATTTGCCGTGTCCATGTCGTGTCGTGCCGTATCTATGTCCCGTATCCGTGTTCGTGCTTCTTAGGCTATATCACATGCCCTTGGGTTTGAGCATTTGATATCCGACTTTCAAACGCATATCCACAGCTGGTATACATAGCAAAGATCAGATAATATAGATATCCATCTATTTATGGGCTATATTGATATATTATGTAGCTATTGAGCTGGGGTTTTATCACTGGTCAGAATCATAGATCAAATGAAGTTGATGTGGTTGAACTTTGTTCTCAAGGTATATTAGTGAGGTTATTAATTTCGTCCAATGTAACATTTGCTTTCTTGTTAGGTAGTCAGTCATGTATGATTTGTAAAGGTTAACATGTTAACTTGTGCAAGTGAGTCTGTTGGTCGTTTTCCATTGACTAGATTTTCTGCACGTAAATTTAGTCATGCCTATTGGTAGTTTCTTTGGTTTGAGATTTTGAGTAACTTCCCTACAAGATGCTGATATTAGGAAAGCAGGTTGATGGTACAGAATGTTTGCTTTACCAAATTGCAAGAGCTCTTGTTTGAAGGACTCTACCGATACGTTAATATCCAATCAAAATTGCAGATAATGCAAAAGTTATCTGGTCAGACAATGCAACGGCTTGAAAGAACAAACTAATGTGAGAAATGTTTTTCCTTCCATATGGCCCAAAGATTAATGGTGAAGCTAATGTCACTAATGATCTTAATACATTAAGAATTCCCCTGAAAAAAATTATCTTCAATGTAAGGTAATTGTACGATGAGAAAAACCTTCTCTCTCCCCCCTCTACGGAGCCGATCCATTTTCTTAAGATAGATGACATTTCAGACATATTATCACTCTATTTCTTTACAGTAATGAAGAAAGTAACAACAATTAACAGTTATGTACCATAGTCTTCAATCAAACTCACTTGGCCTTCTTCACACTCAAGGACCACAGTCGCTTATTCCTTTTCAATAACTATTACTGCACTTGTAATTTATAAATGACTTCCACTCTATACGATCTGTTCAAGGGTCAATCTAGGATTTTTTATGACCCTGGCTTCAATTTTAGGGCTCCTTAATTGATGTGATCGGCCAATAAATGTATAACATAACATTCTATGAGTTTCTATTCTTATAATTAATAATGTGAGAGGATTTATTCAAAAAAATAATAATTTGTAATAAATTATTATCATCAACCATAGAACCAACTTAGCTCCTAAAAAATATTATTCCCCTGAGATTATTGACAATCATTGTCTCTACCTGTAATTCTGAATTAAATGAAGATAGAACTTCTATTGTAAATTTGTAATTCTATTTATCTTTTATCTCTTACCATGGTTTAATCTCTTTGATCTTTTTTGTTCTTCCTTCACTCTAAAGCTGGCATTACTATCCTTCTGATTGGGCATCCTATTTAGTGACGAACCAGATGTTGAGCACTTCTAGTTTGCTGAAGGGCTACATTTAATGGGAACATTTATAGGATACTCTGAAAAAACAACAATATGCAATCAGGTGGCTTCACCTCAAATTGGGCATCCTATTTAGTGACGAACCAGATGTTGAGCACTTCTAGTTTGCTGAAGGGCTACATTTAATGGGAACATTTATAGGATACTCTGAAAAAACAACAATATGCAATCAGGTGGCTTCACCTCAAATTGGGAACAAAATTTTGAAATGGATAAAAGGAGGTCTATGTCCTTATAGTGATAGCTTGTTTCTTTGTTTACTATGCTCAACAATGCCAGTTTATTTGTATAGATTCCCCATGACATTTTTTGGGTTTTTGCCCATGGCAATGGTAGAGTATGGCAGGCAGTACAGAGAGAGAGAGAGAGAGAGAGAGAGACTATTGCTAAGTGTTTGTCCTCCAATGCAGGGTAACCTCTGGCTGTTTATGGTGTACTTTTCTGGTGTGTTTAAATGTTCCATGGAATTGAAATTGTTCCATTTTAGTTACATTACTTTAACCATTCAAAATAGCACTTTCTGCTGTTAACTATCACCTTAATTGTCATAATAAAGATGATAGACCAAAATGACATTTTTATAGTAATTTTGAATGTCTATACTTTTTTTTTTTTTTTGATAAGTAAAAATAATTTTGAATATCTATACTTAGATTCTGTGTTAGAAGCAATACTGTTTTGAAATGTTAGTGATTAGCCACTCATGTATTTATCTAGAAGGATCTATTGCTTGATGGCTGTTCCCAAGTTTAGTGCTTTAGTTGATCTGCTTTTCTCCTAATATGAGATTGCAGCCCTAGGAGAGGATACCATGATTTTTGCACTGTAGCCCTATGACTCAGAATTTTTTTTAACGTATTTTTAGGAATTCAACGTCCAACCTTCCATAAGCGTGTGCCTTTTACTTGAAAACTGATTTTTTAGAACCACAATCTAATTTTGGTTTTCTATTTCTCCAGATTTCAGCATCTCTCAATTTGGAGGAGGAATTGAAAATGCCAAAATTAACTGCTAAGAGTACATGGGATTTTGAAATGTAACTTTTTCCTGTTGCAATTATTCATATGTGGACGATCCGATACCTGCGTACCTTCCTATTGGCTGGGTATCTTGCAGATTTAAGCTTCACTTTTTTTGCACTTCAATAGTTTGTGTTTGTAAGCCTGCATTGTATTCTTTGGCCACCTCTGTGAGCATGTATTGTCAAAATGGTGGTTTCTATTGAAGCATGAACTTTTCGTCTATATTTGTTGCATATTGCTGCAGACCTTGTGTACGATATTTATGTACATATTTTTCACTCGTTTTTAAGTTGAGAAATTTCTAGGTTTACATGTCCTCTTCCATAGCCAATAGGTTCTTTTCTGGGATTGAAAAAGAGAATATTTTTTCTGTTGCAAGGGATATGAGTTCATTCCTTTGGGTGCATCATAGGTTTTTCTCAGAATGAAACTACAGTTATTTTGGACATATTTTCTTTCAATTTCCTTTTTCTCTCCCTTTTCTGGTGTTGTCTTGAACTTTTCTCATAATAAGTACTGGATCAGACACTATTGATCCATTTATTTGGAGGTGATGAGGTGAAATGGAGGAGGATGTGCAACCATGGTTATGAGGGAGGGTTTTCCCTTCACTCTGGTCATATTTCTCACGGTAGGTAATTCGTAGGGAAAGTGTACCCAATGCTCTTTGACCAATATTTTTTTTTTTTTTTTTTTTTCTCTTCAAGAAAAAAGAAAAATAATCTAATATGTATGTTAATAATAATAAGATCATGAAATACCTCTTTGGGGAAGTTCCTTCCCTCAATTGTTTAGTGTGAAATTCAAGTTCGAGAAGGGGCGGCTGAGAACTAAGCCCTGGTGCCTCAATGTCTCATGAAGCATAAGTTTGAGTTTTTGAGTAAACAATTTCTGCAAGGGTATTCACAAGGCCAGAAATTGCCTCTGATAAAACAACGAAAAAAAAAAAAATTTAAGTTTTTAAATTTTTTTTTTTTTTTCCTTTTCTTTTCTTTTCGCTTGGCAAGAAATCATTTGGACTTTACGGGAAATACCATTGGGCTACCATCCTTTATGGTTTACAATCCCTAAGCTTTGTAAAGAATTTATCTAGATATCTGGAAAATAAATTCAGCAAAAGCTGACTTATCCCAATTGAACTATGACCCATGAAAATCAAATAATGGGCTTCCTCTAATTTAAGTCATTATTGAGAACATAAAATACGTATATCCTGGAAATTAGAAGAATAAAAAAAAAGAAAAGAAGAAGTTAAAGATGATAAGAATTCAACTTGCATTGTCACTCACTCTTAAGCCATTCCACAATTTTGATACAAGTAAATAAATAACTATAACACTTTTTATTTATTATTATTTCAAATACGGACGGAGTGGCATTTGGAGAATACTCCATAATATTTTTTCTTTGTTTAAGAAATATTCATTACTTTTTAGCTTATGTAGCACTTTACGTTTTAAATAGATAAGCTTATATGCCCACACCAGTACACCACTTACTATTACACTGCCTTGTGTTAATTTGAAACCACCTCGCATGAAGATCGTGGGATTATAATGAAGATACGAAAATGAAGCCACCCCAAGAAAAAATCTAACTGCGAGATCCATAAGAAACAGGGGCCCATCAGTTTACATCAGTCGGCCCAACAAAACAGGTAATTTTGGCGGTTTTTTTTTTTTTTAACGAATCAAGGTTTCATTCCACACAAATTTCAAAAGGTTTTTCATTGCCGCCTAAACCCTCCCTCTCCCAAATCTTATCTTACATTTACATTCTCAGAAATCAGATCTATCGCCTATCATTCTCAAACCCTACCCCTCTCTCTCTTTCAATCAGTTCAATAATCTATCATCAATCACAGCAGCGATGGAGAGCGATGACGATTATCAGTCATTCTCGCCTCCTGATCAAATTTCGCCTCCAGCAGAGCATCGAAAGCTCAAACGCTTGAAGAAGAAAGCAATTAGGGTTTCGAACGACCCTCTCCCTCAATCGGTGGATGAAGCGTTGTCGATGCCTCCAGTTGATTCGTACGAATCGCAAGGTATGGACTCTTCTGAAACCCTAGGTTCTGAGGGTCATAATGAGCCACTTCGATCTGAGTCCCCATCTGAGGGTTTTGATGAGGGCAATGAGTTGAATTCTGCTCTCGATGGTTTGTTTTCTGAGGAAGATCGTAAAAGAACTAACAGAGCTTTGGATTTTGATGATATGGTTGATGGATTTGACGGAAAAGAACTTGGAATGGATGAGAAAATTGCTGATTTGAAGATGGAGAGAACTGAGAAGAAACGAGTTAATGAAGAGGGGTCAAATGAAAAGGAGGAGAAAAAGAAGCGATCTGAGTCCCCATCTGAGAGTTTTGATGAGGGAAATGAGTTGAATTCTGCCCTTGATGGTTTGTTTTCTGATGATGACCGTAAAAAAACTAACAGAGCTTTGGATTTCGATGACATGGTTGATGGATTTGACGGAAAAGAACTTGATGAAGGTGGGGGAATGGATGAAATACTTGCTGATTTGAAGAAGGAGAGAGCTGAAAAGAAAAGGCTTAATGAAGAGGGGTCAAATGAAAAGAAGGAGAGAAAGAAGAAGAGAGTTGAGAGTGTTGGTGACGATACAAAGACCAAAAGATCTAACTCCAACAAAAGAAGGGAAGACAAGGTAAATCTACTTCATTCATTGATTCTTTATTTATTTATTTTACTGATATAGAGCTGCTCTTAATTACAGGAAAGAAGAGCTCATCTCAACCAGCTTCATGCTGACTCCCAAAGACTGTTGAGGGGTATTATTCTTTGTCTTTATGCTTATAGTTTAATGCATTTGATATCTGATAATCGAGTAGTTTATTTATTTGTATATATTCAGTATTGATTTGTTTGTGTTCATTTTCTATCCCATTAGAAACTAGAGATGCTGGATTTAAACCCGTTCCAGTGGTAACAAAACCAATATCTTCAATTTTGGAGAAGATTCGGAGAAGGAAGCTTGAGTTATCAAAAAAGTAGGTTCATTTTAATCTTGGTTCTCTCTCTGTGTATACATCAAATTTTGGTTATTCTTATATCTATAAATATATGATTTCATCTTTCTGCTGGCAGATTTGTTGTTCTGAGTAATAATTCTTCTATTGCTGAGAATCATGTTTCTTCGAGAGAGGTTATGATGGATGCCAAAGCTGAAGATGTCTCTATTGATGATCCAAAATCTGATCAATTTGGAAATCCAGTGCAAGAGGACACAATTGCATGTCACGTGGATGTAGATTGCAGTTTGGATGTTCCTCAGATGGATGGACCTAAGGAATCTGCAATGCATTCAAGTCATGAAAATGATCTGTCCCAGATGGCAAGTAAAATTAGATGTTTTTTATCAATAAAATTGAATGTCTCATCATACAATTGGCATACAATTAACTTAAATTAAAGTTGTTTGTCTGGTTAGATGTTTTTATCAATAAAATTGAATGTCTCATCATACAATTGGCATACAATTAACTTAAATTAAAGTTGTTTGTCTGGTTAGTTTAATTAGTTGCACGTGATCTCTTGAATGTGATATATCCATGAACGTGGTATGTTAATAAAAATATTAAATCGCTATTAGTTTATGTCATTTACTCTTTAGCAAGAATACAGAATAAAAAATATCCCATGGATAGACTGCAGTCTATAGGCTTGTAACAGCTGGATAGAAATACGAATTTATTTCATTAAAGAATTGAAGATGGCTTTTCTCTATCATCGTTAGTAATTTGTTTTTGTACTATGATTCGTTGCTCTTACATGAAATGGATTTTCCATATAAAGTAATGCTTGCTTCTGTTTACTATAGGCATTAGACAACGAGGAATGTACACAAGCATTTCGAGCTCCAATTGATGATACACAGGTTTTCTTCCTATCTCTGCCGTTAAAAAAAAAACACTAATGTTGCAAAGGTTTGCATATCAAGACATAATTGCTCATCAGCTTGCATAATGTAGGATCTGTTCTGTGATTCACAAACAAGTGAGAGTAAAGATGAGCTGCCTGATGACCAACAGGCGAGTCCTTTGGAAGAATTATTGGCACCATCTTTGCCTGCAATGAATTTGAAGTTTGATTCTGCTCCTCCTGATGGCATGTGAGTGTTTAAATATATTCCTTTATTCTGTAATTTCAGTTTACAGTTTGAGATGGGGTTTTATGGAATTGTTGGGGCTTAAAAATTACTGATTTCTTCCCTCAAACGGTTATGCATCACAACTATTTCAATTACTTACACTAGCTTCATGAAAGAACTCTAATGATTTCTTGACGTTTTGCATTGATGAAACTTTCCTCACTGAGATCATTTCCACCTCTAATTTGGTATGAAATGTATTAATGGTTTCCGTTTCTTTTGAAGTTCTTCTGATGAAGAGGACAATGACAAGGAGAACGTTGATCCCGGTCCACATAGACTTGAGAACAGGTGTTCTTCTCCAAATGGCGATCCTGTTAAAGCTTTTGTTGATGATGAAGCTGTTGAAGAAGATGATAGTGACAATGACCTATTCCGCTTCCAAGAAAATGAAGAAGATCAAGACAATGAAGATTTGGATGAACTTAATGATATGATAGCAACCCAATTTGAAGAAAAACCAACTGATAATGAAAAGCGCAATGAACTTCATCAGAAGTGGCTTGAGCAACAGGATGCAGCTGGAACGGACAATCTTTTACAGATATTGAACTGTGGTTTGAAACAAAAAGATGCAATTTTGCTTGAAGAGGAAGAAGAAGACGATGAGGATGAAGAAGAGTTCAGTGATGAAGTTGCAGATGATCTGGTACCAACAAATATCCCTCAAATGAATTCAAGAAAAGCAAAGCAAATGATTTCTCAGATGTTTTCTGATAAAGATGATGCATACCTGTCATCTGATGAAGAAGAAACAGAGAAGAAATTAGTTAAACAGAGGTTGCTTGACAGAGCTGTAAGTTATCTGCATCTCAGTATTCTATTGGACTTGGTTTACAGAACATCAAAATTTTGTTCCATCTCATGTTTTAAGAGAACTTTCTGGTTTATATAACGAGTTGTTTTGGACTTGATTTATGTATCTTTTTTAATTTTTCTTTTAGTTTGTTTTGTAAGACGGTCATTAAAGCTTTATAAACTGAACAGGAAGAGCAGGCTACATTCTTGTCACCTGCTGAGGATGAGAGTTCAAGAGAAGTTTTTGGTCTCATAAAGAAGCTGAATATAGCACCTGACACAAAGAGGAAGACAAAAGCGTCATGTAAAATATATCATTTTGTTCACTCATTTCATAAGATTACATTGGTGTTGTTCCTAATTAAATATTTGTTGCGCTACTGTTTTGCAGCATTCTTTGATACGCTGTCAGCCGGAGGAAATAGCAGCAGCTCTTCAAAGGTATAGAATAGTGCTGACATAATTTGAAGTTGAACCAACATTTTTTTATTTTAACATCCGACTTGGATTAATAACCTTTTGTGATTTCCATGTAGAATTAATGCATTCATTTTTTTCTTTCTACTCAATAACACAATTTTTATGTGTATCCTTAATTCTAGAAATTAAATTAGAAGAACATTTAAATGGATTGAGTGAATTCAATCTGCAGAAGTCTGGAATTCTTCTGGAATAAGAAGATATGTAGAACAACATAATTAAAAATATTCAAATTTCATTTCGGGTATGTTTGGAAGCATGAATCCGTGCCTTGGAATTGGAGGAAAAATTGATTTTTCTCCAATTCCAATTCCAAAGCACTAATTTATCTCCCAAACATAGTTTTAGTGTATCAATTGGTTGGAATTTTCTAGAGTTCTACAGTAGACAATTCATATCAAGTGGCATTGTATAAACCAAAACAAATTTGGCCTCCAATTGGCACCCTATATGTGCCAGGTTCTGCATATATGTTTCCTTCTTGATAGAGGTGGCCAATCCTTGTCAGCTGGTACTAGTCCGGCAAGCACCAGAATCTGTATCATCAATTTTGATATTAGGATTGTCCGCTGCTGCAGAGTTTGCAGTATTGTAGCCTGTAGGATCAAGGATGTCATTAATGATAGCTTTTCTTTTGCTAAATGTTGCAGTCATCTTTTCTGGGTCGAGCATCAAGCCATTCTTTTCCATCATCGCATAAGCAAGGAACAAGCAAGGTTCGATCTTTCATTTTTGGACGAGACGACAGTAATAGCAGGAGTTCAATCTCAATTTCAGAGGATTCTTCAGATACAGTAAGCTTTACCGGAAAACACAGTGAAAGCTGTAGTAAATATGATCTAGTTTTGTTTGTTGACATCTTATAGTCACTGACAGTGGAACACACATTTATCTTCCAGTATAACTACCTTAAAGCTGTTCTTAGGAATTTGAAATTACACAATGATAGTATATTTTTCCAATTTTTGATATTTTTATGTGGAAATCACTCTGTTTTGTGCTTTAACGTTTACTTATTATATTTGATCTGTTGTTGAATTCATCAGTGCAGTAATGCTCATTTTGTGTTTCTTTAAACTTGCAGATTCCAAGCGAAAACCGATCTACAAGGAATGTCACAGCCAAGTTTAGTAGCTCACAATCCAAATCAAGCACTCAGAGCAAAAAGATTGCTGCTGAAACTGTTTCTGGTACTTCACTTTTTGAAATATTGAAGAGGTCTTCTTCGCTGCAATCGAACCCCTGTAATCAGGACAGTATGGTTGGCCTAACTCAAACTGTATTTGCCTCTTTTAAAATTCCAAAGAAGCCGATAAAGGTTGAAGGAAGAATCTAGTACAAATTAAAGACTGCAAACCTTTTTTTTTTTTTTTTCATGGTCAGAAGGTTATCATTGCTTTCTATAGATTCTGTTATATGGTTTCCTAGTTCAGATTGATATCAACTATCATTGTGTACTATGGCGACGCCTATTTTTTACTTTGTTCAAGATGCTCAAGTGAATCATGTTGGTTCCTTAATAAATCAGAGTTTGACACTAACACAGGAAGCACAATGCTTGCATATGGTAAAACATTGTCCTGTCTAGGAGTTTTCTGCTTCTCTGAAGAAAGATGAGGACTTGCCAGATTTGTTTGCTTTTAAGTTTTTTTTTTTCCTTTCAAATTCACCACAAAATCCATTTGTTGAATTGATGCACTTCTAGGGTTTGTTAATGAGGGGAAAATCTCTACTGTTTAGTTTGCTGAAAGTTTCTGGGGTTACAAGAGGTTCTGGGGTCTCAATTGTGTTGTAATATGTATCAACTTGAAAAGGCTAACTATTGAAGCTATAGTACACTGTAGAAGGCCTCATGTTAGCAATTATTTATACTTTTCTAGATTTCATCATTAATTATTGTAAGTTTTGTAACATTTAAAACAGTGACTCACCTTAGATTAGTCTTAGAGCTACTTTTTATGCCCAGAATGGTAGTGTAGATTTTACTTATTTACTAGTGGGCTGGATTGTGCTTTTCCAAAGTTGAAGTTAGGGCTGCAAATGAACCGAGCTGAGCCGAGCTTGGGTCTGCTCGGGCTTGTTAATTTCAATAGATGGCTCAGGAAAAATTATGATCCCTTGGCTGTATTAGAGTTTCAGCCCCTACTTAACCACACCCAGTGACATCTAAAAGAAACAGAATCAAGTACAACAATGAATTTTTCCACTCAATAACTTAAATGAGTTGAAAAATAGACTATAAATTAATTTTTTTATTTTTCAAAAATCTCACTACAGAGAAAAAAAATAAAAATAAAAATTGAATCAATTAAGCCCCATGATTTACACACACATACTTCAGTATTACCTAAACTGCATCTTCCCAAACAATGAAGTGTTTACGTATTCATGATAACCATGACATCAGTGCTATGAAGACAGATAGAAAGGGAAAGAGAGAAGGAAACGAGCAATGAATCTTCATACCAGAGAACGGCGAGGACAGGCTGGACAGCAGATGGCGGAAGTGTGTTTGGAAATGAAAGAGAGAATGATGATTCAGTGTGTTTGGAAATGAGGCGCTTGGACCATATTTTGGTATTTATACTTAGGGTTTAGGTTTAACATGTAAACTAAATTATTTTTTAAAGAAATTTAATAATTAATAATTTTTTTTAAAAAACAAAACCAAAACAACTATAGATTAAGAAGGAAGACAAATACAACTAGGAAGTAGAGCGTCTAATAGCTAATGGGGCCATACCCTCCATTCCAAATCACCACATTCGACTACTAGAGCCTTTTTACCAAGCAAATGAGCCACCCCATTGCCTTTACGAGGCATCCAACCCAAAGAAGCACCTTTACAAACTTTAAGAAGAGAAATAACGTTATTAAAAATTACACTTAAAGCCTTAGCAAAAGGTAAGAGACCCATCACCGGCTGACAATCCCCTTATACCACAACATTTTCATAACCCCACACTTTGAGAAGAGAGAGGCATTCACGAAGAATTAAACCTTCGGCAATGGACGGGCCACTCACATGGGAGAAAAAGAAAGAGGCCACTCGGATGGGCCGACCCACATCATTTCGCAATATCAGACCTTTTCCACAGAGCAGCCGAGAGGAGTAAAAAACGGCATCAAAATTCAGCTTAAGACGACCTCTTGCCGGAGCACACCACTTCAAAGAAATAGGAGCCACAGAAGGAGAAAGAAGAGATAGAAGACGAGATTGACGCAAAATCTCTTGGAATTCAATAAAGTCGTGATGCCTTTTCTGAGTTGCTTCAAAAGGATCCCATTGACGATTGGCAAATATAAGATCGTTGCGACATTCCCAAATAGTCCAACAAATGAAAGAAGCAAAACTCACACAATCCTGCATATTCTCAAACTGAGACCACTGCTCTATAAGAGCCATCCATCTCTTAGGCTAAAAAAAGGGACCTGTCCCTAGAAAATCCATACACAGAGGGCACAAAAACCAGACCAAACTTGCAAAAGGACAGGTACAAAGAAGATAGTCGATTGTTTCGATTGCCGAATCACAAAAAAAACATGAAGAAATTGTATCAATCCCCCGAAGAGAGAGCAAAGAGTTCACAGGAAGACGATCATGCAAACTTTGCCAAAGAAAAAGCTGAATAAGAAGTGCTTAAATGTTGCACATTTCAGCACCTAAGTTATGGTATTTTAGTCTTTGCATTTATCTTAATTTTATGTTTTAGTCCTAATTTATGTTTACGTCTATTTCAGGGCAATAAAGTTAAAATGAGCTAATAATGGTCCATTATGGCGTTTTGGAGTCAAGCCAAAGATCGGGACAAAATTCAGAAAGAAGCAAGGATGCAGCCAAATGCTGTGTCCGGACGCCATTTCTCGCGTTCAGACGCGAGTCTTCCATACGCTGCGTCCGGACGCGAGTCTCCAACACACTATGTCCGGACGCCAAAAGCTGCGTCCGGACGCCAAGCTCCTAACGGCAGACCAGTTACAGGATTGACATATTTTTAGGGTTACGGGCTTAACTCTTTTGGGCTTATTTTTTTAACCTATTTGGCTCTAACGGGCTTGTTACTTAAAGGCCAGTGAACCATTATTTCAAGGGTTATTTTTCATTATTTTAAAAGGAGTTTTTATTATTTATTTTGATTATTAAGTTTTTATGTTGTAATCGATATATCGTTCTCTGGAAAACACGCGAAAGAGAAAAAAACAAAGAACGAGCTAGGGTTTGGAAGAAAAGCTCAGAGAAGATGAAGCAAATGATGGGGATTGTCCTGTCTTCGACTCCATCAACCATGAGTGGCTGATTCTTCTATTTAGGGTTGGATAAACCCTAAGCATGTAACCTATTTTCTCTCTCTTTTCAGTTTTTGGGGATTTACTTATGTAATTAGTGTATAGTCTTGAATATTATGAATTAAATTCTTCCAATTGATTATCTGTATTAATCTCATGTTGTCTTATGTGTGGTTGATTGATAAACAAATTTTACACTTGAATTCTTTGTTAATTGATTCTTGTGATGGCTATGCATGGTATTAATTCGTTGTAATTGTGTTTCAAATTGATGGAAAATACTTCTATTTAATGGATGTCACTACATGTTTAGGTTAATTCATTGCCTCATTAGTTTAATTTCATGTTTAATTAGTTTAATTGCAATTTAATTATTAGGTAAGTAGACCATCTATACTTGTGTTTGAATTCCATACTTTTTGTCTCAATTGCATTATCCTCTTGATTAATATAGGCTAAATTGTAACTTGAATTGATGGATCATGCTTTGAATTGGTGAATTGCACTGCACTTAGTTTAATTGTCATTAGGTAGGCAATTTAGGCTTGACATTGATGCTTCATACTTTTCATTGCAATTGTTAACATCATTTAGAATTACATTTAATTTTTCCCAATTAGTTGAAAATGAGTGAGTTAGGGAATGTGCTTAGTGGTGAATCCTACACCCTAAGTCTCTTTCCAATCTTTTAAATTCTATTATTTTATTGCAATTATTTAGCTTAAAATTAGTTCTAATCACAAAACAAAACCCTTTTTAGCAATCACATAAGAACTAAAGTAGAATTCAATTCCGGAAACCTATAATTGTTTAGATCTCTTGGGACGATCCCTTCTCATTTCATACTCCATAGTATAAGTGTTTAGAGGTTTTATAAATTATAAAATATGATGCCCACTTGACATTATTTCTAAACCTAAAGTGTTGTGCATTAATTCGTGCACACGCGAGGTCGCATCAAAGTTTGGGCGCAGTTGCCAGGGATCTAACGGTTTAAAGAATTGAATTAGACATTATTTCTTTGTTGATTGTTTACTTTAAAGTCATTTTATTTATTTTCTCACTTGATATTTGTCAATTAGGTACTTGAAACAAAGAGGAGCAAAACGTTGGACGTTGAAGCAATTAAAAATTTGAAGTTGCTTAAGGACCATCTGTAAGTTTTTTCTTTAATTCTTGAACTTTAATTGTCTATTATCTTGCATGCTTTGGATAGCCTAAGTGGAGGATTAAATTAAATTGTTTATTTTTAAGTCCAAGCATACCTTTTTATAGAAGGCATCAGCCAATGTGGAGGCATTTATTTGTTTTAAGTGCATTGTTATTATTGAGAAGTTTGGGAACATTGTATGTGGAGGTTGAAAAATTGAAGTGTTAGTGTGTTGACTTATTCTAGTGCATGCATGGTCGTAGATCACTTAATCGTCCTCTTGCTTTGTAAATCAAAATCTCGAAGTTTTCCTTCGGCGTTTAAGAGGTAGGACTAGGGATAGTCATTCTAATCTTCCAACTTTTGATCTTTCATCACCTTTAATGGAAGACCCAATAGATCCAATTGTAGATCCCATTGAAGATCTTGGTTATGTGGATCATAATGGTGTGCACCACCCACCACAAGTTCATATTGTGGATCCTCAAGGTGTGCATCCACCCTTAGGAATGCCATGACCAATCAATCCTGTTGTACAATAACATAATCTAGGGATGCCAAGGCCAAATGTTGTTCCCCCAATTGGTGAGCAACAACATCAATATATTCAAATGGCATACCCTCAACAATTAAAAATGGCATATCCTCCTCTCAATCTTCCAATGGTCCTTAGGGATCGTTACACTCCAAATCAATATAATGCACATACTTGCATTCAGTTACCAAATTTCCATGCTCATCATTATGAGATTAAGGCTTCCACCATTAACATGTGTCCCCTTTTCTATGGGTTGAGCAATGAAGAGCCTTATAAACATTTAGATGAGTTCTTGGAAGTTTGTTCCACCATGAAAATCACGGATGTTCCGGAAGAAGTCCTTAAAATGAAGCTTTTCCCTTTCACTCTTCAGGATAAAGCTAAGTATTGGTTTAACAACTTGGGGCCAAATACAATCACCTCTTGGGCACAATTGCAACAAGAGTTTCTAAAGAAGTATTACCTTGCGAGTCGAACCAATTCAATGAGAACTTTCATTCGTGAATTTAAATAAGAAGAAGGAAAACCCATTCATGAAGCATAGGAACGATTGAATGACTTGCTATGAAAGTGTCCATATCATGACATTCCTAAGTGGCAATTAGTTCAATATTTCTTTTCAAGTTTATCCGATGCTAATAAGGGCATTGTTGATGCTTCTTGTGGCGGAAGCTACATAAAAAGAAATGAAGATGAAATTTGGCATCTTTTCGAAAAAATAAGTGAAAACTCAATGTATAGATCTTCATCTTCTAGGGGTGGTCACCTAGCAAATGTGGGAGGAAAGAAAGCTCTATGCCAAATAGACTCTTCTATGGAAATTGCTGCCGAGGTCAAAAATCTTACTCAAAGATTTGATAAATTCCTTTTGAATCAAGGCCCGATAATTCAATCTTATCCTCATCATTCCAATAAAATGTGCATGACTTGTTCTAGTTATACTCATCACACTTCAAATTTTCCTCTTGGATAAATCATACCAAGTGAGTCTTAAGAACAAACAAATGCAGCTTTCATTCATCAAGGGAACAACCCTTATTCCAATACTTATAATCCGGGGTGGAAAAATCATTCAAACTTTGCATGGAAAAATTAAGGAGATGGTGCAAACCCTCCTCAAACTCAAGGTTACCAAGCAAAGTATGTTCCCCCACATCTCCAAAATCAAAATCAGAATTCTCAAGGTTACCGTCTTTCATTCTATCCTCAGAATATGAATCAATACTCTCATCCTCAAGTATCAAATTCTCAATCTTACTTTAATCCAAATCAAGCGCCTCCAAAGAGTCCGGCTTTTGAAGACAAGGTCTTGGAAGCCTTAGGTGATCTTCGAAAAGATAATCAATTGTTTCATTCTCACTCTCAATCAATTACAAAGCTTGAAGCTCAAATTAGGCAATTAACTAATTCTTTAAATGTGAGAGAGAAATGTAAGTTGCCTAGTCAAACTGAGACCAATCCTAAGGGGGGCAATTTATGGCGCAAGCAAGTTCTTCATCAGAATTTTCTGGAATTGAGCAAGTTCAAGCAATTACTACTTTGAGGAGTGGTAGGAAAGTGGACAATAAAGTAGAGGTACCTAAGAAGGATAGTGAACTGACACAACCAAGTGATTGCATCCGTCCCATTCAGAATCCTATTCTTACTCCCTTGGATGCTAGTGGTTCCAAAAAGGACATTACATCATCTTCATCATCTCCCCAATTAGAGAAGCCTTATAAGCCAAAAGTTCCATTTCCTAAAGCTTTGAGAGAGACTTCATCATTTGGGAGACAAGAAAAAAAAATTCGTGACATGATGGAAGTGTTTAAACAAGTGAAAATTAATCTTCCTCTTCTAGATACAATTAGGCAAATTCCACCATATGCAAAGTTCTTGAATTACTTGTGCACTCAAAAGAGCAAGAGTAAAGGAAATGACCTTAAGAAAGTTCTTCTAACTGAACAAATGAGTTCCATTCTTCTTCATAATACTCTTCCTAAGTTCAAGGATCCGGGTGTTCCGACCATTTATTGTGTTATTGGAAACCAAGAGGTTCGTATAGCTCTCCTTGATTTAGGTGCAAGTATTAATCTCATTTCATATTCTATCTACTTGCAATTAGGATTATGGGCTTGAAACCAATATCGGTAGTCATCCAACTAGCCGATATATTAATTAAAAATCCGAGGGGAATTGTTGAGGGCATCTTAATTAAAGTTGATAAATTTTATTTCCCGGTTGATTTTGTGGTACTTGATACTGAGTTAGTCCCTAATCTTACCAATCACATTCCAGTCATCCTAGGAAGACCATTCCTTGCCACCGCCAATGCCACAATTAATTGTAGATCCGGCATTATGGACATCTTTTTTGGAAACATGATGGTTAAGCTTAATGTTTTCAATGCAAATCAACATCCCACAGATGAAGACGAGTGTTTCCTAGTGAATGTCTTGGATGAAACCATAGAGGAGACTCTTCTCTCTATTCTATCTAAGGACCCTCTTAAGGCGTGCCTTTGCGAAATGTTTGAAAGTTGTGGTTTTGACACAAAAGGTCCATAAGTGAGGTGAATGCTTTGATGGACTCTGTGGCCACTTTGGATTTCCCACCTTAGAAAAGCAAGAAAGAACCTTTTCCTTCACTCTCTAGTACTTCACCAATTCCTTTTCTCATCTCTCCTCCTACTCTTGAGCTTAAGCCTCTTCCATCCAATCTCAAATACGCCTTCTTAGGCCCAAAAGAGACTCTTCCAGTCATCATTGCTTCAAATCTTGAAAATGACCAAGAGAATGATCTTTTGGAAGTGCTTAAAGCTAACAAAGAAGCCATTGGATGGAGTGTGGCTGACCTAAAAGGCATTGACCCTTCTATTTGTATGCATCGCATACACATGGAAGAGAATAAAAGGCCATTTAGGGATACTTAAAGGAGATTGAACCCAAATATGAAGGAAGTTTTCAAAAAGGAAATTGTGAAACTTCGAGATGCAGGAATCACTTATCATATCTCTAATTCCAAGTAGGTTAGTCCAACTCAAGTGGTTCCCAAAAAGTCAGGAATCACAGTTGTTGAAAATGCTACGGGTGATCTCATCTCGAAACTCACTGCCACTTCGTGGCGTGTTTGCATAGATTACCGAAAGCTAAATTCTGCCACTAGGAAGGACCATTTTCCATTGCCTTTCATTGATAAAATCTTGAAAAGATTGGCTGAGCAACAGTATTATTGTTTCCTAGATGGTTACTCGGTGTATAATTAAGTGGCCCTAGATCCATTGGAGAAAAGACCACATTTACATGTCTTTTCGGTACATTTGCTTATCGACGGATGCCTTTTGGATTGTGCAATGCTCCTGCCACTTTTCAAAGGTGTATGATGTCAATTTTTTCGGATATGGTGGAGAAGTATTTAGAAGTCTTCATGGATGACTTCTCGATTTTTGGGTCCTCATTTGATTCGTGTCTCCAAAATCCCATAAAAGTGCTTCAAAGATGTCGTGAGACTGATCTTGTGTTAAGTTGGGAAAAGAGCCATTTCATGGTTCAAGAAGGAATCGTGCTTGGACATGTCATTTCTAAAAGAGGAATAGAAGTTGATAAAGCAAAAGTTGAGCTAATCTCCGAATTGTCTCCACCTACTACGGTGAGAGAAATTCGCTCATTTTTAAGTCATACCGGTTTCTATCGCCGATTCATCAAAGACTTTAGCAAAATTGCTAGACCCTTGTGCAATCTTCTTGCCAAGGAGACATTATTTGTCTTTAATGAAGCATGTCTAAATGCTTTTCATCAACTTCGCAATCTTCTATCGTCCGCTCCCATCTTGCAACCTCCAAATTGGTCATTACTATTTGAGATTATGTGTGATGTTTTCAACTTTGCAATGGGTGCTGTTTCGGGGCAAAGGGTAGGTAAGTTACCATGTGCTATATACTATGCGAGTAAGACTTTCTCAAGTGCCCAATTGAATTATTCTACCACCGAGAAAGAATTACTTGCTGTAGTATATGCTCTTGATAAATTTCGGTTATATCTCTTAGGATCCAAAGTTATTGTGTTTTCCGATCATACAGCTCTTAGGCATCTTTTAATGAAAAAGGAAATCAAGCCTCGTTTAATAAGATGGATCCTACTTTTTTAAGAATTTGACTTTGAAATCAAGGACAAAAAGGGCTCTGACAATGTTGTTGCCGATCATCTTTCTAGATTAATGGTTGAATCTTCTCAAAATCTTCCAATTCATGAATCATTTCCTGATGAACAACTCTTTCAAATCTCAAATGGGATATTGCCTTGGTTTGCTGACATTGTTAACTATTTTGCAACCGGCAAATTTCCCATTAATTGGTCAAAACAAGAAAAGACCCGATTCTTTGCTAACATCCGGAAATACTATTGGAAAAATCCCATTGTGTTTCGTTATTGCCCAGATCAAATCATAAAGGAGATGTGTGCTGGAAAGTGAAGTTCCAAGCGTCCTTGTGTTTTGTCACACACTTGCTTGTGGTGGGCATTTTAGTGGAAAAAAAAACCCCTTTGAAGGTTCTTCAAAGTGGGCTCTTCTGGCCTACTATCCATCGAGATGCCTATAACTTTTGTAAGGTGCGTGTTCGGTGCCAAAAGTTGGGATCAATGTCAAAGAGAGACATGATGCCCTTAACTTCAGTCTTAATAGTTGAAATCTTCGATGTATGGGGCATAGATTTTATGGAACCATTCCCAATGTCTTATGGCTTTCAATACATCCTCGTTGCTGTTAACTATGTTTCAAAGTGGGTTGAGACTTGTGTTACCAAAACGAATGACCACTCCGTAATAATTGCATTCATCAAATCAAATATCTTTGCTCGTGTTGGTATGCCAAGGGCTATGATAAGTGATGGAGGAAAATATTTCTATAATCAATTCTTAAGGCAACTATTTTTGAAATACTCTATCACACATAAAGTGGCCACTCCCTACCATCCCTAAACAAGTGGGCAAGTCGAGGTATCAAATAGGGAAATCAAGCATATTCTTGAGAAAACTGTTAATCCAACCCGAAAAGATTGGTCAAGGAAATTGAATGATGCTTTGTGAGTTTATCGGACAGCTTACAAGACTCCAATAGGCATATCTCCATATAGAGTTATTTATCGGAAGCCTTGTCACCTTCCGGTTGAGTTAGAACACAAAGCACTTTGGGTAATAAAAAGGCTTAACTTTGATCTTGATAAGGCTGTAAAGGACCGTTTGCTCCAACTCAATGAGCTAGAGGAATTGAGAAATGATGCCTATGATAGTTCAAAGATCTACAAGGTAAGGACAAAAACATTTCATGATAAAAATATTGTGAAAAAGTCCTTTGAGGCAGGTCAAAAGGCTTGGTTATTCAACTCTAGGCTCAAATTCTTTCCTGGAAAGCTTAGAACCAAATGGGAAGGCCCTTATCTAATCATCTCCGTCTTACCTCATAGGGCAGTTGAACTTCAAAATCTGAAAGATGAAGGGACCTTTAAGGTTAATGGTCAAAGGTTTAAACCATACATTGATGGACAAACTCTTCAAAGAAATATGGAATCTGCTCTATTAGTGGATCCCATTAACTTTAAAGATTGAGAGCATTTCACGTTTTTCTAGCGATGTTAAACACTAGTTATCTTGAGTTCCTCTTTCGTTGCATATTAATTTACATTTGTTATTATTTTATTTTTTTTCCTTTTGTACATTTATGCTTTAAAAAAAAAAAAAAAAAATTCAAAGTAACATTCCGTCTTGTTAGAGACGTTAAATTTAGCCATTTAATTTTTCATTTTGTAGGTTGTATATAAAATTTCATTTTCCTTTGCATATTAAAATAAAAAATAAAAAATATATATATTTTTCCATTGTGCTCTTCTGCATAGTTCTGCATGTTTCAACTTTACAAAGGGTTTGATCTAATATCTCTTTATATCTTGTTTTATATTATTTTGGAATGTATGATTCTTATCCCATGTTGATATTTGATGTGAGTTGCTAGTGTGGCTATTCCAATGAGTTTTTGCATCCAAGTTTGGGGGAGACATCTTTCCTAATGGATAATTGCCGGACTTCATAGACTTTTGCTATCACGGTATACTCTTTCCATTTAATTCATTATTCTCATTGCACATTTGTGATACCCCTCGGATCCGAGACACGGGTTGATTAGACCCAGGCCCAAACCCGAGGGATATCAAACAATTAATATGTAACCGAACACAGAATACAAGATGAAATAAATAATAATAATAAGCTGGAAGAATGCTAATTGAAATCCTCAAAATATAATTATTGAAATCTGCTAAAACCAAACTCCAAAACTCCATAGGTTATAACTCGGGAATCTATTTAGTGGACCCCTTATTAAAATCCCAAAACTAAAACATCTGAAATAAAAGCTAAAGGTAAACATAGCAAAGATTCCTACGTAGTCGGAGGAATGATTATCTGTATCTGCTCTGCACGTCCAAGCTTTAACCCTGGAACTGACGAACACCTGAAAAATAAGAGAGTGGGTCAGGCCCACATCCAAGTCCTATTCTACTACAATCCAAACAGTAATCCGATACACAGATACATCCTAGGAAGACTCAACAATATCTATAGTAGTCTATAAGTATATATATAGTACACACTATAGGACGCTCACTAGTCCAGTAGGTCTGTCTCAGCCTGAGTAGAGATACCATGCAAATCGCACAATAATGTGGTCATGTGTACCTAGACCTAGCAGGGAACAACACCTATGTCCAGTTATCCATCCTAGGCGATATACGCGCCCTAACCATGGTCCTGAGACTCAAACTCATACCACGGTACCATATAATAAATATATAAAGTTTGTACTCCTCATAATACAAAATACCATCCATTTGTGTAGTGGTCTAGTATATGTATAATCATTCATCCCGAAACCATATTAAGTCATCCAACTATTTTATTGACATGACACAAGTAGGTGATAGACTTAACCTATATGGTTAATCCGTACCTTAATCCCAATTAGGTAGGACTTAGTGTCTGAACTAGTCCATACCTAGTATGTCACCGTCTCATACCGGTACATACCATCCTCCAGTAAACAAGGTTGACAAAACAGAAATAAATACTTATCAACCATTCTCCAGATTTAGCATAAACATAGTCTAACATGTATACAGCCAATTAATGCATACAGTATAACATTTAGAAGTCTTATTTCAGTCTTTGATATAAATGAAATAAGATCACACATTAACTTCTCCAGACAGTATCATAATTGATGCAGTATACCGTATATTTAGAACATCAATTAATCTCCACTTAAGCATACTCATTTTCCAGAATAAATAACTATATGCTTATTAAACAGTTGCAACATGAATAATAGTTTAAAATCATGATAAGAAACCAAACTTGCTCAAAGCAGTAAACAGTTCTACTGTTAATCAACTAACCTTTCACATACAGTTTCCTTGTTTAATCCTTAAGTTATTTCCTGTTTTAACACAATAACATTAACATGCTTCTACACAGTTTTTACAACTCTGGAACAGTTATCCAAACCATTCATAGCAACTGAAATAACCCAGATACCTCCATACAGGCCAAACCGGACCTAGAACCACGCAAAACCTCAAGAAAAGGGGTTGGAGCAGCCTCCAGAAAGTTGGAGCCGGCTCCCCTCTTAGTGGAGCCGCCTCCACTTCATGTGGAGCCGGCTCTACAAGTCCTAGAGCCGGCTCCACCCTTTTGGTGAGCCGGCTTTCCTCTTTTGAGAGCCGTATCCCCTAACCTGTTCGTCTTCTTCGCCTCCGGCGAAGTCCAGAGCCTCTGTAGTATTGTAAACTCCTGTTCTGGTGTTTATTTAATGTCCCAGATTATTTGAAAACCCCCGACATGCAACAATAATCCCAATTAAACCAAGCTTAAACTCAAGAACATCATGCATCAAATCACAGAAACTTTAAGAACTTGCACCAGTTTGATTCACGAGATTTATTACAGTTTAAACATGCATTCAAGATGAATTTAAACACTTATTTAATCCATTTTAATGTTGGTTTAATCCCTGGAGTCTTTCGAAGCATGTACAGAACACAGATTAAAGAGATAGAGTAGAACAGAGACTTGCCTTGAGTTTCAGATTTGAAACTCTAAACTGTCGTCTCCTGAATTTTCCGACGAAGTTTCCGACTGTTGTTCTACCTCTGTCACTCTTGGTTTAGTCTTAGTTGAAGCCCACAACCCTAGCTTCCTTCATTTATCCCTCTCTATAAGTTCTCAAGTTTCCACTCTCTGTTTTTTCAAAACCACAACTGTTGCTCTCTGTATTTTCACTACGTGTATGGGTTTTGTTTTTTAAAACCCTAGGTAGAACTCGTACATGTATATTTATAGGTGTTTGTAATACACAATCCTAATTCTAGTTGTAATACAAGAAATAAACCTACATATACTAAGTCGGCTACCATGAAACCTAAAACCCTAACCCTAATTTACGCACTTAAATAATTAAACCAATTACAAACAATTTAATTAAAATAATTCACTTAAAGATAAACACACTGAATTAAGTAATTAAATCAATTAAATAAGTATAGTAAGTAAAATATTAAAAGACAACTCATTAATTAAAAACACTTAAACAATTAAGTCCAATTAATTCCAATCAATGCAAGATAATACAATTAACCACTTAAACAAATAATTCCAAATTAGTAAACAAAACAAAACAATTAACAATTATTCAAATAAAAAGACAATTAAAGAAAACAAGCTAACAATTAAAAAAAATTCAATTTAAACAATTTAATAAATACCAGGACTATCATTTTGAAATTAGGGGTATTGCAACATTGAGGACAATGTACAGTTTAAGTTTGGGGGTAAGGTTATCATGATTCATTTTATTTTGAGTTAAGTTTTAAATACATGATGAGATTTGAGATGTGTTTGGCAATGATTTCGAATTTTTGAAGTATAGTGCCTTTGAAAAACAAATTGTTAGAGTCTAATACTTCTTGCATGCTCTAGGATGCCATTTAGGGGTAAATTTTTAATTTTTGATATCATGTTTGCTCTTGTGGTACACATCATCTTGTTGGTTGAAAATGTTTTGAGAGTTGATTCTAGAATTCTACACTTGCACTTGCGCACATTAGCATTCAATTTGTGGGGTACATGCTTAGTTGATTATTGTCTTGGTTTATCCCAATTGAGCTAGTATGCTTTGAAAGTTTTCATGCTTGATAAAATGACCTTGCAAAGAAAATAAATAAAAGTACTCACCAAAGGTGAGAAACAAAAATAAAAAAAAAAACTAAAAAAAAAAAAAAATTGCATTCTTTCAACATGTCAACTGATTAAAAAGGAGGACAAGGAAAAAATGTAAAATGTATGATTAGTTTGAGTTCGTAGCCTAGTCATTCCGAGTCATTACGCCCTTAGAAGTGTCTTTACACTTAATGCCCTAAGACTATCTGGTTTGGGAGTCGTTGGCTTAACGCTTGTTACATGGGGTGATTAGAGAGCTTAAGGAACTTGGACATTGCACATGGTCATACATATTAAAAAAAAAAAAAAGAAAAAAAAAAAGAAAGAAGAAGAAGAAGAATGTTTGATTGAATAATAAAGTTCATTTAATGTCTTGAGGATTGGTATTATATCTGTATGCTAGTTTAAGGGTAAGGCTATGCCATTACTTTGATTTGCTAGGATATCAATACATTTTGATGCCAGTTCACTCAAAAAGAATGATAGAATTGATTCAATTTGCATTATTAATTGCTTAATGTGTGGAGGACCATTCTTGCTTATATGATGTTGAAATGTTGAGAATAGCTTAGAAATGGCAGAAATTTGCATACTTGAAGTAGTCTACTTTTAACACTTGTTTGATATGTGTTGTTACTTCTCAAGTAAGAAAGAGCTATTGATGTTTGTGAGTACCATTTCTGGAAATCCTCACGAGACTTCACTCGTCCACTAGAGGTAACCTAGGGGTTTAAAAGGCTTATTGCATATGCTAAATGCAACCGTGATCCCTACGAAAGTGGTGTTATCTTTATTTGCTTTATTAGTTAATAGTTGTATATGTGTTTGTTTCATTTTCGTACTGTAATTCATTGCTAGGGACTAGCAATATCTAAGTTTGGAAGCGTGATAAGTGCTTAAATGTTACACATTTCAGCACTTAAGTTAGGGTATTTTAGTCTTTGTATTTATCTTAATTTCATATTTTAATCCTAATTTATGTTTATGTGTATTTCAGGGCAATAAAGTTAAAATGAGCTAAGAATGGTCCATTATGGCGTTTTGGAGTCAAGCTAGAGTATCGGGACAAAATTCAGAAAGAAGCAAGGATGCAGCCAAATGCTGCGTCCGGACGCCATTCCTCGCGTCTGGACGCGAGTCTCCAGCACACTGCTTCCAGACACCAAAAGTTGCGTCTGGACACTAAGCTCCTGACAGCAGACCAGTTACAAGATTGACATATTTTTAGGGTTACGGGCTTAACTCTTTTGGGCATATTTTTTTTAACCTATTTGGCTCTAATGGGCTTGTTACTTAACGGCCAGTGAACCATTATTTTTAGGGTTAGTTTTCATTATTTTAAGACGAGTTATTATTATTTATTTTGATTATTAAGTTTTTATGTTGTAATCGATATATCACTCTCTGGAAAACACACGAAAGAGAAAAAAACGAAGAACGGGCTAGGGTTTGGAAGAAAAGCTCAGAGAATATAAAGTAGATGATGGGGATTGTCCTGTCTTCGACTCCATCAACCATGAGTGGCTGATTCTTCTACTTAGCGTTGGATAAACCCTAAGCATGTAACCTATTTTCTCTCGCTTTTCACTTTTTGGGAATTAACTTATGTAATTAGTGTATAGTCTTGAATATTATGAATTAAATTCTTCCAATTGATTATCTGTATTAATCTCATGTTGTCTTATGTGTGGTTGATTGATAAACAAATTTTACACTTGAATTGATTGTTAATTGATTTTTGTGATGGCTATGCTTGGTATTGATTCGTTGTAATTGTGTTTCAAATTGATGGAAAATACTTCTACTTGATGGATGGCACTACATGTTTAGGTTAATTCATTGCCTCATTAGTTTAATTTCATGATTAATTAGTTTAATTGCAATTTAATTATTAGGTAAGTGGACCATCCATACTTGCGTTTGAATTCCATACTTTTTGTCTCAATTGCATTATTCTCTTGATTAATGTAGGCTAAATTGTAACTTGAATTGATGGAGGTGAATTGCACTGCACTTAGTTTAATTGTCATTAGGTAGGCAATTTAGGCTTGACATTGACGCTTTATACTTTTCATTGCAATTGTTAACTTTATTTAGAATTACATTTAATTTTTCCCAATTAGTTGAAAGTGAGTGAGTTAGGGAATGTGCTTAGTGGTGAATCCTACACCCTAAGTCTCTTTTCAATCTTTTAAACTCCATTAGTTTAATGCAACCATTTAGCTTAAAATTAGTTCTAATCACAAAACAAAACCCTTTTTAGCAATCACATAAGAACTAAAGTAGAATTCAATTCCGAAAACCTATAATTGTTTAGATCTCTTAGGACGATCCCTTCTTGTTAGTTACTAATTGACTCTAAGGGGGGGGGGGGGGGGGAGTGAATAGAGTCAATGGCCAATTTTTGCAATTTATAAAATATTAAATCTAACAAACTGTCAAGCACAGAGGAATTGAAACATTCAAGTAGTATATAGCACAAGTATAAGAGAGATAGAGATGAGAGATTGCAAACTATGACTCGGCGATTTAGCGAGGTTCAGAAACTCCTACTCCTCGGCTCAAGGTCCTCCTTGAGACTTCCCAAATTCACTAGAGCTTCTCCTTAATGGTGGAGAGCAAACCTTCAATTTGAAGCAAAACCTTGTTTCTTCTTCCTTGCTAGGAGAACACCTTTCTCCTAGGCTTTTTTTGGGTCACACCAACATTCACAAGATTGTAGCAAAGTTTGTAAATGAAATACAAGATTGAATCTCTCTCAATAGATGTACAAATGTAAGCTCACAACTAGAGTTAATAAGAATATTAATGAAGCTCAAGTTCTAGGATGAGAGAATGTAGAGATAGATGAATGAAAGCTCAGAGAAAGAATTTATGGCTATTGAATGCTCTTGAATACTCTTATTGAATGTTCTTTCAAGTGGTGTAATGTTCAGCAAAGAAGCCCTCTCTATTTAAAGAAATCCGTAACTCAATATATCTGTTAGAAGTGGTTGGAGGAATTAAATGCTGAAATTGCCGTTAGAATTTCAGATCTCTCAAAGGAGCCGGCTCTTTGTAAAAGTGGAGGAGGCTCCAATATTGAGTAGAGAAGGCTCCAATATTAGTAGAGTAGGCTCCAATATTTGGGAGGCGGCTCTTTCCAAGAAAAAATTGTTCTACGAGCCAATTTAAGCTACTGGAATGAAGAGAGCAGGCTCTATCTTGAGTGGAGCCGGCTCCAATACTGTGCAAGACTAAAAATAAAATAAACCGAGTCCTGTGCACTTCCTATTGATATGTAGCTTGCATATATAAGGTTCAGGAATAGATTTTAGGTATTTTAAAAACTGAATTTAGAATGAGTATGCATGAACCTAAAAACTTGAGTTTCAAAAAAAATATTCAAATAAACGTTAACATTAAGTCTAAAGCTCTCACCATCCTATCTACCTTTCTCTTCATTTCTTGAACATGATTGATTAGGCTTGATGAAGACTTGCTGTCTTCCTTTGAAATGCTTGAGTGATATTTGAAGCCCGAGATTTTCTTTGATTTCTTGCAACTTTGAAGCTTCTTTGAATCCATAGCTTGAGTACTTGAAATGCTTGAATTGATCTTTTAGCTTATCACTGAGGATTGTATATTAATCATCTATACATCACTCAATGAAAATATTAATTCTTAAACATCATTAATGGTTTGTAATCATCAAAACATAAGATTGACCTTTAGAAAAAAATCCTTAGGCCAACACTTCTCACTTCATACTCCATGGTATAAGTGTTTAGAGGTTTTATAAATTATAAAATATGATGCCCACTTGACATTATTTCTAAACCTAAAGTGTTGTGCATTAATTTGTGTATACGTGATGTCGCATCACTGAATTTTTCGATGAGTATTAATGGACCAAACAGTGCACCACAAATCGTTTTTTGCTGCCTCAAAACTACAACTCTCAGATAGGGCTGCCTTTGATTGCAAGTTAAGAACAGAGAGAGCAATCTTGTATGCACTGCGAACTGAAAAAGCTCCATCTAGTGACGGCCCCCCATACTTTGCAATCTGTCCCTCCCAAAACACTAAGAGGGATTTGAAGAATTGAAGCCCGATCCCGTGGATTAAAGAACTGCTACAGTAACTCAGAATTCTAACAATGAGAAGATTGGATAATTAAATCAGCTACAGAGGAAAATGGAGCATCCCGTTGTTTAGAAGTAATTGAATTATTTAAAGAATCTGGGAACCAATGTCATGCCAGCAGTTAACCATCGTGCCATCTCCAATTCGCCATTTCATCCCTGCTTTGATAATAGCCCAAGCAGAACAAATACCCCTCCAAGCCCATGAAGCTTTAGCTTTATATGGGGCATCATCAAAATTGCAACTTTTTAATAATTAATAGTTGCTCTTTGAATATAAAATTTTTAATTCATATTTGAATATTTTATAACATAATATAGATAAAATATTTGAATTTAAAGATTACAAAATATCTATCTAAGTTGTGCTCAATTCTGATTTTCATTCACACTTAAATTGACGAATCTTTGAAGATCATAGAGTCAATTCTGATTTCCATTCATACGTAATTCACATTTGAATATTTTATAACATAATATAGATAAATGTTTGAATTTAAAGATTACAAAATATCTATCTAAGTTGTGCTCAATTTTGATTTACATTTATACTTAAATAGATAAGTTTTTGAAGATCATAGAGTCAATTCTGATTTCCATTCATACTTAATAAAAACAAAATTGTGGTGTTTAGCTTTAGATCAACATGATGATGATTCTTCAATATTATTTTATTTGATATTATTCTTGTGGTGTTTAGCTTTTGATATGTAAATTATCAATTTAAAATAATTATCATTTCCACCGATAATGATTAAAAATATTGTAATAGAGTTATTGATTCTGTTAAAATTGTCTTTGATAATCTATTTAGTATATGTATATTACTATATATTAATCAATGTTGTACTTTGAAGACACAAAGTGGATTAGTGGTAGCTTGGTATGAGTGTTAGGGGTTTTATTCTTTCATTGCTGGAGTCTTGGGTTTGACCTTTGCTAACTTGAATAACCAAAAATGTGAAATATATATATATATATATATGCATAAAATCATCTTTTTAACAGCCACGTCACCTCCTTCACTCTCATTGAGAATTGAAACTCCTAAGCATAGGGAAATTATTGCATGTTCCTTCCTTTGTCCATTTGAAGGAGAATAAAAAAATATTTAGTTCAGTATTTTATAAATGATTATCAATAATTCAAGAGACACATAAAACTGTTTTTAAATACTTCAAAAAGTGACTGACAACCAAACAAGTCATCTAATAAAAATAAACTGTAATTAAACAATTTTATATACATTATTATTATTTTTTTAATTTTAAAAACAGAATCGTTCTCATAAAACTTAACCAAAAAAATTTATAATTTTCTTAATGAGGTGTTCTAGTTTAGTTTGGACTTTTAAATTTTTTTTATGTGTGTATATATATATATATATATATATATAAATAATAATAAGTCGGTTCCGATTTAGCTTGGCATTATAAAAAAAACTATTTATCCTCTCTAAAGTTTGCAAATTATCAAATAAGCTGAATAACAAATGAGTGAATTGATTCGGTTATTCGAAAAGAAAAATATATTTTTTTTCAAAAGAAAATACAAACATTTACTTTCTTCCTTTTCATGATAATTTTTATGTAAACAATACTGTTCAAGGATTATATTAAAAACTTTTGTAACATGATATATCTTTCAATTTTCAAAGTAAAAGGTCTTGAAAGGTCTAGAGTTCTTAAAAACTTTATAATCTGATATATCTTTCAATTTTCAAAATAAAAAACCTTGAAAAGTTTAGAGTTCGAGTTCAAAAAAAGCTTCCAAACTATTATGTCCTCTCATTCTCTTTTATTTTTCACTGGTACTTCACTCGAGTCACGAGAAACTAATGATATCCATTTTTTTGGTTTTTTTTTTTTTAATAAAAAAACTCTTGTTTACCAAACACAGCCTTAGAGAGTAACACCAAGGCACACGCACTTATTTCTCTGCATTCAAAGCGCGATCATCACCTGTATATTATTGCTCTTGATCACCTAAAACCACCCAGCTCTACAGTACTGTGATCTCGTGATTGTTCATATTACACTTTCGCATACCATACACACACACAGACAAAATGGATACCAACCGTGAGTCTGTTTTTTTATTTTTATTTTTATTTTTCATTTTCTTGTTGCTTACATTTGAATATATTGCAACGATGTTTCTTCTATGGTGATTCTATTCGAATCACTCAGTTTTTGATATATTTTTGTTTTGACGAATGTTCAGTGGATTCTTCTGTCTTCGTTTTAGTCATCTGTTATGTTGTTTTAGGGTTTCGTGACTTTCGTCCTTCTTAACTTGTTCATGCGGTGTTGCTTTATTGTTTTCTTTCTCGTTTATTGAATTTGAATAATCTGTTTTAGTAATTTAATTGAAAATGTAATTGGATTCAGTGTTTTTGGGTTTTAGATTTGTGTAGATTGTAGTGTTTATTTTTAGTCTGATTTATTTGCGGATTTAGTTATAATTGCCGGGAGTAGAATCTGTGGTATGGGTCTTTGTTTGGTTACGGAGAAACTATAGGAAAAGAAAATAAAACTTAAGTGGGGTTTTTGTGGTGCTTATGATATTTCAATTCAAGTTCTCTTTTACTTTCCCAACATTTCTGGGTCATCAAACAGTGAATCCGGTGTTCTGATTGTTTTCTAATTGGAATTTTGATTTGGATGTGCTGATTTTACCCATTTTCAACTGATCTTTTCAGTTTGTGGTACGCCTCAATCATAGATTCAGTAAAAGTTCAACAAACCACAATGGATGTTCCTCGAACTAATTGTGTCTTTATTTGTCAGCTGTACTATTATATATTGCTGGCTATTATATGTCCAAGATATTTTAATTCGTGGCTCACGGTTGGCTATTAAGCCCTTCAAATGTTCTACAATTTTTTTCCCCTCGTTATTTGGTTTTCATTTTGAGTTCTTGTATGTGCAGACAGTTCAAATTGAAACTTAAAAATCACTAACATTAGTCCTTTTCACTGGACTTTGCAGGGAATCCTCAGGACACGATAGTGCCCCCAGTTGAAGGTGTTGCTGGAGGAGGGACGGCATATGGATGGAGTGATAGTGGCATACATGATTCAAATCCTCTCTGGGGAACAATTGATCCCACAAAAAATCCTTCTGCAGATTTAGTGCATGTATGGTGCATGCCTAGCACGGCAAATGTTGGGCCACAAGAAATGCCTCGACCGTTGGAACCTGCAAGTGTTTCCATGTTAACTTTTCTAGTGCTTCATGCTTGCAGCTGATTTTCTTTTTGTCAATATAATTTATTATATGATTTCAACTCTTAGTATTGCCCTTGGTTATTAGTGCATATGCACTGACCAGTTATGAATATATCTTGGAGCTGCCCTTTAAAGCATACTTTTACATGCTCACCAGTGCCTGATTGACCATGTATGCCTTGTTTGAATGACTGCATTTCATGCATTAAATATGCAAAACAACTACCGTAGATGCCAGTGGAATGGGCGTGTTTGTAAAACTTGCATCTAGAATCTAGATGATTACCTTATAATTTTCCCATACACAATGCATGTATTTTGTTGACACAAACTGAAAGTGAAGTTCCCTTTACATGTGCTTATCATAATGATTTAACACATGTTCCGGAATTTTGTTTAATCTATTTTACATTATAAAAGTTTCTTTCGGACTGCCTCTAAGAAAAATTGAAATTTCACATGATGGAGGTCAGGCAACCCTGCACTTGCACATACATGCAGATTGCATTTACTTCATCCTTGCTAGGATTTTTCAGCAATGACCTTTAGCATATGTTTTGCTGTTGCATAGCAGTTACTCACAACTGGGGAAAAATCATGAGAAATCTTATTTCATGTTCTTGAGTTGCACAATATTTTATTTGTCTCTGAAATATGGTTTACCTTGAAGATATCTCTTCTGGCGGCAAGAAATGAGAGAGAAAGTATTCAACTCGCTTTACGGCCAAAAGTTTCTTGGGGTAAATCTGGTATTGCTGGGGTTGTAGAGGTTCAGTGTACTGACTTGTGTTCGGCTTCTGGTGATAGGTGAGTTTTTCAAGGGCTTGCTACTTTTTTCTGCTGCATCCATATAATTCTTCAAGGTAATAATGTTGCTGATACTGGTTATGAGCAGGTTGTTTTTGGGTCAATCACTGACATTGCGACGTGTGGTGCCCATCTTAGGTGTTCCGGATGCACTTGTACCCCTTGATCCACCTGTCTCTCAATTAAGCCTACTTCCAGGGTATTGATATACGTTAATGGTTCGATTTATCAAAAAAATATACATTAATGATTTGATTTTGTTTTGTTTGTGTGAAGTTGAGTGGATGTTGGTTGACAACTTCGAACTATCTGTTACCCACACAGAAAGGACTTCTTTCTGTGTTTGTGTGATTGAAATGTTTTTTCTGCTGCAGAGAAACAACCGCAATTTGGATTTCCATAGATGTCCCATGCGATCAACCCCCGGGTCAATATGAAGGAGAGTTCATCATCACTGCTATAAAGGCGGATGCAGAGTGATTGTCTATCCTCTTTACTTCAGTTAAATATTAGTTCTGTTGTGTGGGATTTTAGTCTTTTAATGTCTGTGTTCAGTTACTCAGATTGTTATGATGTTTGCAATTTCTGCGTTGGTTCAGAATAACTTGTATTACTGCATTTTGTAAATTTAAAGTTCAAAGAATATAGTCTTCTATATTTATTCATTCTGACTCATCACAGATCTACAGCGCAATGCCTGGGCAAAGCTGAGAAGCATCAACTATACAAAGAACTTAGAAATTGTCTTGACATTGTGGACCCCATTGATGGAAAATCATTTGATGAAGTGGTAGGTTTCTGAAGCTAATTTTCTATCCCATTCCTGAACTAGGCTTTGTTATAAGCTGTTTATATGAGCTTTTGTTTTTTAGGTAGAAAGGGTGAAATCTGCGAGTACATCTTTAAGAAGAGTTCTTCTATCGCGATCATTTTCTGATTTCTTTTCAGATAATGGTCCAGCAGATATGATGGATGAAGATGCAATTTCAAACCTTTCTATACGGTTGAAGTTAAATCTGACAGTTTGGGACTTCGTTATTCCGGCGACACCTTCACTTCCTGCTGTTATTGGTGTATCCTGTATCTTTAATGGATTGGAAATTGGTGGAAGTTTGATATTGATTTTCCCTTTGAAAAATTAACTGCAATTTTGCCTTGATGTAAGTTTAGAGAATATAGATTGCAATACAAGTCTCTGAAGATGTTGAAATTGCTTTGTCTGGGATACCATAGATGACTTTACTGTTAGCTTCCGTTTTTTCTTTTTTTCTTCTATTACCTTTTTTTTTTTTTGGTAGGAGGTCGTCTGAATATAGGTTTCTCTTAAATAGGTGACAGATTGCAGTATTTAGTTGCAAACTATATGTTTCCCGTATTTTCTATTTACTATAACTTTTCAGGGATATTATAGTTATCCACATTTACTCGTCAAAAAAATAATTATCCACTCATTTTTTTATCATTCTGTATCCTTTGATCAATATATTGTGGATCGTCTATAGTTCATGTGGTTTACTACACACTGACATTGTATGCCATTACCTAGTGTTAATCCACCTTTATTAGGTCTTCGGAGGGTTGACGGGAGATAGATTTAACATGAATACTCTTGGTATAATCATTGTGTAACTGCTATAGGCATTACTGTTTAATGTTGGTAAATGTGATGATCTTGATATAAATCAACCTTCAGATATCTAATATTTCTATCTAGACATGAAGAATAATGTTGAGTTGCTTGGTACTACCCTAAATTATGTCTGAAATAGGTAAAAGAGAAAAGGAATTATTATAGGGTTGCACTATTGGTACCACTTGCTCGCCATTTTCTTTCCATTATTTGACCTCACTTGTATACTTTTTCTGAACCCTGGGGATGATAATTTGAATTTTAATATTATTGGAAGGGTTCTATATCTGGTGACGATGATTGCAGGATTTCTTAACTACGTTTTAGATATCTGATACTGTAATTGAAGATCGCTTTGGTGTTAAACATGGGAGTAAGGAATGGTACGAGGCATTGGATCAGCATTATAAGTGGCTGCTCCAATATAGAATCAGTCCGTACTTTTGCAGATGGGGTGACGGTATGCGTGTTTTGACATACACCTGTCCATGGCCAGGTAATTATTATTATTATTATTTAAACAAGTGTCCATGACCGTGTAATATTGTGAAACAAGGCTGATTTTACTATGAATTGGTGTTTATGCATCTTTTGATTGATATTCTGTGGTTGTCATTATAGCTAACTTCATTGTCATGAATTATGGTTCCCTAGTGTGAGTTTAGTTGCTTCTGTGAATATCTTATCAACCATAAATTTATCATTCTTATTACTATTACCTTTCTGGCTTGTGCAGCTGATCATCCAAAATCAGATGAATATTTTTCAGACCCTCGTCTTGCAGCATATGCTGTACCATATAGGCGAGTTGTCTCTTGGTACGCAATCAGTCACCTGCTTTCTGTTCTTTGAAATAGTAGATATGATTTGTGCTGATTAGCTGGCTTCTTGATAAAGCAACAGCGGTGATGCAGCAAATGACTACTTGCAAAAAGAAGTTGAGATTCTGAAGACGAAGAGTCACTGGAAAAAAGGCTATTTTTACCTTTGGGATGAGGTAAAGGCCTTTGCAAATTGGCAATCAACGTGTGTGTATATATTTTATTATTATTATTATTATATCTATTGTTATTATTTTTGTATTTGGTAAATGTTGGTTCATCCGCAGCTTGTTCTACCTGATAATTATAAACTTAAATAGTGCTGTTCAGAGATAAATGTCTCACTTCTAATATTTTTTTTTAATCTTAGAAGTGCAGTTGCTTTCTTTCTTTTTTATTTTTTCCTTAATTGTCTCTCAATTGATGTGCTTGGTTGCTCACTGGTGTTATTTGCGCATACTGACATGCATGCGTTACTTTCTGCCAGCCATTGAACATGGAACAGTATGATTCCATTCGCAGCATGGCCCGCGAGATTTATGCTTATGCTCCTGATGCTCGTGTTCTGACGACTTACTACTGTGGTGTGAATTTGCTACTCCTTTTCTTTAACATGCACACGATGAATTATTTATCTGTTTTAAAATTTTCCCCCAATTATGTAATGGCAGTGGATTGAGTTTCAAACTTAATTGGGTGTCGTAAAATTGGACATAATCTGTAATAAACTATTAATGTTCTATTGCTTGAAGCTACAAGACTGAAACTGTTATATTAGTTCCTCCATTTGGTAGGATAGTATTATTCTCGGCTTAATTATTTTTGTATTCTACTTTTGGTTGGAACAATTCATGTTTAATCTGATTTCTGGAGGTTGTCACAGACAATGGTCTAATGTTATGCAGGGCCGGGTGATGCACCTCTTGCTTCTAATTCTTTTGAGGCTTTTTTGAAAGTTCCAGAGTTCCTACGCCCTCATACTCAAGTATATTGCACCAGGTATTGATATCAATCGGTTGATTTTAGTTCTGTGCTTGAGTTTATCCAATAATTATATGTGCTGTCTAGGAGAGCAAGTATTTGTACTTGTGGGAGGGAAGAAAAATGAAACTAAAGATATTGCTGCTTGTAAGAGAACCAGGAGCAAATGAGTCTATGAATGTGCATTTTATTAGCTTTTTATATATTTGTTGAATTTGTCCAACTAGGATGTGTTAGGATTAGAACTTAGTGTTGAAAAAACTTTCACTTTCATGTGTTAAGAGTATAGCTAGCTATAGTGGTAGTAGGGGTATCGAAATGGTGATATATTGGTTGGTTGGCTCAGCTCAATCATGTCAAAGGCGTATCAATCTTGTCTTTAGTTTCACCACTCTTTCTTATTTCATATTATTAGTTAAGACAGGCTTCTTTTGCCATGAGAAACAGAATCAAACTCATACAGATCATCCGTAGAGCAGCAACGTCGCGACAACTATGTGCATAGTAGAGTAGCAACTCTTGTCATCGTCAACAATCTATTTTGTAACAAAAGTCAGTGTCTATATTTTTAGCTTTTGATTAGATTTTCAAAAGTTACTTTAGTTTGTTAATTAGTGGTGTTAACTATGTTCAATGGCAGAATAAAAATTTGAAGATAGATCAATGGGCAAAAATGTAAATCACCTTTTGGACACCTAATTCACCCATTAGGGTTCATAATGATGCATTCTACAGCTTGATTGATCGACCTGTGTGCGAACAATTTTTGGAAACTTCCTAAATCATAGTCTTTGAAGGTGTACGTTTCCTTTTCAGATTACAACTAGGAAACTGTAATTCTGTAAACTCAAAGCACTATATAAACACCTCTAGGCTCTCATAACAAATAGACATATATGTTACACGTATTGAGAGATCTTATCTTTTTAGAGTGCATACATTATTATTCAAAGTGTTGAATGTCATAATCCTTGTGTAGAGAATTCAATTCTACATTGGAGTGTCTCTACAATTTGCACAACAAACACTCAACTTGGACGCCTAGTCATTGGTGATCAAATCACTGATTGGAGAAGCATATTGCGTGAGTAGCAGATTTGTTGATGGAACGAACTATGTTTGGGGACTCGAGTGGAAAGTTTGGTGGATTTGTCACGACCTCCCCGTTGTGTAGATATTGTCGAATTTGCACACTTTCCGTTCTCATGGTTTTAAAAATGCGCCTACACATTAGGAGGCATCGACCAATAGTGCCAACAATTTTTGCTCCTCGGGAGATGTGGGAAGTCACAATCACCCCCTCTTAGGACCTAGCGTCTTTTGCTGGCATATGTGTGGCTTTGATACCATTTCCAGTTGGGGATTGGCTTTGATACCATTTGTCAGGACCCACCCCACGCGGCATCACAGGATTAGTTTGTGTCAAAAGTTAACTAGGGCTATTCTAGGGTTTGGGAAACTGGTAACCTAGTTGTACTATCTCTCACAGTGAATTTGGTTTGTCTAAACTAGGTCCTGTGGTTTTCTGCTGTTGGGGTTTTCGACAAAAAAATTGCGTGTTCTTGTGTTGTATGGTTTATTTATTTCTTCTCTCTAGCTTCAACTGATTCATATTGTTGTGTTTTAAATATAATTGTGATAATTTAAAAATCAGTTATTATTAGTTAAAATTGGACAAGATCTATTTGCTCTCCCTTTAGATTTATTTTGGGGCTCACACTAACTCTACTATCATTGCCTCGGGATCCAGTTCCATTATATTTCTATCAGGATGAAACTCCCACCATGATTAATATTTTCAGTGAAATTTCCACTCCTGCTCATTGTGGCGTCATTTTTATTCACCTATTTTCTCCCTTCTGCTTTTTCAAAAATGGATGGACTAGTGAATGGGTTATGTGTAATGTGCACATTTCTGGAAAGCTGATGAAAACTTTCTAAGAATTTGCTAGTTATAAATTAGCAAGAGCCCAGATGAGCTGTGTGCGACATGTTTTTAGTCTTTAGATGTCGCTACTCTAGGTTTCATGCGAATGTATAATGCGTAAGGTAACAACATTTGTGAACATGGGGCTTGAGGAAGGTATTTCTACTTGGTTCTTCTTCTTCTTCCTTTTTTGGGGGTGGGTGGGGGTGAGGTCCGTGATGTTGCGCTAGGGTTGAGAGAGGGAAGAAATGCATCTTTAAGGATGTTTTGGATCAGAAGATTCATTCATAATAAAAATTCAGATTAAGGTTTTCTTTTGGGCCTTCTCTCCATTAACATGAGGCACCCTCTTGCTCAGAGATCATAAGCTATTGCCTTTCTTCTGACATTCGTACATGGCACTCTTTCACCTATATTTTTAGGGTTTTGGTGGGTGCTCTTGACATAACAGTGGCTAAATTGGTCTTTGAGGTTATATCAAAAAGCCTCTAGCTCAATGGTAAAACCTCTCCACCCTCAAAGAGGAGGGGAAGGGTTCGAGCCCTTGCATGGGAAAAGTGTGTGTGAGTACTTACCTAATTAAAAAAAGAAAAGACTAGAAGAAGCACTGAGGCTGTATTTAGATGCCTGGGATCACGTACTAGAACTGGCATCTTCCAAGTCTGCCTGATTTTTGTGTTTGGAAAGCTTTACCACGTAAATTTAATGCTGGTACCTCATTTTGCGCAGAAAAGGTAGTATACTCTTATTCTTACCTCGCGTATATTCGAACTACATGCTATATTGAGTTCTTGATTTTGGGCAAACTTGGACTTAAGTTTATTAGTTAGAATTTGTTATAGGATGTTACTATGTTACCCCCCACCCCAACCCGTGTAGTTATTGTCCGCTTTGCACACTCTCCTATCGGTGCTCTCGGTTTTCCTCAAAACGTGTGCTCACGGTTTTCCTCAAAACGTGTTAGGCGGTTTTCTTCACATGTAAGTCTTAACAACTTCTCCCTCCCAGGCAATATGGGATGTCACAATCACCCCATATTGGGACCCAACGTCCTTCCTGGAGTCTTGTCCCTCATGGGCTTGTGAACGCCCCCCATTTTCGTCCGGGGATGGTCTCTGACACCATTTGTCATGACCATTCCCAACTTGTGTAGATATTGTCCTCTTTGCACGCTTTCCTTTTGGTGCTCATGGTTTTCATCAAAACACATTTACATGGTTAAGGGCATACTCTCCACCCCCGCCCCCCCCCCCCCCCCCCCCCCCGGCGGGGGCGGGCGAAGTGGGATGTCCCAATCACCCTCTCTTAGGCCCAGCGTCCTCGCTGGCCTAACCCGCATGATTATATGCACGCCCCCCATTTTGGCTAGGGATTGGCTCTAATACCATCTGTCACCACCTAACCCGTATCGTGTAGATATTTTCCGCTATGAATACTCTTCTCTTAGTGGCCACAATTTCCTCAAAACGCGTCTACACTGTTGGGGGGAGTGTCTACACATTTAAGTCTCAACAACTCCTCCCTCCTAGATGATGTGGGATGTCACAATCACACCATTTTCGGCTTGGGATTGGCTTTAATACTATTTGTGTGGATTGGCTCTAATACCATATGTCATGACCCACCCTACCTTGTGTAGATATTATCTACTTTGCACACTCTTCTCTTGGTGCTCACGGTTTTTCTCAAAACGCATCTACATGGTTGAGGGGTGTACACGCATATAAATGACAGGAACATCTCCCCCCGGTGTCTACATGGTTCCGGCTTGGGATTGGTATCCGCTCTGCACACTCTCCTCTTGGTGCTTATGGTTTTCCTCAAAACACGTCTGCATGGTTAAGGGGTGTCCACACATATAAATGACAGGACCATCTCCCCTCGGCAATGTGGGGCATTTCATAAATCCATCTGATTCGGTGGCAGGAGTCAGAATTGGATTCTTCAATAATTGTACAAGTGGATCTGAATTTATACTTAATGAATTATTTGAATATCCTGACGTGTTAAAACATTCTTTACTACGTGAGAGTCCATAGCATTTGTTCTTATCTATGCAGTGAGTGGGTGCTTGGTAACCGAGAGGATTTGGCAAAGGATATCATTGCAGAACTACAACCAGAAAATGGTGAGGTAATATTTTGAGTATATATTTCCCTAGGATCTTATAGTATAATGTTGTCGGGGAATATTTTTTTTCCATGATACTGCACATACTTGAATTCTTCGTTTTCTTAGAAAGTACAAATAAATCTTGTGGTCCGTAATTATGCCTTCATGTTTTTGTTGACTATAACCAGGGTAGTGTTCATCTTAGTGCATGTTTTTTAGCCATTTATCAATGATGTGCTAGTTGCTGACAGTTTACAAATCCGGTTTTCTGAACTTGTTCTCTGCAGTTTCTATGAAATATTAAACGCTTAATCAATTTGAAACTAATTTTGTATTTGTTATTCTTTTTCTATGATGCTACACATTAAATTCTTCTTCTTCTTAGAAACCAAATATAGATCTTGTGGTCCATAATTATTCCTTCATGTTTTTGTTGACTATAACAGTTTTATTCATGTTAGTGCATGTTGTCTAGCTGATTATTGATATAGAAGTTGCTAAAAGTTTAAATCTGGTTATCTGAACTTATTCACTGCTCTTTATATGAAATATTAAGAGGTTAATCAATTTGAAGATTGACTAAAAAGTTCTATTGCCATAGTAGATATGTTACTATAAAATATTCATTGAGCCTCGGATGGTTTGTTTGACATGACAATCAGTTTCCTTTCGTTTACTAACTTATTAAACACTGATTGTGGTTTTAGCTTACATTGTTCGTTTTTTGTTCGTAAGCATGATCAATCATAGGTTATTTATAATCACTTAAAATTTTGGTAGCTACAAACTTTCAAAACTGATATAGCCAACTACTAGACATAAATGGAATAAGTGAATGCTGCATCTCTGTCAGTAACTTCTGTTAGGAATTTTGATTAGACTCTGTTAAATTCAGCAAATAACATATCGATGCCGACTATGATATAGATATAAGAGTTTCAAATATGAAGTTATTCATGGATAAACATGAAAATAATTATTTTGAGAAGTAGGAAAACATGAAAATATTTAGTAGAAGTTCAAGGAATGTTGAGATAGACTACAATAAAAAAATCAGAAGTCATAATTTTGGATATCATCGATGCTAGCTGCCAATATTTCGTCACCAAGTCCTGATTAAACTCTGAAGGTAAAGTGATAGTGAGCACATATAAAATGGGGGCGCTCACTCAATTTAGTAGGCACATTTAGGTGGCTTAAAAGTAGCCAAAAATCTTAGGTCATCTTCCATTTCTATTTAATCAATGTGATGTAAAGCACAAAGGCGTCTGATTTTAAAACTAATGCAGGACCAAAATATTCTGAAATCAAGTTGATATAGAATAGAAAGAAAGGGATGGGAAGACTGAAGATGAGATGAGGTTAGGAGGAGTTGTGAAGACAGACAGATGAAGACTTATGTTAGGAATTTTGATTAGACTCAGTTAAATTCAACAAATAACATATCGATGCCGACTATGATATAGATATAAGAGTTTCAAATATGAAGTTATTCATGGATAAACATGAAAATAATTATTTTGAGAAGTAGAAAAACATTAAAATATTTGGTAGAAGTTCAAGGAATGTTGAGATAGACTACAATAAAAAATCAGAAGTCATAATTTTGGATATCATCGATGCTAGCTGCCAATATTTCGTCACCAAGTCCTGATTAAACTCTGAAGGTAAAGTGATAGTGAGCACATATAAAATGGGGGCGCTCACTCAATTTGGTAGGCACATTTAGGTGGCTCAAAAGTAGCCAAAAATCTTAGGTCATCTTCCATTTCTTTTTAATCAATGTGATGTAAAGCACAAAGGCGTCTGATTTTAAAACTAATGCAGGACCAAAATATTCTGAAATAAAGTTGATATAGATATACTGAATAGACTGAAGGGTTTGAGAGGAACAAGAATAATGAGGGAGAAGAAGGGAGAGAATTTTGACACTTCCAAAATTAATAATTAATAATTCAAAGCTGAATTTCTGGTTACATAATAGCCTTTATACAGGCAAACACTAAGGGCCCGTTTGGTATGCGTTTTGTTTTTGGCTAAAACAGAAACAATGTTTTTGGCTAAAACAGAAACAATGTTTTTGTTGTAGTGTGTTTTGGAACAAATTCGAAAGTATGTTTGGAAACTATACTTTGCTGTAGATATGTCAAAAACAAAAACATGTAAAACATATTTGGACTCACAAATATATATATATATATATATATATATATATATATATATTAATTTTTGCAATGTAATGCTAGAGCGAGGTTTGGGATAGCAGACCCCTCTCTCTCTCTCTCAAAAATCACTCTGCAACTCTCTCTTTTTCTCTGGGTTTGGGATAGCAGACCCCTGTAACCAAAGACGACCGGTGATGAAGCTAGGGACACAACACAGGGCGACGACAGCAAGGAAACTCCGGCGATAGCAAAGAATGAGGTTGCGGCACGAAGAAACAGATAAAAAAAATTCACGATCTAACAGACAACTCGTCGATGATGAAGACGCCAACACACAAATAAATCTTCGGCTACTGTACTGTCCCTTCGGTTACGATCCTCCAAATTGGGTCACAAGAAAAAAAATACAACCCCCGAATCAAAATATTGACCCAGTTGCAGAGAGAGAGAAAGTGGGCAAGTTCAGGTCTGAGAACGAGAATAGAGATGGAGGCATTATTTATAGGTAATAATAGGTTTTGATTCTTGCAGACAGATAGATAAACTGAAATAAATGGGTTTTGAACTTCTGATTCTTGTAGATTTAGGCAAGTTCAGAGTAGAGAACGAGAATAGAGATGGAGGCGATTGGAAATCGCCTTGAATCGCAGAGAGAGTATCGGGAAAGGGGAGAGAAAATTTGTGCAAAAATGACCTAAAATGTTTATATAGCTAAAACAAATTGGGCCGGCTGTTTCATCCGCTACAGTGCTTTTTATTGGGCTACAGTATTAAAACAACAAAAAACACCATTTTGGTGTTTCACTTTTGGGCCACTGTTTGAAACAATGTTTTGTACTGTTTAAAACAAAACAAGTGTTACCAAACATGTTTTTGGGCCTGAAATGAAAGCCCTGCAACAAAAACACCAAAGTAAAACACCAAACAAACAGGCCCTAAGAAACTGAAACAATAAAGTACTAAAATAACCCCTTTTTTTATTTTTTATTTTTTATTTTTTATCAAAATAAGAATAAAATAAAAAAAAAAACATAATTACGTCAAATTCCTAATTTCATTAATCTCTGCCTCTTAAAAGTAGAGGCGAATCATGTGCGGTCTATGCATCTGAGTCATGTTTGATCTTCATTACATTGTTTTGACTCTGTGTATATATATATATATATGATTTTTATTTTTATTTTTTGTTTGCAGTGCTTATAATTATTATATTTTTGAAGCACATGCATGGTTAGGAACATAGGAGATGAGCATTTGACCACTTCAATAAGATAATTTAATAATTTAATACCAACTTTTAATACATTTATTTATAAAAAAAATAAAAAATAAAAAAAAAAAATTATTTAATACCAACTTCTTTGTTAAAGATATGCCTAAGTTATAAAATTCTTGTTAGCTTTCCATCACATGCTTTAAAGTTCAAGATTAAAGCATCCAAGTAATAGGTGTAATAAATTTAATTTTCCTAGGTACATGTTCTTGATATGTTTTCCATGTTTACACAAGATAAACAAACAAGTAATACAACATATTCCCTCCATCACAAGTCCTTCTTTCCTTTCTGGGATATCCCAAAATTAGCACCCCTTTTCAAAAGTCAATGTACAAAATCTCCAACTTTTCTAAATTGTCTGACTTTTGAAAACTTTTCTAAATTAACAATGCGAATCTTCAAATTTGGAGGGTTAGTTTTGGATTTTTTTTTTTTTTTTTTTTTTTTTTTTTTTTTTTTTTTTTTTTTTTTTTCCGGGATACATACATTAGATTGATGGGACTTGGGTGACTGAATCAGGTACCTTGTTTGAAAAAAGAAGTTGGACAAAGAAATCGAGTTAAATTAGAGCACCATATAATTTCATTTAGAATTCTTATGTGTGTGTGTGTGTGTTTGATGCTCTGAATGAGAGTCACGCAAGCCCCCTCCCTCTCCCTCTCTCTTTCTGGGGGGCGGTTAAGGTCTTGTAGATTGGATTACTGAATTTTAACCGCTTCTGAATTTAAGCCAAATTAAATTCAATTCATAACAGGAAATTAAAAATCACTCAATCTATCATCCATGCAAGCAATGAACAGATAAATCAAGAAAATAATGGACACTTCTTTACGTGGAAACCCCAATCGGAAAAAATCACGGGACCTAATCTTTGCAAACCGCAATATACAGATTTATTTTTGAAGATTTCATTGCTTTTTTTTTTTCTTTTTTCTTTCTTTCTTTTTTTTTTTTTAAAAATTAAAAAAGCATTAAAATATGATGTTGAAGTGTCTTCTTTCCTCTTATTTATTTATTTTTCTGGTAATGGGGATGAGTGAAATCTCTTATGATTTATGACCATCATGTATGAGACATGTTAATGGAAACCAGTATTTTCTTTTAAATTTGTTTTATATTAACAGGAATGGTGGACATATGTGTGCATGGGACCATCTGATCCTCATCCTAACTGGCACCTGGGGATGCGAGGAACGCAACACCGGGCGGTGATGTGGCGGATATGGAAGGAAGGTGGAACGGGGTTTCTCTATTGGGGTGCCAACTGCTACGAAAAGGCAACAGTTGCTAGTGCAGAGGTATTGGCTTGGCCTATTTTTCATACAACTCCTTTACTTCTCAAAAAAGAATTCATACACTGGAGAGTACTTAGCTATGACGTTTTCTCATTCACTATATATATATATATATATATCTCTGAGCAGATCAGATTCAGGCGTGGCCTCCCCCCAGGTGATGGGGTCTTGTTTTACCCCGGTGAGGTGTTCTCTTCTTCTCATCAACCAGTTGCTTCAGTAAGACTAGAGCGCCTTTTGAGTGGCTTGCAGGTACTTCTTCCTACGAATTTAGTATGGTTTTCAATTGCATTTCTCCTAAAATGGATAGTGCTTTTGCCACCGTATGACTTTATTCTCTGATTAAAAGTCCTGAACTAAATGTTGGAAGTCTTCACAAAACAAACCTGTCTTATTCCTCTCCTGTAATATGGTATGATAGTTTGCAATTACAAAGGGGTCATTGCTTGGTGCACTGATAAAATGCTCAGGCTGCCAAACTCGAGTTCGAATCATGAGAGCAGCCACTTGGTGCAAATAGTAACAAATGTTAGGTCTCTATCCTGTCCAACCCCCCCAACATGTTCGATTAACGGGGACCACACTACAAAATGACCCTTAGTTTGCAATTACGAGTATGGCTGGTGCAACTGGGGGAAATAATCATTCCAGATGTATTAATATACAAAATTTGCTCTTTTATTTGCCTGGCTTTTGCTTTTAGCTTTTCTGTTTGGGTTCATTGATTTAATATACTGTTTCTTCACTTTATATATATATAATCATGCTGAGGGCCGTGACTAGCCCAAAATAACCTTGAATCCAAAATTTGTTGCCATAATTTATACAAGTGATAATTTTCATATAAGGTTATAAATTTTCATTTATCCTCATTTGCTTGTTCTGATATTATTCCCTTTGTGGTGTGCTTGAACAGGACATTGAATACCTCAAGCTATATGCATCAAGATTTGGTAGGGATGAAGGGCTTGCTCTTTTGGAAAAGACGGGTATATATCTGGGTCCTGAGCGCTATGCTCTTGAACACATGCCAGTAGACATGATGCGGGGCGAGATCTTTAGGACATGCCAATCCTAATATAATTTTGATATCAAGTAGTTTCCCCATGTTTTTGTAATTTTTTTCAACATCAATACCTAATTTTTTTTGGTTATTAATTTTGAATGTGTATTAAAAATGTCCTCAGAATCGTAATCTAGTTGTCCTAGTAATCCTGTTATTTCTGCATGAGAAATGTTACATGTTGAGGAAACTAGGTTTATAGTTGCGCCGAAAAAATCTGTCGGCCTCCTTAATTGGCTCATTTAAGAGGTTTGCCGGATTTTCTTTATTTTAAAGTAGTTTGTGTAATATTCTACAGAAAATCAGCTACTCCCTGGGGATTCTAGGAATTTGTGGTTTGTAATCTTCCCATTGAATCTGGTTGATGGTTGGACAATTTGGTTTATTGTTTGTAATCTTCCGATAGAATCTGTTGGTTAGACAATTTGGTTTATGTCTACTTGTGACTTTGTTTCACATGTTCTTCAATTGAAAGTTGAAACCATTGACTAGTCCTCTTGGCCTGGGACTTGGATTGTGTGGTCAACCCTAAGGTTAGGAGTTTGAGGATTGGTAGAGAGTTGAATCCATTAGAATCAAGGAAGGAAAATGAGCCCCATATATATATATATATATATATATATATATATATAAGGTTAAAGACAATGTTTGTCAAAGGAGAAATAGAGAGAAATTTGAATGAATTTCATCGCCGTCCTGAGAACTGTTTGGTAGTCTTATTATAATTTATGAACTGCACCTCCATGAAAATACTCTACATACAAAATGCCCTAGTGATGAATGGCCAGTTTGATCATATCATGTTTCTCGTTTCTCTCAAATTATATACTTCTTCCGTTTCAAAATAAATGACTGGTTGTCACGGTTTCTAAAGCGGTCATGTATTTTGGGCAGAGGGAGTAATTCATGTAAGTTTGGACTCTGCTTCTACTAATGTTCTAGAAGATAAAAAAAAAAAATTGATCTTTCTTCTTCCACAATCAAATTGGTAGTCGAATGTTTTGAACAATCGTAGTTATTGACGGTATAATAATGTCAATAGTATGTTTTGAACAAACGCAGTTCTGTATATATATATTTTTTTGGAACAGTAACAATCGCAGTTGTTACAGTCTAATTAATAATGTCTATAGTTTGAGTAATGGTTGACTGGAAATGATAATAATGAAAAGCTTACTTTGGGATAGAGTTTGAGCAATGCATTCTGACTACAATATCTAACCCCACCATCGAAATCATTTAACCAATTCTTGTGTGAATTAAAGGGTATTGGAATAAATAAATAAATAAAGAACAAAAGGCAAGATAAAAAGACAATCAAGCTGGTGATGATTACTCCTAAGCCTGTCATTCATTGTTCCCTTTTTTGACGTTGTGCTCATTGTCGACCACCTTTCACCTCCCTTACAGCTGTATATATAGATATAGATACATATATATGTGTGTATCTATATGTACATGTCTCTACTACAACTGGACGCCAAAGGCTTTTTGAAAGGGAGTCTGAATGTGTTGTTCGAGTAGGCATAGACTTTTCTTCCTTTGGATACTGATCTTTATCAAAGGTGGATTACTTTTAACAAGTTGGATTTGGTTGTTACCAAAATCTAAGATGATTACAAAGTGTGTGAAAACATATATAACAATCCATTAAAAACAATGCATAGACATTTCATCCACTAATGCTGACCACTAAACTTTTCATCTCTTTTTTTTCGATATAACCAAAGTAGTTGATATATATATATATATATATATAGCTGATGGTGGTTTACTAGAATAGTTACCCTCTTGTGACGTCATCAGCTGATCGTTTTTAAACTACATTATGGACAATTTAAGTGTGTATTAACCAAAAATACGTAGTATTATTTAACATAATGTCAACAAATACATAAAAGAAAAAAAGAAGAGAATGTTAGGAAAAAAATCATATGCTAGGATCGGGTACAAGATTCTGAATGTTTTGAGTTCGAACTCATATACGAGAGTTAGCGTCCCACTTGAACATTACTTATTTGACTTGAGTCTAAATAAAAAATGTAAAAGTCTATTTGGTACGCATTTTATTTTTGTGAGTATTATAGCAGTGAATAGTGAAAAATCTCTTTTGATAAAAATTATTTTGTTTTGTACAATATCGAAACGTTTCGTGAATAGTAGTAAAAAATCGAAATATCAATTTGGTATTTTTATATATCTTTGCACTATAGCGCTTGGTACCGTAGCGATCAACAATAATTTTGAAAAACTCTTGAATAACATTTTTAAACTAATATTTTTCAAACGTGTAACACTTTTATACCAAAAATGTTTTTATATATTTGTTTCTAAAAAATCTTACAACAAATATTTATTACCAAACATACTTTCGATTACTATTCAAAACAGTTAAAATAAAATAATAAAAACAAAATGCATACTAAATGGAATAAGTTTGTGATTAATTAAGATGTAATAAGAAAGTGGTGGAGCCTACTACTTTTTCATATTCAAAATCGGTAGTTGGAAACAGAAACATTTTCCTGTAATTTAGTGATTTACTATTAGAATCTTCTTGTTTTTCACTTGGAATCATTTATTTATTATTTTTTTCTTCTAGATATAATAGTAAATCACTAAATTACAGGAAAATGTTTGTTCTTCATTCCCATGTTTACGTGAAGCCTCTTAATTTACATATGACATTTTGTCCTTATGTTGTGTCTCAATCTTCAAATTGATTGGATTCATATTCTAAAAGTCAGGTTTGGTGTCAAGTGATGTTTATTAACTATATAAAAATTGTCATTAATTCTTCTCTCTTTTATTCTATACATTTAATTCATGTTATTTTTCAAACTGTAACACAATAAAAGACATGCCTGTATGGTAGTTGTGTAATTATAAAACGCAAGTATGAGTAATAAGTAAGTTTTTAATTACTAGAGGCACAGATGACATATTTAAGATTAAATTTCGTATGTTATTTGTTGTTTTTCTGAGAATAGAGAATGTATTAATGTCAAATTAAAGGTTTGGAGAGAAGTTTCAAGGTAAGAAGATTAAGATAAGCCGCAATAAAAGTGAATGGATGGAATTTTAATTTTAATAAATTTAAAAAGACAAATGAAGATGCACTGAGTGTTGAGAATTAAGAGGTATAAAAATTGAATGTTTTTGTTATTTAAGCTCAATTATTATATTTACAGAGATAATATGATAATTGTACTAATAATTTAATGATTGATTATGCTCTCTGCATTATATTTATTTATAACTTAACAGAAACTTTGTAAAATAAGCAAACGACGTATATCATAAAATAGTGGCGAGTCTTGCTCGTTGGTTGTTTCTAGTATAAAAAACTCTTCTTTTAGAGAAAAAAAAAAATTACTTTGAGATCATGTCAAAAAATCAGTCAAAATATCCGTTTGACTCTATGGTGATTCAAACGGGCCATATAAACTCCAACAATCGATTTTATATCAAACCATTTTGTGAATAATGATGAGGTGTTTATTTTAACTTTAAAAAAATTATAAAAACTAAATAAATATCCGTTTCATATGTATTCACACATATGTATAGCTCATATTCTCATAAAAATACGCATTTATACATGTATGATACTACTAGTCATGTATAAGAGGGTGAAGAAGGCTAAAGTTGAATAAAATGGCTTCAAAGTACAATCTTGTAACCAAAAAAAAAAAAAAAAATTGGGGTGAGTTACCAAAATTAGTCATCAACGGACGTTTCTAACATACATAGGTATGAGTGTTGTTTGACTAGAGGTTTGACTTAAAAAAGGTAACAGCTGGTTCCAACACAAATAGTATAAACTGGACAACATTTCGTACAAAATCACGAGAAAGGCACTCCAAACAGTTTTATATGTCGTTTGTTATCTTCCTCGTCCTTGCCGTCTCGATGGCATTCCTGTGATTTTTATTAAATATTTGTCTCGAATACACAGCACGTGAGACCTCAGGAGTCCATGTTCACCTTTTCGGATGAATGAAAAAATGTATTGCATTGTGACCACGAAAAGCCTAAACTGTCAATTTTTCTAGGATGAGTCGGTGACAAATGGCCACACGAGGGGCACATTTGTCTTTTCGGTAGGACAATAGAGGATGTAATTTCCAAGTTTCAAAATGTTGACTCACTAAACGACAAAGTATACCTTAGTCCCGCCTCGTCCGACAAATGTCGTTGTATTCCTGATTACGACACGTGGACGGTCAGATTTGTTTGATAAATCGTAACTTGGGCCTCAAGGTCAGTTTAATAATTTTCTAATACCGTCTCTAATTAGTAAGTTCAAATCTCCAGTCTCTCTCTCCTTCTCTCTCTCTCTCTCTCTCTCCAAATGAAACCGCCGCCGTAAAATGAGTCTTTGACTCGCTGACTGAACCGAATCGGTGTTCATATTTAGCTTCACTCAACTAGAATTTTAGATTAGTACTGATATCGGCGGTTCCGTAAGAAATTTGGCCCCTTTCTCGGGAAAATGAAAATCTAATTTTCCGGGAAAACCATTTCAGCAGCTAGCTAGAAGTTGTATGCGTAGTACATCGTTTGCAATTCACTCAAGAGAGAATTAATTTCTGAATTTTTGCTAGATTGGTACTTCTCAGCGACTCATCGGTTCTACTAGTCGTCAGAGCTACCAGAGGTTAGTTAGCTAGGCTATTGATTCTTCTATTGGAAGCTCTAGAGATCAGCTGAATTACTCTCTTTCTTAGGTAGATTCGAGTACTTAATTTGAAGGAAAGCTAGGGTTTAGTGCTGTGATGGAGTTTGAAAATACTTCACCAATGAAGGTCTGTACAGCAACAGGAGAAGCCAGTATAATTTGTTCTACCAATCAATCACCACCACCAGCAACAACAGCGAAGAAGAAGCGAAGTCTCCCTGGAATGCCTGGTTAGATTTGAAAATTCCGAAACTTAATTCGATTACATATGTGTGTGTAAATTTTGTTGATTTTTTTTTTTTTAATTTTCTTTTTGTTGTTGTAGATCCAAGTGCTGAGGTGATTGCTTTATCGCCGGAGACTCTGATGGCGACGAACCGATTTGTGTGCGAGATCTGCAACAAAGGATTTCAACGGGACCAGAACCTTCAGCTTCACAGGCGAGGCCATAACTTGCCTTGGAAGCTCCGTCAGCGAGCGGGTGGAGAGGTCCGAAAGAGAGTCTATGTCTGTCCCGAGCCGACCTGCGTTCACCATGATCGGTCGAGAGCGCTTGGAGATCTCACCGGTATAAAGAAGCACTTCTGCAGAAAGCACGGGGAGAAGAAGTGGAACTGCGAGCGGTGCTCGAAGAAGTATGCCGTGAAATCCGATTGGAAGGCTCATATGAAGACATGCGGCACCAGAGAGTACAGATGTGATTGCGGAACTGTGTTCTCAAGGTTCTCAAACATTTACTCCTTGATTTTCTCGCATTTTCCTATGTTTGGTTGCTGAGAAAATTTCGCTTTATTGGTATATATGATGATTGGTTTTTGTGGTGGTGTAGGAGAGATAGCTTCGTTACACATAGGGCTTTTTGCGATGTTTTGGCGAATGAGAGTAGGAGAACTCAAACACAAATACAAACACAAACCCTAGCCATTACGAGTTCAGAAGAAACTCTGAAGGGCAAGACTGTTGCTTCCTCGTCGTTTAGTCCACCTCCACCTCCTCTCACTCCATCAACTACTGTACTCTCTCCAGTTCTGTCTATTCAAAGCTCAGGTAATGTTCATTATTAATGATGTTACTGTTTTGTCCATTAATTAATTATTAATAATATCAAACTGTGAAAGAGGGATAAAGGAACAGTGTACATAGTCGTAAATAAAAAGCAGCTCAGAAAATGGTGGTTGGGAAGGATTGTGTTAAAGGACGCCATGATTGTCTCTCCCTTTACTTCCAAAAGTCATCAATTACGCTTTTGGATCGATTTTTTTTTGGAGTTAAAAAGTGTCTTTTTTTTTTTTTTTATTTAAAAAAAAGCTTTTTCTTTTGATTCTGATCTCTTTGTTTTTTTACTATATTTATTATGATTTCATCATTTTGGTGGCAGAGTTGCCGGAAAATACAACGGGATTGTCACAGCAACAACCAATAGTAACCCCCACCGCGGCCGTCTCCAGCGGTGGCTCCACCTTTACTGGTACTGCCAATAGGGGCGGTGGTGTGTTTGCTAGTATATTTGCTTCCCCAACATCAGCAAGTGTCACGCAATCATCCCAATCACCATCCTCATTCTCGGACTTAATCTGTGCCATGGCTACTAGCTCTGAGCACCGAGCCGCCGCGGAACCCATATCCCTCTCTCTCTCATCCTCCCTCTATCTCTCGAACAACACTTCGTCCCTATTTGCAGCACCCACTCAAGACCTGTCTCAGCATTACGCCCGGTTTCCTCCACAACCCACCTTATCCGCCACCGCCTTACTCCAAAAGGCAGCCCAAATGGGTGCAAAATCGTCCAATTCCTCGTTCCTTCGCGGCCTTGGTTTGGCATTGCCATCTTCATCCGACCATCAAGACAATACCACCACCAACACATGGAGTAGCAATGTGAAGTCGGAGAGCAATTCATTGGCATGTGGACTTGGACTAGGGCTTGCCTCTGATGGCTTCACGGATCTAGTGATGAGCAAGCCAACCACGCTCGATCTTCTGGGACTGGGAATTGGTGGTGGTGGTGCCTCTAATTCTGGATTCACAGAGTTCATTAATTCGATTGGAGGTGGTGGCCACATTTCTGCTGCAGCGTCTGCTCCTCCGTTCGGAGGGTTGCATTTGGGCGGAGATGGCACATCTGATACAAAGCCGAGTATGCACTAGACCTTCCTCATGAATCACCATAAACTACTCATTTCCAATCTCTCCCTTGGTTTTTGGGTTGGAGGGATTTGTTTTTCCGTTTTTGTATTTGCACACACATATATATATATATAGCTTTCTTTTAATGTGGCCTTGTTTTTGCTCATAAAATTTGGTAAGTTTAATTAGTAGTGTATGATGGAGGATCGGTAGATTAGATGTTGGTATGCACATGGGGCTTTTGTTAGTGCTTCATGTTCATCCATGCACCAAAATTGTATAGAAAGAAACTTTAATGAGTATTTATAGTGAATTATCTCCTTCTTCATTCTTCTACTATGGATTTATGATCAATCCTTCTAAATTTCACTTATTTAAGAATGGAGAATTTTGAATCATGAGGATTTTTTTTTGGAAAGATCCAAGTCTTGTTATAGGCTATAAAGAGAAAATTTCTCTTGAACTTGATGTGACATGATATAGTGGATTATATGACTTAATTTGCTAAAATGAGTATTGTTTTTAGAAAAGTACAACGAGACGAGAATTGAGTAGGACAACTCTTCGTTATTAAAAAATTTGGCAGTAGTAGTTTTGAATTTGGTGGAATAGAATTATAAGTGGAGTCATCATCACTCACAGAATTATTAGTTGAGCTGTACAGTAAAAACTAAAGATATACAAGTTGGTTGTTAGGTGAGTGTAGTTTGATTTATGGTTTTAAGAATTAAGATTGGCATAGGTGGATGCGAGCTGTCTTTCACTTTCATGAATTGGGCCAGGGTGGAGAAACCGGTCGCTTATCTTTTGGACTGAAAACAACTCAAGACTAGTGGGGGGACCTTGGTTTGGGAATTTTGGGCCAGTCTTCAGGATTTAGTTGGTCTGGTTGCTGGTCAAATTGGAGCCGAAGAGTCAAAACATTTATTGAACACACCAACACTGTAACAAGATGAATTTATTGTAGTTGGTTGGGTGGTGCATTTATATTTTGACCAAGATCTTCTTGTCAATGTACATTTTCTTGTTTGGTTGGACAAAAGATTAGGTCAAAAAAAAGGTTTACTTATCGGTAGCATTCTTGAAAATAATATACGGAATTCCAATGCGTGGAAAGAAAATACCTACTTATAGGTCGGGTTAATGTTCTTTCACTCCCTCACTCCTCATATTTCTCTGCCTTTTGACTCCTACATATACAAGCATCTCATCAATTGTTAATATTTATGGTTGTTACTAGAACTCTTTAAGACGATACTTGACTCGCCATAAGAAGGAAATCTTACTTATGGGTGAGGTGGACGAAGTAAATAATGACACCCGTGTTCAACTTTAAAATATTATTATAGAGAGATTAGTAGTCGATTCAATCCGATTTTAATCGGGTCTCATGCCAACCCAATTTTAAAAATCCCATTCTTTTCTCTCCACATGGTAACCAAATCTATCTGTTTTTATATATATTCTATGTATTTTTCTATACATATAATTTTTATCATAGTTTAATTTTCTAGGGATTTAGAGTTCCAATAATATGTTTAAATATCACTAATGGTTAATTGTTCAAATCAAGTGTTTCACTTCACTCAAAACATCATACACCGATCTCTGCAACGGGAATGGATCATCTTCAAAAAAATTTGTCTCTAAGCATATGTACAAGTATTTAACCATGAACAATATTTGCCTTAAGCAGCATAAATAGGAATGTCCTTTTGATACTAACATGGATCAATAAAAATATAACATATGTCAAAAACTTTTAAAAATAATTAATAAAATTTGTTTGGATCTTTTTGCGGATCATCCAAAATGAAAGATTTTTTTTCCTCATGCGTTCGATATTTTCTATTTCAAACCCTTCATATTGTAATCCGTTACAAAAGAAGCTAAACAATTAGCCCAAACATCAATGGAGTTTAAGGAAATCAATTTGGCTTCAGATTGTAACAGGTGGTGATAAATCTCAAAATTTTGGATGCCACTAGAGTTATGTGTATTTATTAATTGGCGGCTTGAATCATCTCTAAAGTTTAGATGTAAAATATTATGGTTTGGGAATGGATGAGATGGTAAGCAGTGAAGGTGGTGGAGGTCGGTTGGCGAAAGAGAGGATTAATAATATTAGGGTTTTAGAATTGAGGAAATGGTGGGCATCAATGGGGTATGTATTAATTGGTGGCTTGAATCATCTTTAAAGATTGGATGTAAAAGATTATGGTTTGGGAATGGAGGAGATGGCGAGCAGTGGAGGTGGTGGAGGTCGGTTGGTGAAAGAAAGGATTAATAATATTAGGGTTTTAGATGACCCGTGAAAAGATTCGAATGATTCAGGTTTATTTATTTATTTTTTTTTTTTTTGACACGTGTCATGTTGTTATTGATCCATATCAACATCAGAAGGAGAGCCCGGCTTATGACGCTTAAGGCAAGCTTTTTCCTTTAATCATACGTCTGTTAGATTTAATTAACTAATGAATACGATATCGTTTGACTTAAAACACCATTACTTAGGCTTCCCTCTTTCAATTTCCCTCAGTATCATCAATCTTTATACGCTACAATTAAAGACTTGAAATATTTCACAGATTTTTCTGAGTTAAGAAAGTATTTTAACATCTCACTACATCAAATAACTCAATAACTCAAAGGTCATTTGGATCTCCTCTATTTTCCAGAATTTTATCCTATTGCAACATCTAAGTTAGTTGAATCATGTATGTGTGTGTGTGTGTGTGTATATATATATATTATAATATTATCACATATTCATTGAAATCTATATTCTTATTACCAAATTCTAAAAAAAAAAAAAATTATACCCAAATTTGCAGATTTTTACACAAACCCTTAAAATTATTTTTAACTGTAATTGCCAAATATCCATTTTATGCGAAACTAATTTTAAGAGGGATAGTAATTAACAGTGCTCATTGGTCGATACATTATACCCCTCTAACCAGGCCAACAACAATTTTGGTAGGAACTACGGATCTTGCTTTTGTAAACTTGACTGAAAATAATAAATTTCTGAAATTGCCTGCAAGTATAGTAGGCATGTGTCTGAAATTGCTCTTTCAATCTGTCACTAGTGTTTTCCAATAGAGACGAAAGAACCATATTTTCAAAGAGAAAGATTAACTGGTTTTGAGTAAGAGAAAATCAATTGTAGCAAGATAACTAACTGCTTCTTCAATCTCAGAGTTGGATGAGAAAGAACTGTAAGATGCATTTTTAGTCAAACGATATCGTATTCATTAGTTAATTAAATTATTGATGTGGCGCCTTAAATACTTGTAGATGCTTAGAGACAAATTTCCTTGCAAATGATCCATTCCCCTGTAACACCCAAAACAACAATTAATACACCTGATTAGATGAGAAGAGAGAATAATAGAAAAATGGTAGAAACGGTGGTGGTGGTGGTGGTGGAGAGATCGAGAGAAAGATGGAGGAATGGTAGCGGGGAGTGGCGATGGTGGTGGCAGAAGGTGGGGAGGGGCATGGGGTAGTGGAGGGAGAGAAAAAGCAAAGTGGTGGTGGAGGATGGTTTTGCTAGTGGCAGAAGTGCGGAGAGGCATTAGGGTTTTTTGGAATGGAGGTTGAGAGATGATTTTTTAGATGTGTTTTAACTTTTTAACTAGTTCAAAATGGGTTTAATCTATTTTTAAATTTTCAAAATTAAATAATTTTTTAAGACATATGTTAGCCTTTCATTGGGTCCATCACTCATCAGCAGGAATTTGTTTCTTATGGGGTAGGAGGTAAGCATTGTCCTTAGTTGGCTCCTCCCCTCGGAGGATAAAGTTCATCATTGTAATACCCCTAATTTTAAAAGGATAGTTTCGGCATTTTTAATATTTATTGTATTGCATTTTTATTATTTTATTGTCTTTATTGCATTTTTTTTTATTTTATTGTTTTTCATTTGTTTAATTGGTTATTTGAAATTTGAATTAAATTGGTTTTATGTGCATTATTTGGTTTATTTAAATTATTAATTATTGTGTCTATTTTCGTAAATTATTAATTGTATTATTTATAATTCATTGTTTTAAACTTAGGTAATTAACTTATTATAATTCTTGTAATGTTAAAATTAAGTTACGTGAGTTTTTAAATACATTAATTGACTCACAGTTTCTTTTGGACATCACTTAGTATAGCCGACATAGAATTTAATCGTAGGTTTAGTTTATGGGCCGACTAGGATTAGGATTAGGGCTCTATCTCTAAAATTACAAGGATTATGGTTTTAGAGTTAAACCTATAAATACAACCATTATGCTTTAGCCTAGGATTTACAATCATAATTCATATTACATAAACGTGAAGTTAGTTCATAACACAGAGGGTTGTGAACGGAGGCACTGTAAGAATTGTCAAGGAGAAGAACAGTGAGTATCAAGGGAGGATTTTGGTGGATTAGACCAGAACCAAAGGAGGCTAGAAGGTAGTCAGTGGTTGCCGAAAGTTAGGAAGACGGCGACAAAGTTTTGAGTCCAAAACTACAGGCAAGTTCTTATCTTCCTCTGTCCCTTTGGCTCGTGTTCTGTGCACCTAGATATTCTCTAGGGTTTAACTACTTAGTAATTGAAACTTACGTGTTTAATATATGCTTGTTGATGATCTGTTTGCATTGAATTCAAATCTGTTTACAGTTCGTGTATGGTTGCTCCCAATTCTGTTCATTAAAGCATATTAAAATCTGTTGTGATTTTGGTTACGATTCTTGCTTTTATCTTCTGTAAATGAACCATGGGGATGTTAATGGGATGATATAAGACTTCTAAGATTAGTTTGTGAAGAGGAATAGAGGGGTTGGAATAGAACTATAGTTTCAGTTTTGTTCCTAACGCGGGTTAGTTCGGTAGCAAATTTAAGCTCTGTAATTGATTTTAATTGTTGTTATCAAGCCATTGGGATGCTACTGGGTATTAATATGACACTTAAGATTAGTTTTAAAAACCAACAAAGTGATAGGAATAAGCCGGAAAAGGAGCAGAGAAGCTGAAACGAAGCACCGGGGACTGAAGGCTCTCAAAAGAGGTGAGAGCCGGCTCCATAGAAGTGGGAGCCGGCTCCCACAACAAGTAGAGCCGGCTCCAAGGAATCCTAGAGCCGGCTCTAGGCTGAAAGAGCCTGCTCCCAAAATTTGGAGCAGGCTCCTTTTTCATTTTACGTTTTGTTTTAATTTTTTTTTAGTTTTCTACGTACTGTGTTTTACTATTGGAGTATGGGATTTAACCTGTTGGTTCCGGGGTTCCACAGAGAGATTAGAAGGCTGAATTTGGGTGTTAATAAGACCTTAAATTGATTAAGGTTTAA